CGATGTTAGCAAGGGTAGTCAAATTTAAAGGCCTCTTACAGACTGCGTAGTTCTCAACCCTGCTTAGAGTCCCTCAGTCTTCATCGCAGACTTAATTTAACACTGTTTTTTGGGGACATGTCGTCTGAAAAGCAACTTAAGGGCCTCTCTTTTGCATGGTCTCCCTTGTGAGACCTCTCCAGGGAACGCGGGGATATTTCGAAGGACTACCAACCCCGTAAATTGGACCCAACTTACGTCTAGTAACAAACGGCTAGTCACTATAACTCTCAGTAGTGTTTTTGCCTCGATGGCAGTTATAGTTGCTAGGCACATCGAAACAGTACATGATATGTTTTTTTTTAAGGAAAAGGAAACGGAGCCGTTTTATTCTTGGTTTATCAGTGATGGAAGTAAAAAATTGAAACCTATAACTTTTTCGAATTCCAAGTGGATGTCACCTAACTTCGACTCCCCTTGGGATCATTTACCGTCTGGGTTGTTGTGGTCAAATATTGCTTCAATGGGCGCGATCCATTCAACCAACATTCAGACCGGTCCGACCGGGAAAAGAGGACCACCTCAAAAGGTGGACCTGTTTTTTCGAAACTTTTCCGGTTGGACCGAACCGATCCATTGAGTTTTGGACCGAAATTTCCGGAAATTTTGGTTGAATGGATCGCGCCCAAGGTTTCGCTCTTAAGGAGAAAACTATAGACGTAAAAATGTGTGTTATTAGGCTCAAGTCAAACTCACAGCCCACTAGACTTGTTATAGCCCTCTCGAACCCCAGCAACTTTTAAAAACATCCAAACCTACCAAAAAGTGCTAGATAATAAACTTGATAGAGTCACGAGGGAGTTACTGAGGTTATCCACCGCCATGGTAAAAATTTTTCTAAAATAACTAATTTGTGATCGATTGATATTAATCGGGTATTCAGTTTTAGTTAGTGTTGGTCAGGGTTACTAAATAAATAAATATGTTGCGTAGACTTCACTTTCAAAATAGAGAGTTTTAGAGCGTCACGTTTAAGGAAAACGGCAAACGTGAATTTGTGCCAATTGTACTTGTCTTTACTGTTCTTTACTTCGACAAAAAATAAGTAGTTTCACGTTATTTATATCCGTAAGAATTGTTTTAGACTGTTTTTGTCTGCTCATTTTCTTGATTTTGAGAAATTTCCAACTTATTTTCCATTTGTCGTTCGCCGTAAACGGCGGGCGACTTTCACATTTTCCTCTTATGCACTCCTAGCGTGCGTGATCAAAAGAATAAAAAAGTCCTTGAATGATATACTCAGAAAAATTAAACGCAAAGTTTTTGTGTAGAATATAGTTAGTTTTTCATTCTTTTAATTCGTTACCAGCAACAACGAATGATTTCCAACAACACCTTTGCAAACATGGTGAAAGTTGAATGACGAACATTACAAATACGCGCGGGCTCCTTTTGTCCTCTTGTTTGCTTACGTAACGGATCTATAACAAAAAGCGTCTCAGTCCACTGGGGACATTTACATTTTTTTCAAACTCATTCACATGCAAATTTTTTGATGGATTTTAGCGCGCTGAAGAGGCTAAACTATCCTTCGTTTGTGTTTGGCGTGTTTATAATTGGAAGTTGTTCAATTACGCTCTCTTAGTCGTTTTGGAGTTTAAGGGAACTTACTTTTTAAACAGGAAGAACAGAGAGGAAGGCGTTTGGCTAAAAAAATCGCCGGTTTGAAGTCTGTAGCACGTGGAGCACCGGCATACACGTTTATACTGACTCAAACAACAAGGATTTCTAATTTATACGCACTGACTGTCGTAGTAGCCCATGTTATTCGGTATCGGAGTAAAATATACTGTCTATTCCTGGTGAAAGGATATTCGAGGGGCAAATGTCTGTGTTTCTGGTCATCTTCGCCGGCGTGCTTCTTCAATCCAACTGTAGTATAGCAGAAGGTAAGCTTAAAAGTCATGATTGAAATAAGTGAGTATTTTGTTCATTGTATCTTTTACTAGCTTGACATCGAACTCATCTTATCACGAAATGATCATATTCGAACAGCCTAAAGTATTTTAAATCCGCATCACGAGCCATTGTAAGAAACTCTTATTACAAAGAATCATCCTTCTGATGCCTTCAGGTCAGTGATAAATAGACCACTCAAGGCACACAGGGTACGAGATCTGCAAACATACTAGCAGGCATACATGACAAACAATAATTATTGTAAATAAGCAAAAGCCTTTGAAATTTTATTTTTATCATAGTAAGAATATATTAACGGCATTGCATAAAACACCTGCTAAAAATCGGAATATCTACAGATTTGTAAATATTCTTATTAAATGAAAAAAAATTCTTTAAGACAGTCATTAGCAGTAGCAAAATTCTTAGAGTAAAGCGCTAGTTGTCTTGAGCGATTTATTATTATTATTTTTTTTTTTTGCTGGATGCGATCTGATCAGTGATGACAGGTGAATTTGTTGCCAACATGCGTGATTATTCTCCAAATACCCCCTCGCTGTTCGTCCTTTTTTGCAGAGTACTTTTCTTTTGTTGTTTACTTTTAATTTTGGGAATTTTACAATTATTTTTTGAAGGAAGTAACATGCTTTCAAATATTTTTGTAATCAACAAGAACATTTTGGATAAGTATAAAGAAATACTTTAAATATGGTTACAAAAAATTAGGGACCGAACGTCAATAATGTGCATGACATCCTCTTTTAAATGAGGTTGAAAAACATGCTTTTACGCATTACTATGAACGTATTCTAGTCCATCATCAAGTCATATTTACACTTTTTCAATGCGTAAAAAAGAATTTTTCCTCGCTTTAACTCTACAGTGACCTCACGTTCTTTAGTTGATAACGCAACTCTAACAACAACAACAAAGCTTTATTTGCATGCCCTATAACAGAATATTACAGTTTTGCAAAAGCTATCCATAACTAATTATTGATTCGTTAATTAATTCCGAAAATAACTAAAAATAGAGATAAAGTATTGGTGATTTCTTGGATCGGACAATTTTATTGGTTGATGGAAGAGGATAACATTTTTAAAAACACCGAGTTTGAAAATGATCGCCGGGGAGCTCACTTTGCTTGATAGAAGACTGAAAACATTATTAACGCGATTCGAGTTTATTAAAGGTTAGCTGTTATTCAGGGGTCGATGAAAATCTTGGAAAATTAACAGCGTTTCTGCACGAATGGACACATTTACATCTGAGTATGAACACCAACATGCAACAACCATACAGTTTGAACGGTTTGTACATATAAGAAGCTTTCATTTAAATACTTTGTTCCGGATTTGACTACCAAAACGTGGCTTCTATAGCTACAGCATAAAGAATTAACAACAGCATGGTGCAAAAATACAGACCATTGAGATCGAAGAAGTAAAATTATGCCATAGAAGTTTAGGAAAATTGATAGATTACGGCTTTTCATTTGTCTTTTTGGCAGTAATACATACTGAGGATATGACCCATGGATTTAACCCTTCCCCTTGCAAAAGTAGTTATTACTTTACTTTAAAATAATCGACACGAACAAGCAAATACAGTAATACCGTGGAAAAGTCCTGTCAATGAGGATTGATCTGAATCGCCAAGTTGGGTTTCGACAACAGGACACTTTCGCTTATCACTTGCTTATGTGAGAAGTACTTCTTCGGAGATCCCGAGGGGAAGTCGCTCAGTCGGGTCGGTAGGGGGCGACAAAAGTCTTTGGTAGTGATTGAAACCTTTCGTCGTACGTTAGCCCTCCCTAACCGAGTGTCTGCCCTGGATCTCCGAGAATGGTGAACTGAAATACTGCTTATAGCAGGAGTCCATAACCCGGAGAGAGCAACTTCCATAATCACAGGGGCGGATCTAGGAGGAGGGTGCAGGGGGTGCGCGCACCCCCCCCCCCCCCCCCCCCCCAATGAGACGGGTTGTGGGGGGGGGACAAAAGTCTTTGGGTGTGTGTTGAAACTTTCGTCGTACGTTAGCCCCCCCTAACCGGGTGTCTGCCCTGGATCTCCGGGAATGGTGAACTGAAAAACGGTTTATAGCAGGAGTCCCTACCCCGGGGGGAGGAACTTCCAAAATTACAGGGGCGGGGCTAGGAGGGGGGGGGAGGGGGTGCGCGCCCCCCCCCCCCCCCCCGAGATGACCTGCGGTTTTCTAATACAACGGGTATTCTGCACAAAAAAAAAAACTGTGGTTTATTGGTGTTGAAGTAGAGCAAGAGTCGAGTGCACCCCCTCCTAAAAAAAATCCTGGATCCGCCCCTGAATCAGTAGGCCCATGTCACGGCTTTTTTACCGACCAGTTTATTTATAGACGCATTTCAGGCCACTTTTTCCTGCGAAAATAGAATCTCCACCATGTCTATGAGCGCACTCCAAGTATAAGATATCAAAAAGGAAAACTAAACGTTATTAAAAGGCAAAAAAATATCATTTTGGGGTCTGTAGGTTTTGATGACTGGTTTTTAAAATTTAAACGGATATTCAAACTTCGCGCCAAAACCATTCTAAAATTAAACTGATCCGTGAAAACTCCGTGACACGAGTGCATGACGCATGGAAGTTGCCTGCTCCGGGGTTATGGGTTCCTGTTATAGGAAATTTCGCACTTCAGTTATCCACAGACTGGTGTAAAACATTTGAAAATTAAACAGAGTTTAGAAGGTCTCCCATTCAGTTAGCCTGAGAAAACAGCCGACATTTCTCGACGCCACAAGTTGTTTCCCCTTCGAAACGATGGCTAAGCACAATATCTCTTCCAGCCAATTCGAGCCTAAACCATGTCCGGATGGCCGGGTCATTTTGCGGGATGCTTACACCACGTACCTACCTTTGAGGGGAAACCAGGACCGCTGACCAGTGGTGGGGTCAAGAAATTGCGGCTCTCTTCTCAGGCTAGCATGTAGGGGAATGGTGTATTTTGGTGGGTGGGTGGCTCGCTCAACCTAACACACTTCGGAAGACCCGCAAATACTACTAAACTGTAACGTACAATCCTGTGAAATGCAAAATATATTTTACTCTGTAGATGTGCCTGAAATCCTTAATAACGGAACGTCACTTGATACTGAAGATAACGACATAGCACATATCACGTGCTCATCACGTGCGGATCCACCACCTGTCATTCGATGGGAGAAAAAAGGAGTAGAGGTCAAAGACAGAGATGAAGGCGTAGCCATTTTGTCAACAAGTAACTCTAGCCTAGAGGAAAGTCATCTGTTTGTTGCTGTAACCAGTAATGAAAGAAGAGGGGAATATATTTGCATCGCAACCAATGAAAAAGGCATCTCAAAGCAGGCTTTTCTAATAACAGGTATTTTACTTTTAAACCTGGGGACAATTTAATTAAACTTTTACAAGTGTAATTTACCATTGCAGTAGGCATTGTTTTTAGAGTCTGAACTGACAATATACATGTACTTGAGATTTGTTTGGGTTGAGATCTTATTGGAAATAACACATTTCTTCTTTGAGTTAACAGTTCTTCGATTGTTCACACAGGACAGTGCAAATATACCCTCTTTAGCACAAACCAATGAAGAAAAGAGGATCCCAATTATGGAGTTAACCGTTGGCTGTGAAAAGGCCAAAAGTTTGGACGTCGGTAAAAAGTGGATAAAAATTCAACCACCACTGGCAGTAGTTAGAAAAAATTGGCCTTAAAAATTAAAATTTCCCTAGCCACAACTTTTTCGTTAGAGATTGTGGAAATTGCTTGCTACGACTTTACCGGCATGTGTCTCGTGGTTGATGAACCCTTTTTAAGCCACTACTCATCCAAGAAAGGTCCTTATAGATCGTCCTCCAATGTAAGGTAATCCGGATTATATACGGGAAATTTTTGCTTGTAAAATTCGGAATCCTGGGCTTTGGAATCCGGAAGCCAAGCTGCACTGACAAGGAATCCATAATCCAGAACCTGGAATCTGGAATCTACAGCGTGGAATCCAGAATCCAAGACTGTCATGAAAGTGACCTAGAAGCTTACCAACTGACCTTACTGAAAAATGAGTTCCAACGACATCAACAACAACCGTCAAATAATAAAGTCCGTCAACAGTAAATTCCCCACTCAAAGATTGATACCCTAGTCGCCTTGTTTTCTTAGAATAGGGGGAATGATGATAAATCATATTCATTAAATCTCTATTTTCAGGAAAATCGAAAGGACTTTCACGGGTGGACATTGCTGCGATAGGTATCTCAGTTGGAATTACTTTGTTTTTATCACTGGCCATCGGGTTTTTCTTGTGGCGAGGAACAAGGAATAAAAACCTCGCGAAAAGGAGGGAGAGAATAAGGACAATATCAGAGAATTCAGCACAGGTGGGTTGATGTTACATTTACTGGAGAAAAGGTGTCGGCTAGCTCCGCGTACTGGGGCTCCCTAGGAAATATCTGCTCTTTGTAATCTGCTTGTGTGGCTTCCTCTTTAGAATTTCGAAGGAAACAAAATGGCAGAAGAAAAGAAAACCGCTGCTGTTCATAGCTGTACCATTTTGTTGTTGAGTGGTGGATATTTCAGTATTCGGTTGCGGTCATTTTTAAACTCGAGGCTGAGTATTTTCTGATTAATTCACCCCGAAAAAAAATAAAAACTTAAAACATGACATTGTGGATAGTTGCCGACTTTCTCCGAGCCATCAAAGTCCGTCAAATCCTAACGGAACCCTTGGCCTAAGATTGTGTAGGGATGGCGGAACACTTTTTCCTGTGGGGAGGGGGGGGGGGGGAAGGGGGGATCTTTGGGGGTTTAAGGTGGGAAAACGGAGAAACTTTTCCCAATACCAAAATTTTTTTGTCAAAATAGGGTGGGGGGGATGGAGCTTAACCCCCCCCCCCCTCCCCCCCCCGTCAACCCTCCCTGGCTTCGCCCGTCTCTGTTGGTAATTAAAAATTCCGCCTCGCAGGACTCGCCATTTTGCGACATGCTTACCGGCCTGGTTCTCTATTCGTAACGTCAATTTGTACAACGTGAAAGCTCAAGACAAGCCAGAGCGAAGCGAGAGACAGATTAAGGGGGGTGGGGGGTGAGGGTGGGGGGGGTGGGGGGGGTAGGTGGTTGGGGGGGGGGGGGGGGGGGGGGAGGGGAATCCTTTGGGGGTTGGAAGTGGGGAAATGAAAAGAATTTTCCCCCTACAAATTTTTTTTTTTTCAAAAAAGGGGGGGGGGAATGGCTTTTACCCCCACCCCCCCCCCCCCCGTCAACCCTCCCTGGCTTCGCCCGTCTCTGTTGGAAATTAAAAATTCCGCCTCGCAGGACTCGCCATTTTGCGACATGCTTACCGGCCTGGTTCTCTATTCGTAACGTCAATTTGTACAACGTGAAAGCTCAAGTGGGCGGAATATATTCTATTTACTTCTCCAGCTGATCGATCGGTTCCATCTTGCAACAACTAACCAAAAAAGAAAAGTTAAAGAAGCCACTTGCTCTTTATTTTCCCCCAATTGAACTTTGGTCAAGTAACGTCGCGAAACGACACGTAATCAGACTAATCATGTTAGCCGGCTTATTTTTGTGTCTGTTTGTTTTCCCTAGGTAAATGGCGCCTTAATTGAAGAAAGCCAATCACAGCCCAAGGAAGGCAGGAATGGTGTTAGAAAGCCAAAAAAGAATGTAACGACAGTTTGAGATTAGTCAATTCTATGGTGTGTGGGACAATTTTGTCAGGAAAAATTGATGAGTGCACGGGAGCACACTAAGAACATAGACTTTTTTAAGCCACTAGGCACAATCTTGCACTTTTTATCTAAATATAGATTTAGGGAGACATCTTACCTTTAGTTTAAAGTCGCTTTACACTTCACCGACCTCATCCGCTCCTCCTGGGAAAACCTACTCACCTCTGATTGGCTGAAAGTATATTTGGCGCAAACACAGGAGCTCACAGGGGCCCTCTTCTCCGTACAGGCCTCTCGTACGATAACAGACCGAATTGAACTCCACTCTGTCCTATTACCATTATTAAGTTTGTCTGCAGATCACAGCAGGCAACTTCTTGGTAGGCCATCCTCATACTACGAAATTCTAACTACATGTACTTGTAATAATCAATTAAATGAAAACCAGACTCAAATTATGGCCAAACAGGTATCAGCTCGCTTGGCAAGAAAAAACGTCTTCTACGCCTTCTACTAAAAAGGATAATTTTTTTTAGAACAAGGAGAGTTCTGCTGCTTACATAATATATAGTAAAGTAATATAAAAATAAGCTGTATGAAAGGATTCCAACAGTTTTAAAATGTACAACTCATGAAAACCAACAAGGACTCAAATCATGGCCAAAAAGGTATCAGCTTGCTTGGAAAGAAAAAACATATTTTTTATATTATTTTAAACTGTGTGAAGAATAAAATTCTTTTAGAGACTGAACCTAATAAAAGCTTTGCAAATACCATGCCAAAAAAGGATAAAGTGATACAATACTCTGTTACGTTTCTAATCAGTCAATTCATCCATGCTCTCGGAGTCTTCTCATTTTCCAATATGGCGGGCGACTGCAGGTGACAAAAGCATTTTTTGGATCTCCTCGTCGCCATTTGCCGTGGGAAAACAGTGAGGAGCCTTAGAAAAGCTTCATTTTTTGAAAGCAAAATTACCATAAACCTTCAAGAGCCATCATCTCTAATAAGTCCTCCCTTAATCTCGTAACCAGGTCTGGGTACAAGATTACCCCCCCCCCCTTTTTTAATCAGAAGAAAGTTAAAAAGCCCCCCCTCCCTGCTTCCCTCTTTTATTCCTAAATGGTAGACTGATCAAGAACAACAAGGGAAGTGAGCTGATTCGGCATAATTTATTCACGTGCTAGAAGTTCCGAAACTCATCGGCAGTGCGTGAGACCTAGGGACTAGTCAAGGAAATTATCACATGCACACCACTTGAAGTACAGTAAATTATACTGTAAAATAAATAGACAGTACACGAGGTTATCACGGCCTAGGCCATTCAAACGGAAATAATTTAATCAAAATATTTGAGGTTTTTTGCCCAAAGCTGTTTCCGGGTATTTCTGTCAATTCCAAACTGCAACACGTTTCGGGTTTGCTCATATCATGGAAGCCAAGTTTTTCTTTGCAGCGTTGGTTCTCAGTGCTCTTTCTCCCATTTCAGGCTTCAACCAAGGTAAGGTTAATTCGTTTAATTTGTTTAGTCCAAAGTTTGAAGAATTATACAGGATTTGGTATGTATTTATTCATATAAAAACGTCAGACGTGCTAGAGCAGATTTGACCTCTGGCATCATGGCTCATGGTATTAACCAAAACGAAGCAAAAGTGAACAATCTTTGACCACTCACAAACACTCTTGCTAGATTTCTTCAGAGGAGAAGCTACACTTTAGGTCTATCTCAGTGGGGAGGAATTTTGTTCCCCCAATCAATTTAATCTCTATTACCCTCTTGTTCAGCGCTAAATACTAACGGAAGCTCAGGTGATACAGTGATAATTCAAGTTAACGAAACCGTGATCTCAAACTTTTTCATAAGAGGCTGCATGCCTTGCTCTAAATTAAGCAGACGTTGCTTCAGTATAGTGAGAGAGGAAAGAAAGCTTCCGTTCTTCTCCTAACAATTTGGTCATGTCTTGTTTCGATTGTTTCGCTACTAAGCAACGGAAGGGGTTTTTTTTTATAAAGCCAGTCTTGTTTTTTTCCCGCTTACAGAGGCCTCTTTTCTCTGGGGAAAGCATTTTTCTCTCCTAACAATTTGGTCACGGTAGCCGTCTTGTTTCTCGAAAAACGGATCGTAGGCTTAATTAGTTGCAATAACGAAATAGTAAACTTTCTCTCTTTTTTCATAAAAGACTGTAGTTCTGAGGTACGCGCTGTCAAATCAAAGCAGACATTGCGAAATTAAAAGGTGAAATACTAGTTGTGTTACGCATACCAAAGTAAATAGGATTCACACACTTGGTAAATAATAGCAAGGTAAAGTAATCTGGGTTTACATTACGGCACGTTTCAAGCATTCGCCGAGGCGATACGAGACGAAAGCTTTGACCACACACAAAACAGACTTTCTAGATCTCCGCGCTATAGGGGATATACGAAACACAAGCGGTGTCAAACGGAGGGGAAGCATTTCGGCAGCCCAAGCAATATTTTACAATCTTGCTCGAAAGCCCCAGCTAGTGAAAGCCTTGTTGGTACAGTCAAACCCCGTTATTACGTAACTACAGTCGACTCTCTCTTAACGGACACCTCTATAAGACGGACACCTCTGTAAAACGGACACCTAGAGTTGGTCCCTGCCTTGTTTATTCCCTTTATTTGACTCTTTATAAGACGGACAAAGGTGTCCGTCTTGCAGAGAGTTGACTGTACACTGAAGGGGCCATAGAAGCTATCCGGGGGGGGGGTACTTTAGGAATTTCTGGGTGGGGATGTGCCGCCTGGACCCTGGAACCCTTAACCTATACCAGAGCTAGTTCAGCTAAATTTTGCTACCCTATACTAGAGTAAACTCCCCAAATCCCCCTATCCTAGAGTAGCTGTTTCCCTTGTCCAGATAAAATCTTTAACCAACTGATCAGTTTCCTGAAAAATGATACCCTATTCTAGACCCAAACGCTCTGATTTATATACCCTATCCTAGAGTAAACTGCTTGAAAACCATACCCTTCACAGCGGCACGTACCTATATAGCCCATTTAAGGCAGTATCCCCCCCCCCCCCCCGGAAAGATTCCGTTTTTTAAAAAAAGGTGTCGCGTTTAACGGGGCCATCTTATTAAAGCCAAAAAACCATTTAATAAAAACAAAAAAACTAAAAAAAAGAAAAATAAAAAAAAAAACATAAAAATAAAAAAATATTAAANATCCTAGAGTAAACTGCTTGAAAACCATACCCTTCACAGCGGCACATACCTATATAGCCCATTTAAGGCAGTATCCCCCCCCCCCGGGAAAGTATCCGTATTTTAAAACGAGGTGTCCGTATTAAGCGGGTCATCTTATTAAAGCCAAAAAACACTTTAATTAGAAAAAAAAATCTAAAAAAAGAGAAAAGGACATAAACATCGTCAAATTAAACATCTCTTAGAACCTTCACAAAGCCGTCATTCAGCAGACTAAATCCGCGAAAGACTCAAAACTTAATTGCTCATCTGGCATTACTTAATCAAAAACCGTGCGTTCTCTGCATAACTGTCATAACTCGTTTGATGCCAAAATCGTTTGAAATTGACGTCTACAAATCAACCTATCCGGTGTACTGTCCGGTGTACTGTAGCTGTCAACTGAAGGTTTAGGATGGGTAAAACTGGCGAGAAAATGCTTTCAAGTCAGTCTGGTTCGAGTTCTCCTTTTTTCTGACTTTTGTGACGTAACGACGCCTGAATGACCCCGCCGAGCATGCCACATAGAACGTCTTTTGTGGGCGGACAACTTAATTGTTAAATTACTTCGGCGATCCTATTTGCCCTTTGGTCCGGACAAGGCACATTTTAAGGCAAAAAAAACAACAACAACAAAAGTAAAATCTGATCGATCATTGTTTCGATCGTTTTATTACGAACTGAGCCTAAGTTTTTTTTTTAACAAAACGACCATGGAGATGAAATTGATTTGGAAAGTAAAAGGCTGACTATGAGCTAGCCTCCCACGCAGGCGTGGGAGGCAAACTACGAACGTCTCTCTTTTTTCTTAGTCCGTCAAAGGGAAACGCGCGATACTCGAAAATGACCACGCGCAGGACTGAAGGCGCGAGACTCACTCACTAAATCTAAAGAAAAAAAGATGCTGCTCGCAGTCTAGAGAGGCTTCGCCATCGTGACATACCTATTGCTTACTTAATAGAACAAAACAGAAAACAGCAAAGAACAAAGCGACTCGAGTATTCCTGGGGATATAAAGTACTCAAATCGCTTTGTTACTTGCTTTTTTTAGTTATAACAGTTAATTGGTCTTTGTTAAAACAGCAAGATTTGGATACCGTCATTATTATAAAAGTTCTTACTCAGTATGATCTGGCGAGTTTTTTGGCGTGTATAACTGAATTCATTTTGCCTTCACTACCCAGAAAGACACCCATACAAGAGTAGAAACAGGTGCCTATAGGTCAGAAAGGACCTCAAAGCCAGTTTAACCCATTCGCCCCTGAACCGCCCGTAACCGCCCGTGCGGATCCACGTCCTTTCTACCCTTTGTGACGTCATCAGTTTTAACGGTCAAGGACAACCTTCTTCGCTAACTTGTGTAGAGTGAAGAGATCTTTCAAACCATACCAGAATGAGCACAATTCAGTCAAGGACACCGGAGAAAGAAGCAAAAAACCACGTGACATTGACCTGAAAATCTCCATGAAAATCTTGTTCCATTGCCCACCTACCTTTCCTTTCACCTAATCCTAAGANGTCAAGGACACCGGAGAAAGAAGCAAAAAACCACGTGACATTGACCTGAAAATCTCCATGAAAATCTTGTTCCATTGCCCACCTACCTTTCCTTTCACCTAATCCTAAGATCCTAAAAGCTTTCCTAAAAATTCTTCCCGCCAAAATGAAGCCTACTAAATGCCCAGCAAGAGAAAAAAAAAATGAAGCAAGAAAAGCGAAAAAAGAAGGGAGGAGAAAAAGCGATCTCGAAATTTTGCTTTCTGCGCATGCCCGAACTTCGCAAGCTGATGTTTTGCATCTGGATCAGAAGGCCGCCAAGTGTACGACCTGTAAACCGGTTTGTGGTAAGTTTTAGCCCTTTATAGTACGACAGTGACCAGAAAACCACTCGACTAGCTTCAAAACGCGTTTTTCAGCAAAATCTCCAGGAGCGAATGGGTTAAGTTTATTGCAAAATTACCGTAAGATTACAAGACCGCACTAAATTACAAACACCCTATGACGAAAAAAAAAATCTCTAAAAAAACTGAATACGACACCGCCGATAATACGAAAACCCAAAACCGCTTTGTGGATAACTCGGCGAACGTATACCCCGCCTCCTGCTGACTGATCAGCTGCGGTGCCGACAAGTCGGGGGCAGAGGTCCGCGAAAACTAACGACTTTAAATTGCCTGCAGACATAAATAAACAAATTGGCAAATAAAATGTTAGGAGCTCGAATGAATGCTGACCTAGACTGATTCAAACTTGCAACTAAACAAACCGTATCTCAGAAAGCTACCCACAATTCCTCCTAGCCGACCCAGTCCTCTGGTCCGTGCCGGCAAAATAGCTATTTCTATCTGTTCCGTTTTTAATATACTACACTTTTCCAGATGTGTTCCTTTTTTTTCCGCTAACTCCACCTTCACTTTTTTAATAATACAGGTTCAGAGAAAACTACAGTAAAGACAATTTATGATGATATAGCCCACCTCACGTGTTCAGCGAGTGGTAACCGTTTGCCTTCCGTTAAATGGGAAAGAGACGGAAAAGAATTAACGGATGAAAGTTTGGGCATAGTCATCATATCCTGGGACAATGGTACACAAGTCAACAGTCACCTGATTATTGCGGTCAACGGCGATGAACGCTGGGGAAAGTACACTTGTGTTCTGTCCAGCAATGGCAAAGAAACGCGGGAAAATTTTGTCATAGAAAGAGGCGAGAAAGGTCAGTTAAGATCGTAATCCATGTTACTAATCGATATTATTATTCATTCCAAATATTTCCCCAATTCTGATTGGCTAATAGCACACGCATAATTCTCCATAACCAGTTACTGATGACCAAATTTGGAAGAATTTTGTGTTTAACGAGGAAATGACGTCAAAAATGCAGCCTTCTACAGGTTAATGCACCGTTAACCGAGAAGACCTGGGGCCAAGGTGTTTTTTTTTGGTTGTGAACTTGAAATATGGCGGACATTTTACTCGTTTCAAGAGTAAGAACTAGGCGAAAAAAGAGCTAAAAACATGGCAAGAACAGCAAGAAGACAACTCGAAGGGTGGCATCTGCTATTTGGAGAATATTTGCGGAGCTGAACAACCCTAAACGTGCACTATCTCGGAGGGTGTTATCCGTCGAGGCCGTAGGCCTCCTCTATCTCCATAATTCTTCATAAGATACTCAGCCTCATTCATTAATTGTTAAATATACGACGAAAGAAGGATAAAAACAGCATAAAGTTGTATTATACTTACTCATTCGTTAACCTGATATATAAAAACGAAAAAAGAAAAGGTTTATAGATGCTTTCTTTTTTGTTAAATTGACTCGCAGGAAATGGAGACAAAAACTTGACGAGTGTGGATTTAATCGCCATTGGTGTGGGGTTTGGAATAACGGTATGTTTATCTCTGATGATCCTCTACTACATGATAAAAGGAATCAGGCGACGTAAACAAGAGACCCCTGACGGCGAAAAGTCTGTGAATGGAGAGGTAAATGTGTATAAATGCCTTTTTTGCCGCCAGGTTTGAGACAGATCTACGTAGACAGTGGATTGCTGCTGGTTTATAAAAGTACCGCTCCCTCTATCTCGTCTCCAGTCTGTCCGTGTTCTTAGGTGACGCGTCTTGCGAGTGTCTTGGAGAGGTTGTCCTTTTCCGACGACGCACTGCGCTCTATTTTCCTCCCGAAAATGTCTCATGACACGTCTTGACATGACTTATGTTATGACCTTTTCATGGAAAAATAGATCAAGTTCAGTAGTCTCAGCGTGGACTAGCCCATTTCATTTTCATTATTTTCGTACAATTTACATAATCTCTTGGAGTTTCAAACTGTATAACGAAGTGGTGTTTTTACTTAATCGTTGGAGTAGTTTTAATACGCCTAACATAGCTTTTTGGAGTAGTTTCGATGTGTCTCCTCTCACAGCTTTTCTTTTGTTTTATTTTCAAAACAGGTGAACTCAGGGCTTGACGGTGATACTGCCTTATAACTTTGTTCCAGTTCAGCTTCACGCCATTGTGCACGCCTTATCGGTAGATCAAGCCACAGAGCCTTAGATTGTTAGCTGAACGCTGTGATAGCTAGCGCTTGCTGCAATATGGCACATATTTATACTATAACTAGTTGGAAGTTAATGAAGTGGGTTCGATACCAGGGAGGAAATATCTAAGAATTCTTTGTTGGCGCGTGCCTATGGAGTATTCCAGCTGGAATTTTGCCACTTTATACTTGATTGGTCTAGTCCAATCCAATCCAGAGTCCAGTCCAGATTTTCCAACTGGCCAACCTACCCTATCCTGATACAAACTATCAAACACAAAACTCCAGTTTTTCAAACAACTTATCAATTTTTTGATAAATGATACCCTAGCCTAGACGATTTTCAACGACGATTTTTAGCGGAACAAAGCGTTGCAACGTTGGAACGATGCTGGAGCTATTCGAAACAATGTCGTTGCGTTGGGCTAAAAATCGTCGTTGCGAATCGTTCCATGTAGCATCATCTTAACTTTTTGGAAAAAGAGACCCCTAATGACGACAGGATATACCTGTATGGACCACATTTGGCACCCCTACCTCGGAGGTCGGTATTTGAAAGTAGTCAGTTGTTGCGTATTTTTAAGAAAGATCATTTTGTGTCATTTCTAGCATATTTATGACAAAGCATACTCTAGAAAGGTTTACCGGTATATTTTGACTTGTCAACTGGAAATATACAAGAAACCGAATGAGAGTACAGTACTTTACACTTTTTTTTCCCAAATATGGACATATTTAGCGTACAGCTGAACATCGATTTGAACTTGATAGCAACCAAAATTTAAAAAAAAAATAGAAAATTATAAAAGTTGAAAAATCGTTTACGGAGACTTGTAGATTTTGCTTATTTGCTGATAAAAACAAGCTTTATTTATAACATTATATAGCCAAACAGTTAAAGCTATAAAAGCCAAGTTTATAGTCAACAACCGTGCACAGCTCAAGGTATTCAGTCTTAAAGAAAACAACATATTGACCCTCTTCCTGAAACTCAATTTACACGTCATTTTTGTCATCTTCTTCTTCTACTACTTCCCCCCCTTTTTGGCTATACCATGGCTAGGAAGGGGGACTGGTTATGAAACGGTGCCGCAGTTCTTGTTAAGATCAGAGCTCCAGTCCCTGACTGTGTACAAATCTGTGTGCCTATGAATAGGCCATTTCCGAGTTGCCCAAACCTCTGTTTCAAAGTGAGGCTAAGTGCGAAACCATTGATATGTCAATGAAAATGATATTAGATTCTCATGCAAATAGAATTCATTTTCACACGAAGGATTTGCACTTAGCCTCGTGTTGGAAAGTAAGAGTTTTTGGAACTCGGAAATGGCACATCGTACTTGAATAAATGAAAACGAAATTTCTATCGGTCAGTAATTCCACAGTGATGGGAACGCTATTGAACATTATGTGCGCTGAAGTCCAAAAGAACTAAGAAGCGTGACGGGCTTCATGACCATTGCACATTATTAACTACGTCTACACAATCGATATTTATCTCTTCTCATGCCTAAGCTTACGTTTTATGGAGGACGCAAAGAGGCGACAACGAAATTTTGCTTTTTCTGAACTTGGATATGGTTGTTAGAAAGAGAGTTTTCACCCTTCGATGAGAAAACCTGTATCCGGTTGCCTTCCTACCCAATCTTATCCCTCGCCGCAACCTGTTACAGTGCGATTAATACAAAAGTAATCGGATAAAAAAATCCGACCTCTCGCGACGCCTCTACTGGCTCCCCCCCCCCTGAAATGACGTCTGAAGTTGTCTGAGGGAAGGTTGAAGGTTGAAGCAAGTTTCCCCTTGCGGCATGATCAATCAGAAGCACTACTCAGATCTGGGTAGTGACACGTTATCAGTACGGAAATTTTGCAGTCGTACCTCAGACCTCATTTCGCAGGGACGGTCCAATGGTGGAGTCGACAAAAGCAGCCTGCGGCGTTGCAGTTGTTTCCATTTCTTTTAAGCCAAGCGGGAGAAACGAGACGCCTGAGAAAAGAAGCCAAAAAAATAAAGAAGCTCCTAAGTTTGCTCTTTTTTTCCCGATGCCCTCGCTCGTCTTTTCGTTTTTTTGCTTGTCCCTTGGCTTCCTTTAAAGGAGACGGAAACGACTGCTGCACATGTTCGGTATATTCAACAAATTCTGTTGCAGTTATTTTATGCCGGCTTAATAGGTTACCGTTGTTGGAATTTCTTTCATGAGTTATGCAAGTTATCAAATTAGCGGATAATTATTAAATAGCTTCGCTATTTTCCCCTCACTCACTATGACTCAAAAAAGGCGCGACGAACGCGCCTTTTTTCCCGGCCCGACTGACCGCCCCTGGGTCTCCGAGGATGACTGTGACCAGTGTGACCAGCAGCTGTGACTCTACTCTTATATGTTGGGGGACCTGTGGTTTGAAACGCCAAATCGAGGCATCGCATGGCAAACAGCGACAACAATATGGCGGCCACGGTTGACGGTGTGGGTACAGCGAAAAGAAGAGGGCCTGAAAGAGACGAAGCCCAAGATGAATCATCGGACAGGTAGGTTAAAAATTTCTATGGACACTTTCATGCTCGTTTGCGGTTTATTTTCGACAATTCGTCTCTTTTTTGGCCAATTTAGTTCCGTATCAAATCCCGATGTCAGCCGCCATGTTTCCAACGATAAAAAAACGTCTGATTATGGACATGATCATAAGAAGAAGAAGAAAAAGCATAAACACAAGCATAAAACTCACAAACACAAGCACAAACGTCATAAGAGGAAAGACAAGGAAGATGCGAATGAAAACGGGGAGCCCTCGGAGAAAAAGTCAAAGATTGCGGACGAACTTCTGGAACTTGAAAGAAGGAAGGCTTTTCTGCAAGAACAGTTAGCGGAAGCGGCACGAAGCAGTGATCAGCACTCACTTGAAGATGATAAGCTCCACGGAAGTAAAAGTGAGGATTATTTTAAGGATAAACTGAAAGAGAAATCGAGACACGATAATGCACGTGACAGGGACAGAAAACACAAGTCGTCAGACTCGAAGTATAAAATTTCTGATGGCAAACTTAGTCACAAGGATGAAAATGAGAAAGGAAGGCAGCAAAGTCCATCAAGAAATAAAGAACGAAAGGAGGATAGTAAAGGGAGTAGAAAACCAAGCATTGATTCCCAAAGGGAAGACAAAGTTCGCGAACATTCTCATCGTTCCAGGGGACATAGTAGTAGCTCTCATGAAACCAGCAGAGCTGAAGTGAAACTTAGGCATGAATCAAGTTCAAAGAGTAACACTGAAAAGGAGAAAACACTTCTCCAAGAGAAAGGTTCATCCAAGGTTGAAACAAGCAGAAATGAGAGTGCTAGAAAGTCAAAGTCACCCAAGCCACATTCAAGATCTAAATCACCAAGAAGAGATAGGCTTTCTGACAAACCAAAAGAGATGTCAAGAGAGGCAAGGAGTCGATCACCTAGGAGAGCTTCTTCAAAGGAAAAGCAAAGGAGAGATGAAGGTGGTAGACGAAGCAGTAGATCTCCAAAAAGGGACAGAAGGTCATCTTCAAGATCAAGAAGACGGAGTAAATCACCAAGACGGAGAAGCCGATCACCAAGGCGTCGCAGTCGTTCTCCAAGGAGGAGGAGTAAATCTCCAAGACGGCACAGTAGATCTAGATCACCACGGCGACGGCGAAATAGTGATAAGTATAAGGATAGCTACTCTGAAGGACAAGCGCATAAGGGAGACTCAGATGGAGAGTAAGTTTTTTGTTACTATTATCCTTATTTCAGCTGCAGAAAGTATTTAAAAAAATCACAGAACAGCGTGCAAAGAAAGTCGTGTCCGATAGCCTGGAGCTTGTGGATTTTTCAATCGGGCTTGCGAATATCCTGTTGAAGTTTTTGGAGAAATTCACATTACAGAGGAACTGTAGTCAATGCTGTTCATCAAAATATTTTTGGGCTACTTAAAAGACTGTTGAGCTAGTACATACTAGCAACAACTTGCCCGAATGGCAAGCTGTAAAACCGACTTTCTTTGCACCCTGCAGAAGTTTGTTAGGAGGAGGCTTTTTTAAAGCACGAATGATTGATCTTATTCACACAACAAAACAAGATCAAGGTTTGCGGGGACAATTTCTTAACCGTAGAATGCGGGTAAGGTCCATTACAATGTACCATTTGAGTAGATTGCATTAAGCAACTTTGTTTGCTGAGCAAAGCCAAGGACACTTCATTATAAGTAAAGAATTGTAAAGCTATTATATTTTTGCATTTAAGGGAAAGGTCTATCTGATAAATACATTTGGCATACTGTTTAATATAAAATTTGCTGGTGTTGCGTTTCAGTGTTGACTTATATAACTTTCAAATGGATGAGGAAGAGGAAGAAGACGAAGATGCAATAATTGAGAAAAGAAGGCTTCAGAGGTTAGCCATACTACAAAAATACCAAGGTACAGCGTCAAACGCTCCTTCAACAGTCAACTCAGTTGTGTCGCAGTCACCTCCTGATGAGCGGTCTGATAGTGAGGACAGTGATACGGTGGAGAAGCTTGCTACCGAGGACTTGGAAAAGGAAATTGCACTAGCCAGTAGTCACACAAAGAAAGAACTGAAGGATGGTAAAAAGGACAATGACTCAAGTTCTGACAGTCAAGCAGATAGTCAGAAAAAATCGGCTGTTGGTGACATGTTTGCGGATGATGATATGTTTTCTGAGAATTACAATGTAAGTGTTGTTTAGCAGACTGCTTTTTATTAAGTTTTTTGTAACTTCATATGCATGTGTACGTAAATTTACATAAGCTTCCAGTTAAATTTAAGTCTTCAGTAGTTTTCCAGATGTCACTTTTTATTTTGTTTTATTTCTTATTTCTCATGATTTTTCCACAATTAGATTAAATACATACCTGTACACAATTTTCAGATGGATGAGGAAAGCAAGCCCATGGAAGCCAATAAGGCTCATGAAAAGGACCACCTTTAAAAATATATGACTAAATTATGAAATAAAACAATGGCAGAAAATTCTAATCTGTAGATCTTAGTTTCTGACTTTTTTTGGCAGAGGGTTAATTACCAAAAATTGCTATTATTTTTGTAGAGTCCAGCACGAGCACTGAAGTTAGAAGCAGGGAAAGAAAATCCAAACCTAACAGACAACTGGGATGATGCAGATGGATATTACAGTAAGATTGTCTTTTTCTATTCTTCTTTTCCTAACCCCTTAATCCCAACTAATTTTGGGCATGAAATTCTTTCACGTTTTCCAGTTTGGGTGCAAATTAATTTTACTCTGGGAAAAAGCTGTCCGAGTATTGTCATCCAAATTTTGGCCACATTTGTTTGAATTGTCATTGATGTGTAAGTAGTAATAACTTTTTCACTTTTCAATCATTATCGGAGGACTCCATGCAAAAGTGTCCACTTCAAATAGGACTTACATATGCGTGAGCAGAGGACATTATTGCTTGGAGCCCTGTTGAATGTAAAATTAATACAAACAATTTCTTTGGTGCATTTTCTTCAAGGAATTCGCATTAGTGAAGTTCTCGACAAGCGTTATTGTGTGTATGGATACACTGGGGCAGGAGTGTTTGGTAATGTTGTACGTGCAAGAGATCAAGCCCGGGGAAACCAAGAGGTTGCTGTGAAAATCATCAGGAATAATGAGATGATGTAAGGCCGCATTTTTTTATGGGTTGTGAACTGCCTGATGCTAGAATTCTTAGTTCCTGCACAAGATTCTTTGTTCACTTCAGTTCTAACTGAATATGTGTGGAAAACCCTTTTGCACTTTTGTCAAGACAAAGCTATGACTATTTCTTGTCTGCTTAGATGACACTACCTATCAACAGAAAGTATCAAAATTGACCAATCAGAGGGTGTAAAAGATTCCAGATTTTCACTTGCTCCATTTTTTTCCCATGCTCCACTATCTGAATTCTTGGAACAGGCTGTGACAAATTAAGACCTTCAGGTAGCAAATACATCATTTCTTTTGTGTGGACTACTGAGCCATAGGTGAGAACAATGTGTGGATTAAATCCTTAGTTATTAGTTTTTACACTGTGCAGTGTATACTGTACTTAGAGGCATGTTAGTGTGGACTTCAACCCTTTAAGCCCCAATATCAATTCATTAATTCTTCAGACTGATCTCCATTCATTTCCTTAAAGAAATGGTTGAGAGAATTTGTGTAAAGATCAAACCATTTTCTCTTAGGTGATCAGTTGGTTATTCTCATAGCCTNCTTCAGTTCTAACTGAATATGTGTGGAAAACCCTTTTGCACTTTTGTCAAGACAAAGCTATGACTATTTCTTGTCTGCTTAGATGACACTACCTATCAACAGAAAGTATCAAAATTGACCAATCAGAGGGTGTAAAAGATTCCAGATTTTCACTTGCTCCATTTTTTTCCCATGCTCCACTATCTGAATTCTTGGAACAGGCTGTGACAAATTAAGACCTTCAGGTAGCAAATACATCATTTCTTTTGTGTGGACTACTGAGCCATAGGTGAGAACAATGTGTGGATTAAATCCTTAGTTATTAGTTTTTACACTGTGCAGTGTATACTGTACTTAGAGGCATGTTAGTGTGGACTTCAACCCTTTAAGCCCCAATATCAATTCATTAATTCTTCAGACTGATCTCCATTCATTTCCTTAAAGAAATGGTTGAGAGAATTTGTGTAAAGATCAAACCATTTTCTCTTAGGTGATCAGTTGGTTATTCTCATAGCCTTTACTATTGAAAGTCTAATTGATATTGCAAGGAGAAGATTGATTTTGGTCACTCTTGGGACAGAAAGGGTAAAAAGAGAGGCACCGCATGTATATCAAAACAATGAATATTTTATTGGATTTTTGTTGTATCCATTTTAGGCACAAAACTGGCCTTAAAGAGTTGGAATTTCTAAAGAAGTTGAATGCTTCTGATCCAGATGACAAATACCACTGCTTGCAATTGTTTAGGCATTTCTTTCACAAGAATCATCTTTGTCTTGTGTTTGAATCACTCAGGTTAGTACTACTTTTGACTTTTTAGGTTTTCTTTAGTGTCAAGGTTGTGCCTAACACCAAGGAGTGCAAGTCTTATCTTGCTGGCCAGTGGTGTTGAAATATGTGCATGCTCCAGGATCCCACCACAGCACACAGAGCATTGCAGTGTTGGAACAACGTTGAAACCATTCCAAACAATGTCATAACAATGTTGCAGTGCTGTGTTGTGCTAAAAAACGTTGTTGTGAATCGTCTTGTGTAACATCACCTTAAGAGACAGCTCTGAATCTTGTTTGATGGTTTCTTTTATCTCTCAGTATGAACTTAAGGGAAGTGTTAAGAAAGTATGGTCAGAATGTTGGTTTACATTACAAAGCAGTGCGATCATATAGTCAGCAGCTGTTCCTTGCTCTGAAGCTTATGAAAAAGACAGGTATCATCCATGCTGACATTAAACCTGACAACATCCTGGTAAGGAAAAACGTTTGTATATAACGAAGTGTAATATTCCATTTTTACTAGTCTGTGTACAGACTCCCCCCTCCCCCTCAGAAAAAGAGGGGGGGTGGGGGTGTATGTACACAGGCTACATTTTTACCAGCTTTTTTAAGGGAATGAGTGAAGGGTTTGTACTTGTCATGGGAAATCTGGAAAGTCATAAAATTAAGAATTTCATTTTCCAGGCTTGGAAAGTACTGTAATTTAATTGCTTGTCCTGGGAAATCATGGAGAATTAGATATTCGGCACATGTAGATTAGTTACTGCAGATTTCAAAGCGAGGAAAATGTAAAATAGAGATGGGTAATTAAATGGCATATATTTTGATGGACATCAGAGTTTGTGCCTATTGAACTGTGTTAGATCAAAAGATACCCTAGGGTTTTGAAAATAATATTTTCGAAAGTGACTGGCAAACCATAGATTATGGAAAATAAAAGGGTGATGGAAAAAGTCATGGAAAGTTGTGGAAATTTGAAAAGCTCAAAAGAGTATGAAACCTGAAGTCCGTGTTTGATTAGGGCAAGGGATATCTAGAAGTTTTTAAGGTCATTTTTGAGTCCTAAATAATTCCTTGTGAAATATTATTCTATGTCTTTTCTATAGGTGAATGAATCTAAACTGGTGGTAAAACTATGTGATTTTGGATCAGCCTCATTTGCTTCTGATTGTGATATTACTCCTTACCTAGTCAGTCGTTTCTACAGAGCGCCAGAGATAAGTAAGTTGTTCTGAATGCTTTTCAGATCTTGGCTATTTTCTACAATCCACTGTTGTTTCAGGGCTTGTTTGTGCAACACACATGAGCCGAAGAAAAGTGGCTAAGCTTTCAGATTTTACATTTTATTAACTTTGAAAAACGGTGACCTCGCTGTTACTTAAATTTTGCTCACCCATGTTTTCTTTTTGCTTTTCTGTATTAAATTTTCTCCTAGTCCATTCTCTTTTTCAGTTTTGAGAAGTGATAATTTTGATACTTCAGTCAACAGTGTCATTGTTTTGTCAAATTAGTAGTGTTCCTTAGATCTAGTATTGGGTGTTTCACTTCCTAACATACTAACAGTTTTTTCTTTGTTTATTTGTTTTTTGTTTGTTTGTTTTTTGTTAGTTATTGGAGCAAAATATGACTACAACATAGACTTGTGGTCAGTGGCAACAACATTATTTGAGCTGTACACTGGAAAGATAATGTTTTCAGGGAAAACCAACAATGAGATGCTGAAGTTGATGATGGATTATAAAGGTAAAATGCCCAACAAAATGATCCGTAAAGGAGCACTGCGGGAAAGCCATTTTGATGAAAACTGCAACTTTCTGTACCATGAAGTGGACAAGATCACTCAGAGGGTAAGACTGATTTCTTTTCCAGATTGTAGTAGAATCTCCATTGAGTGACCTTTCAGTTTCTTCAACCTCCCTTACAATTGAATCTACCCCTCCCCAGTCAACGACTGTAATATTATTTTTCCCTCCCATTTCTTACCGTCATGTCAGACCTTTTCCCTTTTCCCCCTGGAGGATGAATAAATCACGATTCCACAATAAATATTCCTTGATGACACTACTTGTAACAAAGTAACATGACGTGCTGAAACATGATATTTGTGTTACAGTTTTTTGAAAAAAACTTAAATCTTAGTCTGTCATTTGACAAGGAGTTCTCAAATTAGTTATTTATCTTGCCCATCGCAGTTGCTTGCTTGTTTTATTTTGTATTATCATGTTAAGATGACAGGACTTCCCCCAAGGCCTGCATTACATGCACTGTATATGAAGTCCTAGAAATGAGTGAAAAAAAGGTTACTAACATTATTATTATTCAGAATGGACTTTTGAAGTATTTTCTACTTGTGATGTGCTGTGTATATTGTTGTGTGGTGAGACAAAAGCAGCGGTTTTAGCAGTTCTAGTGGTTGGATGTACTCATTATTATGCTCACCTCTTATCTAGAATAATGGTTCCAAAAGGACATTTAACCATAGTATGATTTCATCTCAATGGTACATCTTGTATGCTTTGTGTACAGTTTTTGCATAGTATACAGATTATGCCATCTGTTGCATAACCTGTTCACTGTGCAAATTGGCCACTTAAGAAATGAGAAGGAAAAACTAGGCTGAGTTAACTTTCATGAAGACTTCTGGCTCTGTTACTGGGGACAAGTAAAAAATATTGGCCATTAGCTGAGAGATGTATCCCCAGTGATGATACCAGAAGTGAAAATTAACTCGGCCCAGTTGAATCTTTCTTGTTTCCAATGTGGTGAATAGATCCGCAGAGGTGGAACAGGTAGAAAGCTACATGTGGGCAACTGTTTTTGCCTTCCCATCTTCAAGACAGATGATAAAGTTGCATCAGAACCAGTTGCACTACATCTTTTAAACCTTCTGAATTATTCTGAGTAAAACGTGGCATACTGTGGCCTTTGTTTATAATAAATAATATTGAAGGAAAAATGGTAATTCACTGTGAGTATCAACTCAGTTGGTTATTAAACCCTTTTACTCCTCCACTGATGTAGAAACTAACTCCTTCATCCATATTAACCCTTTAAGTCCAAATATTGACCAAGATCAATTTTCTCCTACCAATAAAGTATCAGTTCATAATCAAGAGAAAAGGTTATGCTTTGATCTATTATCAAATTCTCTCAATGAATTCTTTAAGGAAATGTGTGAAGATCAGTATGGAGAATTTGTATGTGAATATTGAGGCTCAAAGGGTTAAGAGCTTTAGTGGCTGCAATCTTTTATTGATATTCTAAACTCTTTCTTCCAGGAAAAGATCACTGTCATGGGCTCAATAAATCCTACTAAGGAAGTGGTGGAATCTTTGTTGGGCTACAAAAAGCTGAACGAGGAACACAAACGCAAAGTTATGCAGCTGAAGGATCTGCTAGACAAGTGTCTAATGTTGGATCCAGCCAAGAGGATCTCACTTAATCAAGCTCTTACACATCCATTCATCACAGAAAAGGTTTGAGCTGCCGAACGCTGTTCATAACATCATAAGACTTTGAATTTGCAATCTTGAATCTTTCATTCTTTGTTTATAAACCATAAACTGTAGTTTAGTTGGATATGGACTCAAGGATGGTGGTATGGACTGTGCCTACTTGGAAGTGTTATATCTGTAGACCTGCTGTAGATAATTTTAGTATAGAAAATTCCAAAACTCAGAGCAAAAATTAAGAAAGCAAAAACAAATATTTTGTCTGAATCACTTGGACTTCATCAGCGTTGTAGAGAGTGGCAGGTTACATAACAGTAAATTAACGAATCCCAAACAGAGAATTGTAAATCGCTGGTAGGTCCAGTCCCTCAACTCTATTTAGGGAGTCAGGATTTCCTTTGTTTAATAGCAATGGCTTCTTTGACTCAGTGATGAAATATTCGTTTTGTTTTCTTAATTTTTACTCTGAGTTTTGGAATTTTGTATACTCAATGTCTTCACTAAGGTGAAAAAACCTTTTTGGTACTGCTGTAGATAACATTCTGTAAGATTTCTAATTTAAAATGCACACTGCTTTGCAAACTTGTAGCAATCTGGTTTGCCTACCCTCCAAGTTGGTCTCTTACATTGTTTGTTGCTTGTCCACAAAGGTTTTAAGTGATTTTGGTTAAAGGTTAATGGTGATTTTTTTTATTATTAAGATAATTTATTATTATTATTATTTTGGTATTTCAATTTCTGACAAAATGGTAATATTAATAAATTATTGTTATTATTATTATTACACTATTTAATGCAATGATATCATTAATTTTTGCCGCTAGTGTAGGTTAAGTCTACATACTCTCAGATATTGTTCGTGTGTGGATAGCCATTAACTAAATATGTTTGTGTGCATGCATTTTTTTTGTTAATTTGATGAACAACTGTTTATTTCTTATCGTTAAACTTCAACTTCAAGTGGATTAGGTAACGATAAAAAATAACTCGTACTCTAGAAACATGGCTAGCCTATCTTTCGAAGCTCAGGCTTGATTAACTGGAAGCCTTTCATATTTTTCTGAAGCAAGAAATGAAAGAATACAGTGTAAGAGTAACTGAGGTGGGCATCAATGTTAGTCAAGGTTAATTAAGAGTCAGGTCTAAAATAATGGAAATGATGTGCATCATCTTGAACTAAAATGTTTATTAATGCTGTGGTCCAAATTTTTCTTGATTTTCTGTGGATCCTTTGTCTCAGGTATGGTAACCTACAGTATTTAAGACAAAGTTATGCTGTGTTGAACTCTACAAATTAGTTGATTCCCGTGCCTTTATCTGTTTCTAACTTGTAATTTAAGTATAGGCCGGACACAGTGCTCATTGATCAACTTTGTAAATATGCCTTGTTGCTTACCATTTACATTATTTACATGTAGGTTTAAGAAAAATAAAGTAGTTGATAAGTGTTTCCCACATAAGTCTAATACTAATGTTTTAACTAAGGGTGACAAAGGAAAAAAAAAGATACTTTTTTACACTTGAAACTGGAGATGGTTGCCGCATTAGAATTTCATACTTGTCCTGTACCTTCTCCTTTAGCTTCTCCTTTCACTCATTTGCTGCTCTCACATATGAAATATTTTTCAACACTTGAAGACAAATTTTGTATCTCTGTTGTGGTTAATTTTTATTTTTCTATTGTTTTGGGGTATGGTAATGTATGGTAATGAATTTTAAACAAAGGAAAAACAAAAATTAACTGAAAAAATTAACGTCAACATCTCCATGCGGCCATGTAGTATCTTGTATACCATAAACTTTTGCTTATGCGCCCCCTAGTTATAGGCCCATCAACCTGTAAACAAAGAAACACATTTGGTTCTAAGCTCTCCCCTTCCCTGGATACAAACGCCCTCTTGCATGTATTGGAATGAATTCAATTTTTACGATATTTTAAAGAAAAGTGAAGGAATTCAAAAAGTATTTTGATCAACACTGCTATGTTGCTCTATAGTGAACACCCCAGTATGAAGAATGTTAACCCTTTAAGTGCCAATAGTGACCAACATCAATTTTCTCCTAACGATATCCATAGATTGTCAAGTGCAAAGTCTATGAGATTTAATAAAATGATTACAAAGAGATCAATCTTTGATCTTTTATCAAATTCTCTCAAGTAATTTCCTAAGGACTGTATGGAGATCAGTCTGGAGAATTTGTATGTGGATATTGGGGCTTAAAGGAGTAAGCGAAATGTATGGAATGGGACCCTGATAAAGACTCTAACATGTACCCGTGTTAAGACAGATGGCTTGTCTCTTTGTTATGTTGAGATTCCACTTTTTTCCTGTTAAGTATTATTAAAGCGCATGTGACAGTATTGTTATTGATGATTTGAATATTTTATAGTTATCCCTGCAGGCATGGCCGTAATACTGAGTGACATCAGTCACACTGGATTAAAGATTATTAACGTCATTCAAGAATCTTAATTGGAGGTATTACTGATCTCATGGGCACGGGGAGAATTTTTCATTTCAGACTGAAACAATGAACTTCTCTGTACCCCTGCCATTACAGTCACTATCCCTCAATTTGACTTTTTTTAGAGATTTTTTGGTGTATCATTACGCATTAATCTGCAGTGGAGCTGTAAGTGTTTGTAAGTTGAGTTACTAGACAGTGTCTCTAGTGAATAAGGCACTCTGAAGCCTCATCACATTTAAGAACACCAAATATTAACAACAAAATCAAACTATTAAGAAAAAAAGAGAAAAAAGTAGTAGGAAAGTTTTTGAGAAAATACACACTAAGAAAAACATGAATAACTGAGCTCAAAATTGCTGGTAGATTTGCAGAATTGCCACTGTAAATTTTACAGAATTGTCATGTCTCATTTCAACAGAACTGTCTGCCTGAAGGAATACAGGAATTTAAATGGAATGATTTTCCCAGGAGGCATTTAGCTGGGAGATTACGATGATTCTAACATTAAACACAGTTTTTCACTTTCCTGACTTTAAATCATCGTAACTTGAAACTTCTTGGTTATGCTTAAGTCAATGCTGCAAATTGTACTGTTTTCCCAACAGCACACTACTAAAATAAATTCTTGTCTCCATTTTTTTGGCAAAACAACGAAATTATGCCACCTCCTCTAAATAAAACATTACTGATTGAAATAGTGTCATCTTTATTATTCATGTCAAACCATCTTGAAAAAAACAGGCTATCCCTTTTTTGTCAATAGAATTCCAGCTTGTAAACAGTCAGTTTTGTAAGTATTTGAACAGACCTCAGTCATCAAATATACTTTATTAATTTTTAATAACATTACTCAATCATTACAAAGTGCATGTTTCTAAAAAAAAAATTTTCATACAGTTTTTCTGGATAAGAGTCAGAAACTGGCCCGAAAAAAGAGGGGGGAATGTGCTTCTATTGAATCAAAGGCCACATGCAAAAACTTCAGCTGACTTAAATAAAAGGAAATAAATAAATAAATAAAAAACAGTCCTAAGAGTCTTTTGGCATGGTTACTCTGTATGCACTTAGCCGTTCTTTATTTTGAAAATAAAAAATAAGAAATCATCATTTTTGTGCGGATCCCCTAATACCCATTTTTTTCAAACATGGTTTCCCATCATTTTTTTCTTTATTTTTTAGGTTGTAGATGACAGACTTTGGTAACTAAAGGTACTGTGATATTATTCCAAATATTGTGTAGCTTTAATTCTGAGCAGCAGCAAACCAACAGATGTGAGAAAAAGTTAGATTTTAGCGCCATAAGTGGTACAACAAGTTGCCCCCTGAAAGATATGACGAGTCTCACTCATGGGTAGATCCCTAGACTTGTGATCTAGCAGTTAGTACTTTCACTACCTGGTAATTTGATTTGCATTTATTAATGACAGATTAGCCCTCAAACATTGCATACAAAGATAAAAAAAATAATTGCATAAGCTGCCAGGTGGTGAACTCAGCACATTTAATTTTTGAAGTCAATTGGTGGTAACTGCAATGTCTTTTCTTGATAAATTTGCACCTTAATGACCAAAATGTTAGCAAAATCCACTTATAGCATTGCCGATTTTCAATCTCAATGTGATGAAGCCTGACTTTTAGTAATGTTGATGTGTACATCTTGTTTTCTTTCCTTTATAGGTGAGTTGGTTTGGTATTCTCATGTGCCTGAACATCCAGCAGTCAAGAATTGAATTCCAGTTGTCTCATAGCCTACCGGCTGGGTCTTGACGGATGGGGAGGAGAGTGGGGAGGGGAAGGAGGAGCTCTCTCCATCTCCATTCCCCACCTGCAAAAAGTGATTGAAGCCCACACTTCTAGAGCAGACGTTGCTTGCATGCTGGGCAGCAAATGAAGTTCACGTTATCCAACCGCCAAGACACTCAACATCACCGTAGTTACTAAAACAAGGAATGACCTACAATGATCTACAATGATCTACAATGACCTACAATGATCTACAATGACCTACAATGAGCTACTATGACCGAACCTGTAATCCCTGTAATGAGCTAAAATGAAGATTTTAGAAAAAGACAAAAAAAAAAAAGATCAGGGGACATGTGTGCGTAAATGTAACGCGTTTAGTCTACTGCATGACGGCCCATTTAACGATGACAGCATCTCTAATTATTTTGCTTGGAGATAAATTTACAGTGTAATAATATATGTATGATGATACTGTGACTTTTGTCCAAACCATCCCTTGCAGCCTTTCGCATTAATTTTATTTTGTCTTGTCTTTTTTTCAAACAAATTGAACAAACACAGTCACCCCAACAGTCGATCCGGGGGGATCTGCAAGGGACGTAAGGGTAGAGATGAACAAAGGAGGCCTTCAAATTCTGACCCTGTTCAAAAAAAATTTTTTTCATTTTTTTAAAGTACCCTGGCCTGTATAAGACATCATAAGACCCTTAAATGGATTTCGGTCCAACAGGATGCTCTGTTTGTAACACTCAATAGTAAAATCCATATCCTGCTCAGCGGCCGATACCCATCTAGGCCAAATAAGGGAGTGCCTGCATGACTTCCGTCAATACAGGGTATAATAGTGCTATACCAGTAAAAATGCGATCGCAATAATCTATTTTCAAGTTTCTCAAGTTACCTGAGATCAGGCATAATTTTTGTTTTGCCTTTTCAAAATGTGCTTGGCAATTTAATACTATGAGCCTAGTGTCACATCCAAGTGTGACACACGACAAACATCATTGTCTGTCATTTTGTAGCTCATTGTAGGGCTTATTTTAACTCATTTTAGCTCATAGTAGCTCATTGTAGCTCGTAGTAGCTCACCATCGATCATTGTAGGTCATTGTAGGTCATTGTGGGTTATTCCTTGTTTTAGTAACTACGACACACGTCCCCTGGTCTTTTTTTTTGTCATTTTCTTAAATCTTCATTTTAGCTCATTACAGGGGTTACACGTTCGGTCATAGTAGCTCATTGTAGGTCATTGTAGATCATTGTAGGTCATTGTAGGTCATTGTAGGTCATTCCTTGTTTTAGTAACTACGTCAACATCACTCGTGTCCCATTCAGTTTTATTTACAGCATCCCCACTGCACTCATGATGCAATCCACATTTTAAACTGAACCCACACCCAGCCTGTGAGCAAGCTCTCCGTTTTGGGGTTATCATGAGAATAGCTTGTTTCACTTGCTTTCAAAATGGAGAGCTTACCTGCTGACTAACCTCCACTCCATTTTACCTGTACTCACTTCACTTTACTCATAAACCAATGTTTGAGTCTTGTATTCATAGCCTGCATTGCAGACAGTCTAAATCTATGAGTGACAAGCCCAGCTGCAATGCAGGCTATGTTTGCAAGGCATTTCCAGTGTTTTAGGAGGAAAAAAGCCCTGGAAATGAAGTTGACAACATTCTGCACACAGACATACATTTAGAATTACATACGATCCTCCCCCCGCCTCTCAAACCCTCGCGCACTTTCCACTCAACATCTCGATAAAAACTTGACTTCACCACGTCAACATTCCACATTGCTGCGCACCACCTTCTCCCATCTCCATACAAAACATATACATCCGAACAACACGCCTCGGGAACGTCATTATCTCTAGGCGAAGTGTTAATATTTTGGGTGCAAAGCCCAGCTGCAATGGAGGCTTTGTTTGCAAGGCATTTCCCGTGTTTTAGGAGGAAAAAAACCCTGGGAATGAAGTTGAAAACATTCTGCCCACAGTCATACCTTTAGCATTTCCTCCCCGCCCCCCCCCCCCCCACCCCACCCCATTCTGCCCTTTACCTATGCTAGTTAGCTAGGTGCTCCCTTCTATAGCTGTTGTAGGCCACATTCATTGTATCCTACACATTTGGGAAGTGAGCACCGGAAAGATGGATCTTAGTGAGGCCAATCCCAGACCTAATGGGCAATTCAAGTACAAACATAAGTATAAGCACAGCATATGCAAGCATAAGTTTGAGCATAAGAACCTTATGCACGAGTAAGGATGGCCGTGACAGAAACATAAACTTTAGAAGACGACAATGTTTTGAAATTCTTTGGTTATGCTTAAGTCAAGGCCGTCCTGACTAGCGCAAAAGCTCCTTATGCTCACTGATGATGCTTATGGTCAACCTTGCATTGCTAGTGAGGACCAGGCTTAAATTATCCTTGGCTATGAAATAAATGTGATAGAGAGAGATTCAAAGAAAAATAATTAAATAGAGTAAATGAGTGAATGCAACACCCGGGATGCAACAATAAAAAGAACCTTACAGACGTGTACAACTTAATGAAAAATTAATGTACATGAGGTTACATATCAAGATTGGTTTGATGTTTGCCTGGTGGAACTTTAAACTTTGCTTTATGGCTCATGAGCTTTGAGCTTTAGATTCTTGCTTTTGAAATTATGTCGTTTCTTTGCGTTGGTTAAGTGAACGGCTGGTATGATTTCAAAGGGTTTAATTCAGGTTTGTTGGATAAAACCTTGTCTGGTGATGAAATAACTGAGGAACTGAAGAGTGTCAGACTGGTATGAAAGTCAGGTGCAATGCTGAAGTTTATTTCCTGCAACTGGCCCCCCGGAGATTTTTAAAGGAAATTGGGAAGTCAACTTCTTTTCTATATTTCGCGTAACTGTTAACGCCGCTAAGAAAGAATGAAATCCAAAATTTCAACCAGTCCAAGCAGTTCCGAATCTCACCATTTCCATCAATCCGATCCAATCTTTCGAAGCAAAAGACTGGGAATGATTCTATTTTGGCGCCGTTTTCCCCAGGCTTTGGCGCAAATTTTGGAGTTGTTGACGCACGTCTTGTGAGGCCGCCATCTTGGACGAGAAACTGAGATGTCTCAAAGGCAGAGTAGACGGCGAAAGGCACCATGTGAGTACTCATTAAAAAACGAAATATTGGCCACATTAATGTTTTAGGTTCCAGTTAATGAAAGATGGACGTGTATGCTGTGCTGTGTGTGTAAACGATGTTTTTGTATGAGGGATGTGTTCCTTGAATTCCTCTATCCTTAGTATAAAGCTTTAATAGTCTTTTTGTCTCTTGAATTGAAAAGCGGTATGAAGGTTCAAGAATTGCTGGCGATTTTACTGGTTGACATGGAAATTACGAGATTGGGTCCTTATTGGTTACTAAATGACACAGATGAAGATTTTAAATTCTAATTCCCCCGCCAACTGTTTTGCTCTGCTTGCAATTTTTGACAGTTACGATGTTGTCACACTTCGATTCTGGTCAGGAAAGTTTTCGTAGCTAAATAGGACTTGTGAATGTTCGTTATGATAGAAACTGAAATAAAGTAGACAACTGATATCAAAACTTATTTTTCATCAAAAAATTATAATTATGAAAGTGGCTCATTTTGCTTCCTACATGTGACACGTGTTGCCCTCACACTGAAGTTACATGTGATCAATAGGGTGACCTTTTTGAGTTCTTTGAACTGCTGTGAGACAAATATATTGAAACCTGCGATGAACCTGCCTCCACTGGTTTTTTATAAAAATTTTCCTAGTTGAATTATGGCTTTCTCCAGACAAAAATTGTGCAAGTGTGAGCATGGCTGATCTCAAAGAAAGCTGTTGAAGTGTTTCAGATTATGAAGCTGTAATGTTAAAAATTTTATTTCTCATTTTTAGCAAGTTCTGACAATAAAGATACAACAGATACTACTCAAGCCAAGAAGGTGAAGGTTGAAACAAATGGAACTGTTCTCGCTGCAGCTTCGAGCTTAAGCTTGCCCAATCTTACTTCTCTAATCTGGGAAAGAGAAGCTGATAAATCCACATGGACTAGATATTCTAATGAGCATGTTAAGATTATCACTGATGCTTTTAAAGATGGCAAGACACAAGTTGATATCACAGATGGAAAGTCTGAATTGTCAGTGATATTTGAGCGTATGGTGCAAAGGAATAAAAAAAGTGGATGGGAGAAAAGAATCAGATGTGTTTCAAAAGTGGGAAGCTCAGATCCAGATGAATGTAAGTGTTTGCTAATATAGCAATCGTTGTATACCACGTACAAAAAGTTTCTGAAAAATCCGGTTGGAAAGTACAGTCAACTCCCAATAACTCGAACCCTCAAGGGAAATCGAAAAAAGTTCGAGTTATCGGGAGTTTGAAGCAAATAACCAGAAATAAGGAAATAAGCAAATAATGGGAAGGGAAAAATTTATGCAATTAAGCAACAAAGTATACAGGAATGGATACTGAATTTGAACTGGAGTGACAAAAAAGCAAAGACAAAGAATTGACTTGGTTGTTTTGAAATAAATTCAATGTTTCAGACTTCAGTACACGGTTTTTTCCCGGACTTGTCACACGCTTATAACATGGTTATCGAGGGTAAAATTGTATGGAAATGATCTTAAGGCAAACAAAAATTACTTCGAGTTGGCAGGAGTTTCGAGTTATCGAGGGTTCAACTTACCTAGGGTAAAATACAGTAAATGTAAGAAGGAAATCCAGGGGAAATTGACTTTGGTTTGAGTTAGCACGAGGTTTGAGTTATTGAGGGTTCGAGTTATCAGGAGTAAACTGTAAACGAACACAACTTTTTTGGGTCGTTCCTGTGGAAAGTTTCTGGGAGCAAAAGAACATCTGAAAACTGTAGTCCTGTTTTTCCAGGTAGAATATTCCAAGCAGAAATTCGTGTTCCATTTCTTCAAAGCTATCTTTGATACCAGTTTTAGGCCTTTACGGTCATTTTGCGGCAAATGGAACTGATTTCTACAAACAGCAAACATGATTCTGGGACAAAATTATTTTACCAGTCCTGAATTTTGTGTACCATTTTGTTCAAACCATGGGCCGACCGGTTTGCCTGTGTAAAAATGGTAAACAACCAATCCCTATGTTAAATGGGCACGGTTACCAAGATTTGTTATGATGTTAGTGTTCCTTGAAAATTCTTTGGATTTGTTTGAATAATGGGAAGTATTACCCCCTGATAATAGTTTTGTACTGAGTTTTGCTTAAAATCACAATGCCTGTGGGAGAAATCTTTTCAACAGAATCTCTGCGCTAAAGGCCTGATTGATCTTTTCCCTCAATGTTGTTGGTCGATATGGTTCACTAATATAAATAATGTTGCTGTGAGCTGGATTAGGATTAGAAATGCTTTGCACTAGCCTGAGAAAACAGCTGACATTTTGCAACGCCACCACTGGTTTCCCTGTAGAATGACGTCTGAGGAACGAGCAAAGAATTTCCATGCTGATGATGCACCACCACCCCGTCAGGGTAGTGGGACATCATGAATGAATGAATGAATGAATGAAGCTTTATTCAATCTCCGGTTTGATGAGGTTGGTTAGACCTCTAGCAAAAATTTACTAATAAGCCGAGGGAATTGGTCAGTATGGAATTTCTGCATTGTGTTCCTTAGACATCATTTCACAGGGGAACCATTGGTGGTGTGGCAAAATTTTGTCTGCTGTGTAACGCTAGCTTTGCATTTAAATTTTTTCCATGAAGGCTCTAGCTTATATTATTAAGTGCACATGTGCCTGCAAGCATTGCAGTCAACAAGCTTTCAAGTTGCCTCAGCTGTCGGTATTGGGATAAAACATTGATAACTCTAGCCCTTTTTTTCCAGATACCTGGGAGTGGGAAGATGCCAAGGGTAACTGGACAGTATATTCAAAGCCTTCTGTCTATCTGTTAGAGGCAGCACATATGTTTGGGCTGACAAGTGTCAAGCTGATAGAAGACAAAAAAGAACTTGTAGTGAATTTAGCAAAGAAAGTCCAAACAACAAAAACTGGAAGGAGCTCCAAGAATATACATAGGGTCAAAGCTAGTGATGTATGTTCAAGTGAGTTTTCTCCATTTTCTTGGATTATGTATATGTAATCAACTGTCTGGGTAATTCTTGTGCTGGCCACTGTCACTGATGCATGAAACAGTCTTTTTAGACAAAATTTGCATTATCTCATTGTTGCAGTTTTCTGTGACATATGTAGTTTTAGTAGCACAGGAACTGCTGTTGTCTTTGTCTTGTGATGTACCATTTTGTTACTTGGCCTTAGTTGGATTAGTTGAAATTATTTAAGTAAATAAAGTAAGTGAATAAATAAATAAATAAATGTTTGAAGATTACAGTATGACACACCAACCCTTTCACCACCTGCCCAGGACACCAGCAGATTTGAAAATGACGATTTTTCCTAAAAAAAATGGTTTACAAGATCTTTAAATAAAACTTGCGTGTACTGCAAACCTTGTAGGTAATTAAGAAATACATCATTACAAAATAGAATTTTACAATAACCAAGGAACCAAAGTTTTTCCAAAACCAGCAAAAATGCTGCAACTCTCTCGGTTTGAGCCTGGGCAGTCAACTCACAGTCTCATGATTTGGTCTAAAAATCACATGGTGAATCAGAAAATTTTAAAATTTGCCAGACAACTCCAGTAGGAATCGCTTTATTTAAAAAAAAAAACTGGTCTAATTTCAACCTAATAATGATGCAGCAGGGGATAGTTTTCCATCCAGATGGTTAGTGGTGAGGCTTCTAATTTGACTGAAATCTGAGAAATTGGTTTAAATTGTTGTCTAAAATGAGTTCATAGTTGACAAGGTGCATGCACCTTGATGATATTTTCATATCAAGGTTAGCTCCCAGAATTTAGATCTGGCTAGCCAGTGGCCAGTCATCTTGGTTGAATTTGTTTTTTGAAGGGTTTTTTGCAAAAACTCCAATGCTGCTGTGCGGAGAATTATTTTTGATAGACTTTCTAGCCATACAGTTTTGACCAATATTGAAATTCTTCTTATGGGCAGGTCTGACAACTCCTTGGAATTGACAGGCACAAAGTCAAACTAAATAATACTGGAAATCTTACCTTTTCCTTTCTAGCCTCTTCGAATCAAGTACCAGCATCTCCCAAGGCAGCCAAGACAGATGTAGTAGTCAAGAAAGAACATAAGAAATTGAAAAAGGAAGAGGCTGATACAGAAGTTAAGACTGAAAAAGGTAAATACTAATCCTTGGCGTTGTTTTATAACTAAGTTTTACTGCAGCTAAAGATACATTGTATGCTAATGCTCTCACTGACATTATAAATTTGATTGGTTTGACTTTTGCAGGTGAAGTGAAGTCCGTTGTATTTAGTGGCAAGGCACCTGTTGACAGTCACTGTTCCATCAAAGACAACACTCATGTTTTTACTGAAGGTGATGACATCTGGGATGTGATGCTTAATCAGGTAGATTGTAATTCTGTTTGTTAGGTTATCATGGTTTTACTATAAAAGATTATACTAGGGAGCCCAAGAACATGCCCATGAAATCCAGGAAAATGCCCAGTATTCAAGTTTATTCCAGCTGAAAGGTGTCAGAAAGTCACTAGAGGCCACTTGGTGTTGCTAGCTGGGGCAAAGCGTGCTGGCGATCAATAAAAATGAAGTGGCTGCTTTTTTAAATCAGATTTTCCTCAACGATTGCATCTCAATGTTTGGAAGATAAATTCTTGGGCCTGGGATGTCAGCGGCCTCCACCCTTGATAGATCCACTTCCTTGGCTAGCAACCCATGCATCCCAGCCTTGAGCCCCCACGAAGGGTTGTCCAGGCAACCTTCACCTGTGCCAATGGTGGAAAAGAAGGGAGGGAAGGGGTAGAACAAAAAGCTGAATGGATAAACTCTGCAAAGAAGTCTGTTGAAGTTTGTTTCAAAAATTTAACAGAAAGGATGTTCCAAGCATTCACATTATTGGGTGCTGACCAACTGCCAAAAATGCACCAGCTGCTCTAATTAAAATATATTTATCTCACAGTAGTAATTTCCTTTTGCTGCAGACAAATGTAATGAATAACAATAACAAATACTATTTGATTCAACTGCTGGAGGACAACAGAGCAAAGAAGTATTATGTCTGGCAAAGATGGGGTAGAGGTAATAATCTGTCAATTTACTGTTAATATTATTATTAGTAGTATTCTTTCTGTTTTCCTGATGTCAGACCTAATGTTAACTTTGATGAAAATTTTTTAAATTTCCAGTTGGGTTCAGTGGCCAAAACAACTTAGTTACATGTGGAGCTGACCTGGAACAAGCTAAAAAGGTCTTCACAAAAAAGTAAGTCTCAGTAAGTTTTTGTAAAAATATATTTAATTTACGTACTAGTTTGCTCTTCTGGCACAGATTTTAGTACTTTCCAAGTATTATTTTAAAATGTCACCAAAATTTCATGTAATAGGGTAAATAGTTTAAAAGAAATAGGCTGAAAATATTTAGGATTATTGGTTATCTTGTCTTCGGATGGGCTGGTGTTCCCTGTTCCCTTACTGGACCACTCATGACGTCACGGCAAAGATGCTGGAATCAAAATGGTGGACTAAGTGAACTTTCAGAGGTAATTTCTCGTGTAAAAATGTGCTTGTATCGAAAAAAAAAAATGGTATTCATTCTACCCATATTAAGAACATTTGTAGAATTTTGGGTTTCTGTGCCCTTTAAGGTCAGAAGAACAAAAAATTGACATGTATTATAATGCTGAGCTGTATTACATAAGTTGCAAATTCATCTATCAATTTATTTATTTATGATTTTGACCTTCTCCCAGGTATATGAAATTGCCCTTCTCTCTTTCTTTTTCCCTTTGTGCAACAGATTCTCAGATAAGACTAAAAACGACTGGGAGGATAGGCATAATTTCCAAAAAGTTCCAGGAAAATATGACCTGCTTATTATGGACTACAATGCTGATGAAGAGGAAAAGGACTCTGTGGATGCACCTGTAAAAGAAGAGAAACCAGTTTTGGAAAGCAAGTTGGATAAAAGAATCCAGAACTTGATAGAACTAATTTGTAATGTACAGGCAATGGAAGAAATGCTAAAGGAGATGAAGTATGATACCAAGAAAGCTCCTCTCGGTCAGTGCAGCAGCTACTGTATTTTTTGCAATCTTCTTTTTATTCCTGCCAGATCACTTACTGCTAATCCCCTGCTTTCCCGTGTCTATGGTAACCTCCTTTCTTCATTGTCTCTGTCCTTCCTCAGGGTTGTCATTGAGAGCTGGGGGCCGGGGATTTTCCCTGGCTACTAAGAGAGTGGCCCCTGGCTACTTTTATTGGAAAATAGGAGAAACACTTGAAATCTTAGTGAGAACCCTGCTTCCTCCACCCCCTTCTCATTTCAGCATCCCTTTTCCCCTTTAATCCTACCATACCCCACCCTTTTTACTCACTGACAGGGCGTGAAATTAACGGTAACCCATTAACCAACAGTTAGTAGTTTCCAAATTTGGTTACTAAAAAATAATGAACCTGACTGACCCAACACGGTTAGTAAAAATTTCTGTCATAGAAAATGTTCTTACACGTGTTTCTTTTGTACCCAAGATTGTGTTTCTCAAGCAATTTATGTAATTTTAACCAATCCGTCTATACATTTGCCACATCTCTTAGCACTATTTATTCACAGATTCTTGGATAATGAACTTCATAATTTGGTTAGTAAAATTTATGCCCACTAACCCAAAGGCTTATTTAGCAATTAATTTCGAGCCCTGTCACAATTCCTCTACTTTTCCTCAGTCACCTTTCTTTTCCTTCCCTCCATCTAAGACCTCTCCTGATCATAGATTAATCCTCTTTTCTGGCCTCCAACCTTCTGTTTCTCATTCTGTCCTTTCACCCTTTCCTCTGTTTCCTCTCCCTTACCCCATCTTTTCCCAAACCTATCTTGTTTTCAACCTCCTGCTAAGCTGATGTTCTTCCCTTGGGTAACAGCTACTTCACAATGGTTATTTACTGGAGACTCAAAGTGGTAAATTTATCAAATTTTTGTCATGATACTCATAATTACTGTAAAACTCTGTTTGGTATTAGGAAAGCTTACCACAGATCAGATTAAAGCTGGTTATGAGGCCCTTAAGAAAATTGATACCTGCATAAGGGACAATGATTTTGGTTCAAAGCTGGTAAAAGCATGTGATGAATTCTATACACGGATACCTCACTGTTTTGGGTAGGTTTTTGTTTTTATAAAATAATACATCATTACAAATCTAAGTTCAGAGACTTTGAGAGAGTGTCATTTAAAAAGGCTGGCCTCTTTTAGTGGCTCATGGTTCCTGCTGACTTACTTTGCGTTGAAAAGACTTGAAAATTGACAAGATTAAACAAGTCGAAGGATGAAGTGTTCTTTATTTAGACTCCAGATAATTGGGATAAGGGGAAGAAAGAAGTAAGCAATTTGGAGAATGCTGATAATTGTATGGAAATGGTTTGGGTTTGAGGCTTAGACCTAAAATTATAGTTTGCTTTCTTGCAGAATGAATCGACCACCACTTATAAGAACAACAGAGGAGGTGAAAATCAAACTGGACTTGCTTGAGGTATGACACAATCTGCTGTTCCATTTGTTGATTAATTTTTTTTGTTTATAGTGCATTTATCTGTGTACAGTACTGAAAAAAAATGAAACATACATGTACATGCGGTATTGGTATGCAGAGTTTAATTACAATGGAGAGTCTCATGGGAACTTTAGTTGTTGTTAAATCCAGCAAACTGTAAGGAAACAATCACTACAATTTCACACACATGTATGCTAGGCATTATCTCATCATCCTGTATTAAATTTGGTGTGTATGATGTTGCATAATATCAATACTTTTATTTATGGGTGGAAGCAGAGTGTTTTTTCCTGACAATACACAGAAGGCAATGTTGCATTTCCAGTGTTGCAGTATAATAAAATTATTTATCAAAGCCTTTGAAGATCGTTAGTTTGCAGGACGTGTTACTCCACTTCTTCTTGTGGACCTTGTTATAATAAAAATTGTTCTTAATGGACAGTTTTCCTTGTGTACAGGCATTAGGAGATATCCAGATTGCAGTTAAAGCTATGCAAGAGGAAGAGGAATCTCTAGAGCATCCAGTTGACAAGCACTACAAAACGCTGCATTGTGCACTTACTCCACTTGATCATGAACATCCTGATTTCAAGGTACATCTTTTGACTTATTCCCCTGTCCAACTTTACTAGTTGAAGTCAAGTGATTTTGACGTATTGGTACATGTACCTTTTGTTTTTACAATAATAATAAAAAAGACTTACATTGTAGCTTCTGCTACACATTCACACTCATACTCAGGGAAAGTCTTAAACTTCTTACTGGTACTTGCAAAATACTTCATTCTTTCTTACATTTGTTTAGGCAAGGTGAAGAAATGCTTGTGATATTGGAAATTGAAACTTGGTGAAATCAGGCTGACTAAGGATGTTAACTGAAAAAAAGTTCAGCCACTGAACTTTTCTATTAATATACATCAAATAGGTGACTAATGTTTATGTAGGATAACAGTGTCTTGTGCATATAAGACTGTAAAAATTTTTTGGTGTTTGCAATCTGTTTACAGTATCTTAGAAAATTCTACCTTCTTTAACAGATGATTTCTAAATATTTGACTAATACTCATGCTGCCACCCACAATCAGTATAACATGGAATTACTAGATGTTTTTGCATTGGATCATGAAAAGAAATCATTCACTGATGTTGGTAACAGGTAACGACAATATTATGTTTCTCTAATAATTTGTTATGGAGCCACTGTAAGATTTTTTAATAGACAACCTTACTCTCTTGTCTCATTTCGTCCTTGTTTTCCAAGCACATTTATTTTTTTCAGGGCACAAAAGGCACAAAGTTAGTTGAAAATGTTGCAGTTGTTGCTGATATATTCTGCTGAAAGATTTAAAAAGGGCAAATTGCAAGAGTGTTTATTAGTGTAATGAATTTACTGGCAAGAACAAAATGTAACAAAACAAGAACAGCAACAACAACAACAACAACAGAGCATCTTAAATATTTGCCGCTGGGTGCTCTTCCTGCCATCATCATTATCATCATCACCACCATCATCATCATCATCACCACCATCATCATCATCATCATCATCGTCGTCGTCGTTGTCGCCATTTCCCTAAGAGTAGTACTCCTCTTTTAGTGTCTTGACATTCTACTTCTAATCCCTTCTGCATCAAACTGAGCTGCCCATTTTGGAGGCATCTAGCCAATCTCCCATAATTAGCAACACATTCAGTTGTATGAACAAGAGCTAGATAACAAAATTTAGGCAACTTGTGTCCTCTGATTGTTCATTTAGGATGTTATTATGGCATGGATCTCGTTTGACCAACTGGGTTGGTATTTTAAGTCAAGGATTGAGGATAGCTCCCCCAGAAGCACCAGTCACTGGTTATATGGTAAGTTAATAATGTTACAACCTTGTTGATTCATACTGTTTGGATTTCAAGTGCACAGTTTAAAGTGGTCTGTTACATATTCTTCTTAATGCTTTACTTCATTAGTTTGGCAAAGGAATCTACTTCGCGGACATGTCATCCAAGAGTGCAAACTATTGTTTTGCCACTAGGTCAAAGAATGTTGGCTTAATGCTACTCAGTGAGGTCAGTATGCCTTGTTTGTTGTGAATTCCACCTCCAGAATAAATGAATAACTTTTACAATATTAGGGTGTTTATCTCAGGTGTGACGTGTTAGTGTTGGGAATACTTGGGTTGACCTCTGCATTTGGTGTCGTCACATGTGGCGTTCCCCATACTGAGGCCAGCAGCTATGCAATTTTTTTGGAACCAAGGTGTTTACATAAGAAAAGAGTTCAACTCTCCAGGGTTCGTACAGAGTCTTGAATTCTTGAAAAAGTCTCGAAATTTGCAAAGCAATTTTTCAGACCTACAAAAAGGTCTGGAAAATAGAGATAAAGTCTGGGAAAGGTGGTAAAAAGTCTGCCTTGAGCTACCTTATTCTCACTTGAAAATGAATGAAAACTTCATTTAAGTGTCTACGTTTTTAGCTATAAGCTAATGGGGACCCTGTAAAATAATATGTTAAATACCAGAGACAAGTCACTAAAAAATAAAAATAAAAAATTGTGTGTAGATTATAAAATTATTTACAAAATTTGTTTAAAAGCCTAAAAACGTCTAAATATTTACAAGAGCGACCAAATGAGAGGTCCCATATATTTTATTGTATTGCTACCAAATTTTACCGTTAGTTATACTGGGTGTATACTGTTTCGCGTGAATTAAATTTCGCCAAAAATCATGAGCCATGTTTCGCAAGTATTTGATTCCGCGATTTTCAGGGAAAGGTATAATTGGAGTGTATCAAATTTCGCGTTTTTTCTATTCTTTAAAATGTTAAGGTAACTTTGACGTCAGCACAGTGACAACAGAATTAATAATTAAATCGTAAACAACAGCAAAGATGAAAAAAGATGGAACAAAACAGATGGAAAGTTTGACGACTGCACTAGCGGGATTTTGAAGAATTTAGCAGCAGGGGACAGTTCGAACAGCCAGATTGATGCGGCACAAGGCTGATGGACAAAATCAAACAAAAAACTCCTAAACTTGAAACTGAGACATGTTGGAATATTATTAATAACTAATAAAGAAAAAGCTTGAATTTCGTTATTTTGTGGATTAAGTGAGAATAAGGTAATAAGCTGTTGCAACATTTTGCCCTTTCGGTAGACTATTCCCTATCCCTACCTTCAAACTGTATACTCAAACTGGATTATAGTCCATTTTCACGATGACGACATTTCACCAGTACTTCCAGAATTCATTTCGTTTTTGCTTCTAATTTAAATTTGTTAACCCCACTGAGGTCTAAACACCAACAGTCCTAGTTTGCACAAGAAAACAACAAACTGAAGGATTCTAACAAAAGGACGTCATCTTACCATTGTCCTATTGAGGCTGCTTTTAATTTTGGACAAAATCTTGTGACGATGAACTGACCTATCACGTTGGCGAAACGCCTTAATAAGTTAGCGCACAGGACTTCGGCGAAACAACTCTTGGGCGAATTGACCGTAAATCGTGTTAATAGGATGTGCTAATTAATTTTGCAGGTCTCCCTTGGAAAGTGCAATGAGCTCCTCGCAGCAGACTTCAGTGCGGACAAGTTACCAACTGGCTGTCATAGTGTTAAAGGAATGGGAAAAGTGGCTCCTGATCCAAATGACACTCATACAATGTAGGTTTTGTTGATGGTAAGAAGTGGTAGTTGAAACTGAGCCTAGAATGAGAGCATTGTCTTCAGGTGTACTTGCCCAAGTAACATGCCTAAAGACGGAAATCGGTAATTTCGATACAAGTCGTCTCGGTACAACTGAACTCATGCAGTGAAACTGCACAACAATTTCGATCATGTCAAGTATAGTTTGGGCGTGAACAGGAAAAACATTTGGGAAGAAAATTTCGTCGTTCTTTGAGTCAAGTATGAGAAACTATTTACACCTCGACTAAATCAAGTTGTATGGAAACGACCGGTAACCCGAGAGACCCAAATGGGATGAAGTATTCATCGCTGGCGAAATCGATTCTGGCAAAGTTAACGATAAGAATGGGAGAGCAACTCCCGCCCTTGCCTATCCAGTTTCGGATACATTTGGTGAGAAACGCTCTTTTCTTGCCTCCAACTCTACCCCCCCCCCCCCCCCCCCCCAAACAAGGTGAGGTAGTTTTGCGCGGGCCAAAACCCTGCTGGCACAAGACAATAAAAGACAGGGAACCACACCCCCCCCCTCCCCTCCCCCTTTTCGGTAACCTTTTGGGAGAACCCCTCTTTTTTCCCCTCCCCCCCCCCCCCCCCCCCCCCCCAAGGGCTTGCTCGCGTGCCAACGCTTTTTGTGGCAAGCCGTGAAAAGTACGTACTTGAGCGTTCAAGTATTGAGTGCGATATCCAGCAATCTGAAAATCACTTTTAAATCATACTTGTCCTTTCAAACTTTAGACGGTCTTGGTGTCATTTGACACTACCCAGTTAATACGAGGCAACTCTTTTTATTGTTTCAATTTAAGGCGTGATGGCGTTGTAGTTCCTTATGGCAAAAGCCAAGAAACCGGAGTTGTAAATCCGCGTGGATACACTCTCCACTATAATGGTAAGTGCACTTTTTTTTTGTTTTTGAGGAAACTAGTAGAGTGTGCAGCTTGTTTGTTTGTTTGTTGCCAAGTCATCCTAGAACACGTGAAACTAGTTACCCCATAGCCTGCGGTAAAGGCATTTTGTTGTACGGGGGATGGGTAGTGGGTGGTGTTGTGCTGGGGAAGAAAATACCAGAATTCAATTCGCGTGGGTTGTTAGTCATTAATCGCATTGATCGCTTTCTCCCGACTTCCCAGCCTTCTTTAAGTTTCAAAATCAAAGGTGGCGACTGCAGAAATAAATGAGCGCTCGGTCGACCGGAAAATACGCCTACATTTTAGGCTAGTTTTCCCTCCATATCGCTTCGTCACCAATACGTGACCTACTTTACTGAAAGTTCCTCTGACTGGGCAAATTTCCTTTTTTTTTTTTTTGAGGAATAGACCTTTTCACGCGGCGGCCTTTTTGTCTCAGGAGATTTAAAAAGCTTTGTATATGCACGGCTTGCCCCGTTCTCTCTTCGAGGCGAGCCGTGCATAAACAAAGCATTTTAAATCTCCTAAGACAAAATGGCCGCCGCATGACAAGGGTCTATTAGTGGGGATTTCCTGGAAAGAAAACCTAGCCTAGCCTGCATTGTCTCTTTGTTTATCTTGTGCCTCTCTCCCTTAACTTACAGAGTACATAGTTTACAAGACAACTCAGGTCAGTGAGTAAAAGTTATTTTCTTGTGACCGTTTTCTTTTGTACTAAAACGAGATGTTTTTTTTCTGAATCTCAGCAGCATTGATTCCTTTTGTGTTTTTCTTTTACCATCTATGCTTGACTTAATGCAACTCTGACAACTCTAAACACCTTGTTTAGGCTATAGTCTGTCTTGACACTGCCCACAGGAAATAAAGTTTAGGTACGGCAGTTGGTCAAGTTGAAGGCGCTTAGAGCACGGTTTTGTTAAAAAGCCGCTAAACGGCCTCTTGGCTGCTCAATCTTTTGTTTTATCATGGATAAAACAGTTTAGTAGAACATTAAAATGTTGCTGTTGTTGCTTTGATTAGTTCTGTTCTTTCCTGTTTCAGGTACGAATGAGGTACTTGGTGAAAGTCAAGTTTAACTTCAAATAAGAAAGATACTGATATCAAAGCAAGAAAGTATATAGCTGTATATCAGCACAGTCAGCAGTCCAGTTGATCTTTTCACGGCTAGAGAAGATATATACGCCAGTCAGTCGGGTCCGAAAAAAGTACTCATGGAGGGCGGTTTCCACATTCTCACCTCCTCAACCCCCTCCCTTCACCGTGTTCAAACAAGAAAACTGTGGAAAGCTGACCGAAGTCTTCAAAGTTATTGTTGTTAGTTTCACTGTCCAAAGTATAATGTCGTGTTTTAATACGCCGTAAACATTATGTTCAGTGTACTAAAAAAGTTTTTAGCGAAGTGTTTGAAAACTGAAACTTGCGTTTCTGTCGGCTCTGTATTTGTTAACACAGTTTAACTCGGGCGCGAAGCATTAGAAGCACTTTATGTGAGGAAAAGATGCATTCACCAATTATTTTGTATCCTTGCCCTTAGTCTCCTGTTATTAGAGTGATTAAGTGTGGCGTTTACGGCAAACGTGAATTTGTACCACGTGATCAAGTTTCCCCTTTGTTTATCGTTTACTGTTCCATTATAACTACACGAAATTGGGTAGATTCACGCCAATTCTATCCATAAGAATTATTTTAGGCTGTTTTTATCTGCTCATTTCTCATTTTGAAAATTTCTCAACTTGAATCTCACGTTTGCTGTTTGCCGTAAAGGCGATGCTTAATCTCTCTATTTTTCTGTTACGTTGGAGTTGGTCTAAGATTTCTTCGTTCAGTTTCCCTTAACAGAAAGTTGTAGGACTAGAATTTAATTTCGTCCATGATAATGGTTGAGGTCACACTAGAGAAAGTTTACTATAGTAAACTCAAGTTTACCATAGTAAACGGCGCCGTAAGTGTGACCGGCATTTTTCAGTTTACTATGGTAAACTCTACCCTGGTTAATTTCCATGACTACCGCGGAAAGAACAAAGATGACCCATCACCGATAACCATCTGGTTACCAAAAAAAATAGGTGGGTATATCTCTAGTCTATCTAAACTTTGTTTGTTTTTTTGACAGTTTGTCATGATTTTTGAGGAAAGTAGTTTCAAAAAAGGTCACGTAACAGAATAGCTTTGTAGAACATCGGTGATTGCTTTTTCCACAGTGCTTCAAGGTTTCTGTTTCTGTACATTTCTTCAAACCATTCTTGGGGTCGAGGGTAAACCCACGCTTGCCTTCGCAATGCCGCTCTTTCTCTAAGAGTACGTCTTCGATGGGTAATCAATGAACCTGTCGATCACTTAAACATCTTCACTAACTTCGTATTCGAAACCAAGGTAGGTAATAAGGGAGCGCATTCTTCTTGCTCGTCTGAGCAGCAGAATTAAAAGCAAAATGCGAGAAAAAACGCCTGGAAAGTTTCAAATGCCTTTTTAAGTGGACCTGTCAGGTTTACTACGGTAAAGAAGACGTTACGAGACTTACCATAGTAAAGCCCTTTTTACGATAGTAAAGTCTCTAGTGTGACCTCAACCATTCTTGTTGCGCAAATTGCACTTTGCAAAATCGGATCATAATTCGGAAATGCCCCGAGGAAGATAAAATCCTAAATTACGAACAAAGCAGGTGTTGGGTGAACTTCCTGTTTTCATTGCCGCTTTATCGCTCTGTAAGACTTCCTCGATGGAAATCTTTTCAAGATGTCCTAAAAATGCTTTAGCGAGTCCACCTGGCTACAAAGCAGTACAGAGAACAATTTTAGTTGTTTTTATTTCAGTGTGCTTCTCAACGACCATTTTTTGAGCCGAGCCGGGTAGGTCAAAATATATCATCTGGTCCTGTCCTGTGAATTGTGAAAAGTGCAGCAGTAGCCAGTCTTGCCAAGTAAATGCTTTACATAAGATTCCGAGGAATAACCAGAATAGTGGATGTAATTAGCGCTGAGAAAATGTCTCGAATGAAATGGGTAAAAGGAAAAATAAACTGAGTTGGTCTTGAAAACTAACAGTCCATGTTTCTGCTTGGATTGTTTCCTCTTTCCCTGTGACCTCTGAGCGAATGCGTCTGAAAATACAAGGAAATGATGAATTTGAAACTTGTCTGTTCCAGATGGTTGTGCAGCGTTGAAAAGGGGCGGAGAGGGGAGGACCAGTTTTCTTTTTCGCTCGGTCTATCAGCGTTGCTCCAATTTAACCTATATGACCCTTTATGATCGCAGGGGAAAGGATATCTGCTTGGATTCGCGGCTCCCAATTTCGGTGGGGCGAACTATGCTTCAAAAATAGCTGCGTTATTTTTACACTTAACCTTTTTCAACTGTTATATCTTATCAGAGGTTGAAGGCGTGGCGTGTGATCAGCCGGCCAGTAAACGCACCCATTAGATGTAGAGTGGGCAACTGAATTCAAATGCTTCCAAGTGAAAAATAGAGGAGTTCATTCTCAGTTGTAGCCTGTTTGCAGACCCTCTATTTTTTTTTTAGAGGTCTTGGAGTGCGCGTGTGAAAGTAAAAACCACGCGGTTTTTTTTTTACTTAAAGCGAAAAAAAGCGACGAGCTTAAAAGAGTAACGGCAGCAGTAGCGAAACGTGCAAATGATTTTATATGATACTCGCTATAAGAGAAGCATGACATGCTTTTCAAGACGTTAATTACCCACTTGTTTCAGCCAATGCATGAGCTTCAAACATTCTCCATAGAACGGAAGATTGACTATTGATAGGACAAACTTAAGCAAGCGGCACACATAAGCCAACACACGGCCTGGCAAGTACCTCACGCGTGAGCACAGCCATATCACCCAGGCAGTTGCAGCCATGGACAGCTGTTTCGCCCTTAATTACTGGGGCTAATCAACACGGCTATGCCATGTCCATGGCTGCCACTGCCCGGGTGATATGGCTTTGCGCATGCGTGGGTTACTGGCCGGGCTGTGGGTTGGTGCATGTCCTATTGATAGGGGAACTCCTGGGGTAAAAATGATCCTTTTCTTAATGATTGGCCTATATTTGTTGTGTCAATTTTTGGTTAATTATACTACTACATGAGAAATTACTGCAATTTGATTGGCTTAGAGCAGTGGTATTTCAGCTTAATTTGAAATACCTACATGTGAAAATTACAAACCTTTTGAGGGCAGCAGTATAAACAAATAATAGCATGATTTGTACGTGATATTTGGCATAAATACCACTTGTGATATTTCAAAATCCTCCCAAATTTCACTCGCCTAACGGCTCGTGAAATTACGTATAACAATTTTGAAATATCACTCGTGGTATTTATGCCAAATATCACTACAAATCGTGCTATTACCTATACTAATTTAAGTGATTGTTCGTTAGAACGAAGTAGCCTGAATTTCATCCGATTACTTCGACTAGTTATTACTCCCTCAGAAGCTGAGAGGAGAAAACGACTCGAAACAATCGGATGAAATTCAGGCTATAGAACGAGGATATTTCACCCGAAAGAGGAGTCGAAAATCGAGAGAGCCGAAAATTAACGAATGAATTGAAAATGCAATACGATACAAGATCAAGTAATCGGCTCCTGACAAGATATTCAACTTTGTCACTTCTTTCACACTGTTGTAAAACATAAGAAAGCGGTTTAAAGGCTTCCATTTTTTTTCGATCAGAAAATGTTGTTTGTTTTGCCTTCTCCAGTCTCATTGGAAGCCTCTTCTGTTTGTTACGAAAGCAGATAGCTGATCCAGAAAATTATTACGGAAGGCAGAATTTTTGGGGGGGCCCAGGGGGCGGGGGAGGGATTACGCGCGTGTTTTACTTTCGAGTGCCTTCAGACCTGGGACGGTCTAAGAACTCGTGAGAAATAAAACGTCTGATTCTTAGTTGTCGTCATTGTCTGTTATCTTTATTCCGAGATAACTCTGGCGACGTCGGTGAAAGAAGTGGCAAAGCAGAAAACTCTTCAGCCTGTGCACAGGCAGGCGATGCCCCTCCTCTCCCCGATTTTTTCTCAGGGAAGGGGAGGCTGCACACAGGCTAAAAGCTCTTCAAATTCAGCCGAGACATATCTGGGAGTATTGTGGCTGGTGACAAAAAGGGAGATCGCTTCTAAGTTGTCAGAATGAGGTAGAAAAAGGCGCATGTTATAAATGAATCCTTACAATTATTTTAAGGAAAATAATACACCTCTTTACGCTCTTATGTATACTAAGAAGGAAGGCTTTATGAGGCCGATCCCTTTTCTTTGTCGTTGATCTCAATTGTCCCTTAATCACCAGAGATAGAGAATGGAAATGCTAAATAAAGTAAGTAGTAAATCGTGGGTGGAGATTTCAAGACGGCTGGCTTGTCAGCTAAGGGAAATTACTCGAGACATAAAGGAAATAAAGTAAGACAAGATGTGGGCGGTGGGTGCCATTTACGTTTATTTTTTGAGGTCATCGATATTGCAATGTTGTTTACTGACTGGCTATACGTTTTTCATAGTTCCATGAGGAAATCTCTCCACCTCTAATCTTGCCCTTTATGACCCAAGACACGTGCGTGGTTGTCAGTAAAGTGGCGAGCGAGACTGGGCGCCAAATTATTTGGGAAGATGGCGCGTAATCTTGCATGTGGTCTTTGTGTTTCATCTTTGTAATTTAGCTTGTCGTACAAGCATACGATCTTTTCAGCATGGCTGAGAAGAGATCTAAACGAGAACGGAAAGTGCGATCTAATACGGTAAGTTATGTAATTGAAATTTTGAAAGCTTTCGGTGAGAAAATAGTTATCGAGCTTTTTGCGGCGCTGGCAACTGCACACACAAAAGCGTTTATGAAAACAATGTGTTGAAAGTCGCTTGGAAAAGTGACTATTTTACATTTACTTGTGTTGATAAAAAGAAATCAGGCGTCAATTCTCGTACTGGAGAACAGATTTGAACGTCCTGTGTTAATTTTGTGAGTAAAAGTTACATACGCAATGATTAAGTTGAAGGGAAATTTACACGATAATTTATCGTGTGTGCGGACATGAAATCGACTAATAAACTTGGTTCCATGAAATCGGTACGGTAAATTCAACGTCTGTTGACACTTCTGTTTACATGCAAGCTTAGGTGTTCTGAAAAATTGTTTTAGACGGTTTAGCTCATTGCGGGGGCTGAAATGACACAAACGACTCAGGTTTGCCGCTGATTTAACTGTGTGCATTGAACTGCTCCCAAGATTTGGATCCTTTTTAGTCCAAATTCGTGTGGATAGAAACAGCTGTCTGTAGTAGGAGAAAGTCTTACTGGTTTTGAGATCTTTCTCCGGAACTTTTGTAATTCCTTCATGCTGTTACATTGCTAATTTAGAATAAAGTGAAAAAGACAAAGAAAAACAAAAAAAAAAAAAATGACAAAGTCGCCTTGGTCCGTGTTCATGTTTCCTATCACGGGACTTATACTCTAACAGTATAATAACTGTTCTGAAGAGCAATTTTTTTATATGACAAATCAATATTAATATTTGGTATGTACAGGTGAAAATGTAACAATGATGAGACATATTATCTTTAAAGGTGACTTAGATATGGCTTCGATTCCTTAACTTGCAAGTTACGTTTTATGACTTTTGACCTTCCAAAGCTCTTGAACATAAACATCATTTACCACATTAGCCGGGTTCTGAATCAAATTTTCCTTACAAAAATTTTTGTTTAGGCATGTCCAGCCGAAACAGAAAACAGTTTCCAAATTTAGGTGACTTATTAGACCAGACCATAAACCAAGGCAAGCTGTGGCTTCTATGCCTGTACTAGCCCAAGAGTCATTTTCACTAGGCCCAAAAACATTTTTAAGAGCAGGATTGATTACGGTTCTTCTGTAATTTGAATATCCCCAAAATACTTCACTTACCCATCAGACAAGTTGAGAACAGAATTAGATACCCTGATAACAAAATCCACTAGCCCCTGGCTATCGGACACAACTTTCTTTGCAAGCTGTAAACTAAATATTTCTGACTTTGTTCTTTTTTCTCTTATTCACCAAGTCAAAAGTTACTAACTTTGCAGTCATGTGTTGTATTATCATACCACTAAGGAAAAATCTGGAAAATTACTTTTTTACAAGTAGTTATATGGTCGTGTTACTGTGGTTTGCTCAAATACATGTATTCTGGAGTGCCTTAGTAGGCTTAGAAGCACTATATTTTGTGAGTAATAATTGCTTTTGGTTTTTGATTTCCTCCAGAATTTTGTTATGTTTTGGTTGAAGTTTAGATACCCATACTCAGTATTTGTAACAAAGTAAAACAAAACTGTGAACCAAGGAAGAAATTGTACCCTCTAGAAACACGACAATTTTGACCTCTTGGACAGAGTTAACCAAGATTTTAAATGTTTCCTCAGGAATTCTTTGGAGCAGGTCTGCTGCACAAAGAAGAAGTAGAATTGAGAAGGGCATTGAATGCATCCTTAAGAGAAGTACGGCGTTCTCACACAAAGAAGGAAGAAAAGCCCAGTGAATTTATAGCGACCACAACAAGGAGTGTTTGGAGTACAACAAATACAGAGGTATCTCAGGAGGATGATCAGTCTGATGAGTCATTGGAAATGACGAAAACTGTTTGTATTGGCACAAACACAATGTTCCGGATTAAGTCTGATCGCTCTAAGAAATCAGATGATACCAACAAAGGAAAAGGAGGTTCTTCCAAAAAGCAAAAGACAGAGAGGGGACAGAAAATAAACAAAGCTTCTCAGCAAGAGAGTGAATTGTTTAAAAAACCATTGAAAAGGAACAATGGTGCAGAGATCTCTTTTTGTTCATTTAAGAAGAAAAAGAAGGGAATTAAAGGAATAGAAAGTGAACCATCTTTTCAAAATGGTTCTAAAATGCCATCTAAATCCACTGCTGGTGAGCCCACTAAAAGTGGAGTAGTTGGAGACAAAGTGGGACTGAATGAGGAAATGGGGATGTCAATAGATATTGTAAAGAAAGGGTTTAAAAGTCCAACTAAAACAAACAAAGTTTGTGAACTTTCTGGAGGAAAGAAGCCAAAGATGCTAGTTAAAGACAAAGCTGCTTTGTACAAGCCACTTCATAAGAGAAATATGAAAAGTGCTCATAAAAGCAAAATTGTTCAGAGTTTGAATGCGAAATTTAGTGCTGCTGTGGGAGATGAGACGTTGCTTTCTGCAGAAATAAAAAATGAGGGTGACATTCAAACAGATGATACAGCTTGCAGCGATAAAATAAAGAAGAAAAGCTTTTCAGTACAAAATAATGGTGAAAAGTTAGAGCAAATGTCAGGTCCCTCAGAAGTCATCAATAGTCAAGATAAAAATTGTGAACTAAGACTGCAAGTGTCAAATGCTGGTCATGGAAAAATGCGACGTCGGCTGAAGCATAAGCTTAAAGACAGAAAACTAGTGTGTCCACTAGGGGAGATATACATACCAGCTAATGTTGCCAAGACTGAAGACTTCCTTACATTCTTGTGTTTAAGGGGTAAGTACCTAGGATGCTTGCTTTGAAATTTTCTCATTATAGCCACATTACCTAATAACCTCTGAAAAGCAGCTCTTAAACCAATGATAAAACAAATCGTTAGGGTGTTGTCGCCCAACTAATTGGATACAAAAGTTTCTTTTGAAAGTATCGCCTGCATCTGTAAGCCTCTACAGTTGCAGTCTAGTTACCTTTTTGTGTTCAATATTTGTATTTCCTTGCTTAGTATTATCAGTCCCTTAGCCTTCTTTGGCACATTTTTCCTCTTGTTAGAAATGTGCCACCCCCTTTCCTACAAATTCCAACCTTGTTGCTCAAAGTTCTGAGCCATTTCCTTCCACAGCCCTTTGAATCAAAGCCACATTCTTTTCATCAAATTAATACCCATTTTCCTAACCAACCTCCCATGTCTTGGTCCCCATCCCTCTCTACCAGTTTTGACTCCCTTTCTCCAATAATTTTCCATCCCTTTCTCTAACCTCCTGTCCTATGTATTGTTTTTCTTTCGTTTAAAACTACCTTCCTTTTAACCAAGAAGGTATCACCCCTTTTTTTCTGTTTCCCACTCCTTTCCCTTCCAATTTATACTTCCTTTTTCCTAGGTAATATTCTGCCTCTTTATTCTCCTCATAAGAGACCCTTAAGTTAGGCAGCCACTAAAGTTTAATGCATTGAGTAGGACACTCAAAGAACAAGTCAACTCCAGCTCTTGGGGTAATGCCTTAAGTACCCTGTGAGCAGAGGTTTCTCTCCTGTATGGCTTTTAGCATTTACGAAGTTGTTCATGTGGCTTGTCTGTCACGTAGTTAGCTTGTTTACACCTTGTGTTTCTCCAGAGGCATGTAAAACAAACCAACTGTGCGACTGAATAAAAGCCATGACTAAAAGCCATGCAAGAGAGAATAAACCTCTGCTCACAGGGTATGCGTTAAGAAGTGTAGCACACTATTATTTTGCAGGATTGTCACTAAGGGCTGGGGGTTGTGGATTTCCCCCAGCTACTAAGAGCATGTCCCCTGGCTACTTTCATAGGAAGCAAAAGGAAAATTGAACTAGAATAAATTCCTAGCTCTTCAATTCCCTTTCTCCCAATTTCTTATACCTGGCAACTTGAAATCTTAGCAACAGCCCTGCTATTTGCCACAAGTAGTGGTACATTTAGCCCCATAGTTCTCTCATAGATTATCATATTTTAGTAGGTAGTAACAAAATAGTTTAAAAATATCTCATGTGATGAGTGAAAAAGAGCAGTATGAAAAGGCCATGTCTATAATCTCACACTACTTATAGATCAGAGGGTATGTTACTATGAATAATTTATAACAATTATTGTTATAAATTATTTTCTCTTCTTCCAGGTAATTCCAGTCTTCCAAGATGTTTTGATGTTTTCAAAGATCCTGATCCTTTTTTTACACAGCCGGCACAGCAGTTTCCTGGTAACATGGCTCTTCCCTGTTCAACATTCCCTATGCAATCATCAGTGATTTATTCTCCTCCCTCATCATGTACCCCTAGTGAGTCATCAGCACCCTCACCCATGTCATCAACTGATGGCTGGATAATTAATGATGACTAAAATACCCTAATGATTAATTTTATTTAAGTGATAAAAATGTTTTGTACTTTTTCAGCACAGCTCTAGTTTGAATTTTTAAAACGTCCATCAAAAATAATCTTGTTATATACCCTGGAACCTTCAATCCCTAGCAGTAGCCAAGTTTTCATCCCTAATTTCTAGTCCACAGACTCAAAATGTCCTTCTTTGAAAACCCCATTTATTTATTGATTATCTAAATACTGTTGAAAAATTCTGCCCAGAAAAGGCAGAGCCTGTTGAACAGTGCATTATTACTTAGTTATCTCTATTTTGGTTAATAATAATTTGGTATGAGCCATGCAACTTGGGGCATACTGGCATCTTTTTTTCTCTAACCAGTGCCCTTGACCTTGTAGAGGTGAAGTGAAGCAGATTTAGATACTAAGTTGTTATATCCATGGTGTAAATTTGTAGATTAGATTTTCTGGCAAAAACCTGTCAGAAGCAAGGCAGATAACCTGTAAGATACTGTAACAATTTCTTGTAAGAGAAACAAACCTTGTTCTGTAAATTTCATCTAATGGGCTGCAAAATAGTTAACAAAAGGGAGCTTTAAGCAAAGACGTTTTTTTAGCCACGTACGTCAACCGGAAGTGGACTTTTGGCATTCTTGGGCAGTGGTTTTGCTCAATTTTCAAGCAAGTCATCTCCATAAGAGTACAAACACTTAGCAATACAAATTTGGTAGCATCAAGGCATATTAAAAGGGAAAAGACATATCACTTCTGGCTGACATACGTCGCTCAAAAACTTGTTTTGCTTATTAGTTCCCTGATGATGTCAAAGCCAAAGACATTCGCACTTTTCCAATGTTTTCTAGTTCATCATAGCGATTCTGTGTATGGTCACATGCATGTTTTAGCAGAATGCACTCTATTTTTAAAACAACTTTCTTCTGAGAGAAAATACCGTGCTGTGTTTCACCTATGAAGGAATGACAAAAGGTTTTGTCCACCGTTGAAGTGTATTTGCAATTTGTATAATTTGTATAAAATAGGTATGCTAGTGGAAGTATGGTCAACTCACTTTATGAAGGACTCTTTTGGGAGCGTCAGTGTTTTTACAATGGCCTGGCCCTGCAAGAAAAGAATTTGTTTTGGGCATGTAATAGATCCTTTATTGACCAATCCTCTTCGGTCAATATGGCCGAATGTTGGCCTCGGGTGTTTTTTTTTCTTCTTCTTCTTTGTTTGTTTTGTTTTGTTTCTTTCTTTGTTTGTTTCTTTCTTTTTTTGCATTTTTGTGGAACGAGAAGAGATTCGAGGTCCATACAAACGCTATGAAAGAACTTGTCCAATATCCAGCCATCTCGACATCAATCGAGAATCAAAGAAAATAATTGAAGAACGATAACCTTTATTAGAGAGTAATTTTATTCTAAGTTTCAGTCTTAAAGAGTTGTCGGCAGAGATGTTGGTTAAGAGGCCTTATTGCATGCGTTTTTTGCATGTGTATATTAAAGTGCTGTGACTCGCGTAGCTTTATATACTTGTATATATGCCCATATTTTGAGCTAAACAAGGGTACCATGGAAAAAGTATTTATTGTACGAAGCTATTTTTATGACCGCTTGATTTGTATTTTGTATTTTGCTATCTGCTTTTATATACTTGAAGAGGTACATTTTTGACGATTGTATCTGTACAATTTCAACACAATCCGGAATGACTCAATAAACATGTACTTTTTTAAACGTTCCCTATTTTACATTATTAGTGGACGAATGAGAACTTTGGTAAATTGGCCCCGTGAACTTCTTTTCTTAGCTCGCCTTTAGCACGCGGTACGCATTTAAAAAAAATGCGTGGACGAACCAACACATTTAGCAGCTATCTTTCCCAATAGGGACCTCGCACAAGAAAAGTCGTTACGTCAAGTTGTCATGGTAGCAAAAATTTCACCGTGGTCCTGCAGATAACGAAATTAAAAACGAAAAAAGTTGACTTGTTTGACTTTCCTGTGCATGATTTCACTAAGGAACAAAACGGTAGCCCATATTTTTTCCATCGTTCGACAATGCAAATGGCCGTCTCTGCCAAGAAAAGGTAGTTGAGATTTAGAAATTTTGCCACCAGAGAAACGTGACGTCACTCTTCTCTCCATTGCTGAGGGCGCTTTTATGAGTACCCACTTCGATGGAATTCATTGATTTTTTTTGGCTTACTGTCTATTTTGTTTTACAGTCGCCGTGCTGATTATCCTTACCGCTAAGAGGAATAAATGAGTTTATTCTAGAGTTTGATGTCGCGGGATGTCATCGCCTCAAAAAATTGTGCCGCGCAATTTTACGTAAGTTGGGCAAAGTGGGCTGACTGCGACACGGCGGCCCTGCCAATGGGGGGCGGAAATAATCGGTAGCGGAGACTCGAGTAAGAAACCAGGACTGAGGAGCAAAATGTGATCAATGTTTTCAAGTTGTGAAGAAGGAAGTTTAAGTCCGGTAACCGGAATGATAATTTAAAATAAAATTTTGCGGTTACTTGTTGACCAGAATGCCCCCTTGAGAAAGCAACAACGACTAATCATGATTAACAGTTTCTTGCGGACAGCTGCAGCAGCAGTGGTACATGCACCTTTTGCCCTCCATTACCGAGAAAATATTTTTCCTTTTAATTAATGTATAATCAGTTCAGCCAAGGAAACCGACATTTAATTTTGTGGCATACATTAAAGACATTTGCATCAAGAATTCTATAGCGTTTTATCGAAAACAACATTCTTTAGCGCGAACACAATTTTATTTTCCTTGGGTGAATGTTCGTTTATGAGAAATAGAATATCAATAACTATTATTTTTTATGAGCATTATCTTGCCAATATCTTGCTGAATTTGGAGGCATGCTTTAATTCGGGAGCGAATCTCACAATATACCTAAAACTCGTATTGCAGAAGTGGCGCGTATTGCATTGCAATCATGTCGTTAGGCTCAGTGTACAGTGTACATACTGTAAAATTTGCTGCTGTGCTTGTACAAACAAACACGCGATGCGTAAAATGTTTGGTCAATACATGAAAAAACAGGTAGCAGAAGGATAAATAAAAATAGCCAGAAAATGTGCTGCGTGGTTTAGGTTTATGCAGACCTATATACGGCGATGTTTGAACGGCAAAAACATTGAATTAAGGATAAACCAGCAAAAACGTGATTGTTAAAAAACATTAAAGTGAAACCCCGCCTTACGGCCACCTCAGTAGTACGGCAAGCTCGCCGCCTGGCAAAAACCGCCATACATTTTCTTGTAAAAAACCCTCGTAAATATGGCCACTCCGTTAATAAGGCCAATTTTTTTTGGCCCATTGGTGACCGTATTAACGGGGTTCCACTTATATGTTTTCTGTCAATGAATTTCTTTTCTTTTTTAAAGAACATTACGATGCCGCAAATGTTTGACTATTCTCTAAAAGATTGTTATTTTCACGAAGTTGAAACTATATTGGCATTAATAATGTTCTTGCATATGTAAAATGCTTTAATAATCACACAAATATCATAGTTTTCTATGATGATTACACATTCGTTTTAATGACTAAACTTTTGACGCTAATGGCAATTTATATCGCGGAAATAAAGGGCAAAAGATGTAGTAGTACAGGTGGAAAAAATTCAAAAGAAAACATAACCAAGGAGAATCTGACAGAGGCACGTCTATTTACTACTATTATCTTTATATCGGTAACAACATTCTCCCTTTTCCCTTTTCCGCTCTTTCCCTATCTCTCCTGCTCCCGTTTTAGCACCTGACACGCTGGCTAATGAAAACTGTTTTGCTTTGACGTGTGCCGGCTTTTAAGTTCGACGTTTGTAAGTGCGTCCCGTCTTAATACTAGACGGCTTAATTAACGGTTGGAACAACAAAGGCGTCTCATTTTAATATTTACCATATGCAAACTAGACGTTCAAGATGTCTTCTACGTTCTCACAGCCACACTAGAATTGGTTACAGTTTGTCTATATGTGCCACTTACACAACAGCCAGGGGCACCCGGCGACTTTTTTCTATAAAATAACAGTTCGAAGGAGCAAATATTGCTTGAGAAAAGCTAAAAATTTGTGGATAACCGTTCCATTCGTCTAAAATATTCGGAGGTTTTGTAATAGCTTATCTACGATTTTCGGAGGTTGTGTTATTCACATTTTATACCAAGATATTGCGATTATTGTTAAAAAAAGGTCTCCTAAAACTTTCTGTATAAAGACAAAACGTCCCCTATAATTTTCTTGTGAAAGCAAGGCTACTTCATATCCTCGAACTTTCGCCCGGACCCTTAAGGGTACCTAACAATTTCGGATGAGACGAAAAAGCCACCTAAGACTTCCGTCACAACCAAAGTTTCCGTAAGACATCCGAACAGATAAACAGTTTTTAGGGCAACTCCAAATTAACCAAACAGACTTCTAAAGCACAGAGAAAACCATTTGAGACACTTCTGGCGTATCTGAAAACATTCGGTCGTTGGCTGCCCCTTGAACAGCTTTAGATTCTTCAGTGGATTCAAGTGTCTAAAATAGATCATCATAAGAATAAATACACTCTTGCCAAAGGAGGCCCCTCTTAGGAATAACTTAAATATGAAGGATTTTGTAACTGAAATCGATTTCTTGAAAAATGCCTGTTGTGTGCCTCTTCCTCAGGCACTATTCGTTTTTCACACTGAGTCGAGCGCGAAACGCAAGTGACTGGTGACGAAGCCCAAAGAACCATGGGAAGGAGAAAGAAGAGAGACCCGTTTTCTCCTTCCCGCCTTCCTTTACCTGCAAATTTTCATCGACAGAGAGACGTGTGGGTACAGGGCAGACTTTCTGTCTTAAGAATGGCCGCCACCATGGAAACAAAGAATAAATAATTAAGCTTAAAATATTACAAGGGAGTCATGAAACAATTTCCGCAGTTTAGTTTTAAATTCTGGTATACCAGTCCCGTACTTCGCAGATACTGGAATAACAGGTAGTGGTGATGTCTCTTCAAGTCTCTGTATTTCCCGTTCAGAATCAGCGATGTCTATCTTATTTGCTACAACAGCTCCAGGTCTTTGTGAGAGTTGTTCTTTGTAAAGCTCTAATTCCTCCCGCAGACATTCAAATGTGTTTACTGAGTCGGCCTGAGAAACGTCCAACACGTAGAGCAAGCAACGACATCTTTCAATGTGACGCAAAAAAGCATGTCCCAGTCCCTTATTGAGATGGGCTCCACTTATTAAACCAGGAATATCCGCAACTGTAAAAGAGAAAACGATTATTGAGTTTACAAAGTATCACTAAAATGTCCAAAGAAATACCAGCGCTATGATTCGTCGTATCGGTAACGTATTTATACTTCTAGATGAGAAATTTCCGCAAATTGATTGGCTTAGAGCAGTGGTATCTCAGCTTAATTTGAAATACCTACATGTGAAAATTACAAATCTTATTGCGGGTAGCAGTATAAACAAATAATAGCATGATTTGTGCGTGATCATATTTGGCATAAATACCACTCGTGATATTTCAAAATTGTCACAAATTTCACTCGCCTAACGGCTCGTGAATTGGGTATAACAATTTCGAAATATCACTCGTGGTATTTATTCCAAATATCACTACAAAGCATGCTATTACCTATACTTATTAAACAGTTGAACCTCTATTTGCGAACACCTCTCATAAATGACCACCAAAACTTTCCCAGTCAAAGCCTTACAGTTGGAATCTCTCGTACACGACCACCTCCTGTAAGCGACCGCGACTACTTTTAGGGTCTGAAGGTTTAATAATTTTTCATGTTTTTTCACTCTTGCAAGCAACCACTTGACGCACGCATTCATGGTCTGATCTCTATGTTCGCTGTATGTACCATGCTACTTAGAATATAGGAGGAAGTTTAGTAATAACATGGAACTGCACATATCGTGGCTTGAAAGATTGCATGCAATAAATTATCTTCCATAAAGTAGAAGTGTCCGGACATCTCGGAAGAGACCCCGGTGATTCGATTTCTCGTATGCGACCACCTTTCGTAAGTGACCACTAAGTTTTCGCATTTTGGGTGGTAGCTTACGGAAGGTTCGACTGTATTTCCGTAAAGAACGCGCCCTATGTAACGCGCAAGTTTTACTGATATAAAAGCACGCGCTCGGGCCTAAGTCACCAATAACTGCGAGCACGTAATTCAGGGAACCCCTAATAAAAGGAAAAGCTGCTTGTGGCACGCGCATTGCCTACTTATGTAAACAACTGGAGATTTTTCCTCTGGCTTCAAAAGGGAAAAAACAGAAAGAACGCAGTAAGTGTTTCAATGAGGTTTCAGAAACAGAGGAGTAATGGGAAAGATACTACCACGCGTTCAAACCTGTCTTGCAACAAATCAGGTTACTACAAGATGCGTGAATACTGACTTCTGATTGGATAAAATTACGCCGGAGTCAGATCACGTCACACGGGAGTTGGGCGGGTAAAACGCGCAACATGTAAAGATACAAAAAGGGGATCTACTCTCTACTTTCCCCAACAACTTTCGCAAACTGCAACAACCTGATTTATTGCAAAAGAGGTTTGAACGTGGGTGTAAAACGCGCAACATCGGTTTTCAACTCGTTTTATAGCAATGTTGCAAAGCAAGTTGCATGTTTATGTTGCCCGTTTTGCCGTACCTCTAATTAAATTAGTGACATCCCATAAACTTGAGGTGGGTATTTGTCACCATGTGACGTGCGTTTTTAGGAAACTCAATGGAACTAAGTACCAATACTGTGGCAAATGGATATTCAGAAGCAGAATTTTTTAGTCAGAGCTACCTGCAATCTGTGAGTAATCATCAAACTCCAGAATACCAACATAAGGGTTTATTGTTGTAAATGGGTAGGCAGCAACAGCTGGTCTTGCTCTGGAAATTGCCCTTAAAAGAGTGGACTTTCCCGCATTGGGAAAACCAACCTAAAGAACAACAAAAAATGAGGATCAAATTTTGGTCATAGCAATCTACTACGGTTGTCCACTACTATACAACCCCCAAAACCCCTACCATGTCTGCAAAAATGAGAAATTGGTCCCTTACAAGATTACTATAATTAGCATTACTGCTTTCACTGGTGACCATTTAGACACTGTCTTGTCAACACTTGGATTCAACCTGCGTTTAAAATTAAGAGCAAAATTTATTGTAAAAGAAAATGTAAAGAATAACATGGAGATCAAGACCTGGCTTCATGTCGCTGAGCTTAAAATATTAAAAGTCTTATTTCATCTGCTCCTGTTTCTTAGAGAGAATCATCTAAAGAAGAATCATTAAATGACTCTTAATTCTACATGACATCACACAAGCGGATAACATATTTACTGAAAGAGGAGGACAAGAATTATAAGGGAAATGGATATTTTTCAGATTTTCTTTGAGCAGTCTCTCCCAAGGGCCAATAGTCTTTTATAATCTTTTTTCAAGACTCTTGCCTCATTTGTTTTGCATGCAGAGGGATGCTGAGAAAACTTGGAGGTACTTGCAGGTCAACTTGGTCAAGGCAAGACACTCAGAGCAAGTGTGAGCACTGTTGTCAGCTCTTGGCTCAGGCAAAGGGGTTAACTTCACTCTCATATAAATGCTCGCTAAAGTTGACTTGGCTTGGAGGGTGATCCTCTTTCCCAGGGCAACTTTTCTGCATAAAAACAGGGCCTTAGTTATGACTATTCCTTTTTAGAATTTGCTTACCAAACCAATATCAGCTATGGTTTTGAGTTCCAATTCTACCACTTTCTCCTCTCCAGGAGTTCCATCAGAAGACAGCTTAGGTGCTTGATCCAGAGCGGTCTTAAAGTGCGAGTTTCCAAGTCCCCCTAGTCCTCCCTTGGCAGCAACAAAGGTTTGCCTCTCGGCTGTCATGTCAGCAATCACTTGACTATTTGCTTTGACCACTGTTCCAAGAGGAACCTAAAAATGAACAGCTGGTTAAGCTAGAAGTAGGTCATCTGAGATCTTTTACATTTAGTCTTACAATTCAAAGAGGACAAGCAGCAAGTTGTTGTTACTCAAAATATCTAAGTCTTAACCTTAACTGTTCATCAGTAGGATGCCTAATATGTGTGCAATCCCACAATAAATTGGTATACATCATCATGTATACATGTAGGCTTTAATGGAGCCAAAACCAATTATTGGTTTTGGCTCCATTAAAGCTTACATGTATACCTTTACAAGTAGAACATTTAAGCAGGAGCCACCAACAATGTGAGCACAGTTACTGACAAGGCATGTGAGTAGGAAAACAGTCCAAAGAAAACAACCTAAATTCAAAAGTGTGGAAATAGGATTAAGGGTTAGCCACGGTTTGGATTAATAGTATAAACGTTTTTCATTTTAATCAGGGTAAAGAATACTCAGTGTTGGCTAAAATAGTACATAATTTTAGTATATACATTGTAGCATTCTACACTTTCTCTAGCTTTAGGTATATTGTGGCAAACCAGGGAAAATGATATATTGGGTATAAGTCTCTTAGGTGTGGATAAGGGGATGTATTGGTTTCCCACTCACCCCTGGATGGATTCTATTGGCAGTTTTGAGGATCCATGTAAGACAGGGTTGGTGTTACAAATGTATGACAAATTGAACTATGGCAGTGTTTTCAGAGATGCACTTTGACCCAGTTTCGTTTGCAATCTTGTAATAAGACAAACTAATGGTAAGTGGCAAGTACACCAATCCATGGCCTGGCCTCTACCTCACGCATGCGCACAGCCATGGGCAATGGCAGCCATGGACAGTTGTTTTGCCCTTATTGAGGCTCATCGGCAAGTCAGAGCCTTTGGGCCTATGAATAATTTTGACAAAGCCATGAAGCATGGGCCCTTTATTTCCAAGGTTAGTGCAAAGCACTCCTTTAAGCACCAGCTCCTGACCACACAACATATGTGGTAGCTGTTGGCTGGAAACCACTTGGCAGTTCTCCCACAGCATGCGTGGGGAAGGTGGGTCAGCATTTCTGCCAATCTCTGTGTCAATAAATTCAATAATAAGATCCAATAAAAGAACTGCTAGCAGTAATTTATTCGCTGCAACACCATCCCAGTCTCACACTCAGTAAGTTTTCTTCTACTCTTTTTATTTTACCTCAAATATCTGATCAGAACCATTTCTGCCTTTGCAATTTTCTCCCCTGCCAGCTCCACCATTTTCTGCCTTTGTGTGCTTTGGAAGATGGGCGAGTTCTTTCACAGCATGGTCTGCAACCAGCACAATGTTCCCACCTCGGCCCCCATCACCACCGTCAGGGCCAGCTTTAGGTTGGAATCTAGTAAGTTAAACATTACAGCTGTTTCAGATAACACACGACCTGGGATGTCAAATATGTCTTTGGATTTTGAGTTTTTCCGTGACGTCAAACAAAATCTGAAGGCTATGCGCTTTTGCACCGGACCTCTTAGGAAACAGAAGTTTACTTCACCGGGTTCAACAGGTCATGGTTTGTGATTTGTGATTGGTGGATTTTGATCCCTTTTGTGTATTTCTGTGTTTCAAGGTTTGTTGCTTTTGAACTTCAGAGTTCGCGTGTATTCACGTTTTAACTCTCAAGTTTTCTTACCTTCTTACTAAAACATGGCAAGTTCAGATTCCCAAGGTGAACTTAGCTTGTTCCTATAGAACTTCCAAATCCAGAAGAAACACAGATATAGGAGGGTGAAAACAAATTGGTACATTCAGGCCAACATTAAATTTTGAAGCTTCAGCTTGATATTGCTGCCTTAATGATTAGGTGCTATGGTAATGGTTTGATTGACGTCAAAGAAAAACCCAAAATCCCGAAATGTTTTTGACAATGCAGGTCGCCTGTTATCCGAAACAGCTGTAACAGACAATGAAATTTAAACCTAAAATAGGTTTCCAGTTATCTTTATGGTACAAGAAGGATACAATTTTCAGCAGTGTTTGACTCATTCAAATAAAGTGTTAAAGAAATATTAAAAAGATTTCCATTGGAACCAATGACTTTTTTTTGGGCAAAGTGTCCTTATATTCGACTCGCTATCTTTGATGCTAGAGCTTCAAATAAAATGTAACATCAGATATAATAATGTCTGTACGTTTTACAGTACAACTCACTTTTTTCTTCTGAAGTGCACACATCCATTTCCACCATCTCCTGCTTTTAAAACTACCTTTTTCCAGTCAATAAACTGTCTTTCCTGTTTTTATAGAATCAGATCCACAAAGAGGATAAAAGATAAGAAATATTTTAAACCTCAAATACTGGTATATGAAGACTCTTTCTAAGGGCCTGTTTACATGGAGGTGGGGGACCCCAGATAGGTGAGGTAACATGTGACAAGTCACCCCGCCTATCATGTAAACATAATCAAATTAAAATGAGAGATTATATGGACAGGAGGGTTACTCCATCTTAGTGGGCTATCTCACCTTCCTGGGTTCCCCCACCTCCATGTAAAGAGGCCCTAAATCTTAGCATGTCCCAAAAAATCTTATAAACCAGGGGAGAGGGGTGGGAGTGTGGAGTGTGGATATCATTTAATGAAAATGGTCCTAATAAGGGACTGGGACAGGCTTATGCATTTCGCTATTACAAAGACCTCCATGGGCGCCTTTGTAGTTAGATCGTCCTAAATGACTAAATCAATTACCTTACTGGATGGTTTAAAGCTTAAAGATCGGCAAAGTCTGGACGTCCCCCAAGACCAAAACTTCATTGCATTCAGCCCAAGATGGCCTGGTTACCCAACCTTCAGGCGTGGATACTAAATATGAACCCGCTGACCTGTCAACAACCTGCAAATGAAAAGTGAGTTGTTTACAGATCTGAGCCAGGGCTGATAAATATGGAGGATCGATACACGTGGTCGGGAATTTGTTTTAAGAGCTGGCAGGCAAATAATATTCAAATTTAGCACCAACAGGACAAGGGAAGAATGGCGGGCGAGCGCCCAAGGCGAAGAATAACTCAGCCTTGCTTGGTATGTATGTAGCATAAAGTGCTATGTCACGACTTGTTCTTCAAAGACACCGCGTTATAAATTTATCGCCTTCTCGAGCTTGATCGTGCCCTGTTGCAATTCAAGCGAAAGAGATCTGTCTGTTCTGCATTTCAACCAAGTAATTTAGACGTCTGGTCACCTTATAGCGTATATAACTTAACATTAACAGCTTGAAATTTACAGCCTTGATCATTTGCTTTCTTTTGACGATCGCTCAGAAGTCGGTCAAAAACGAGTTCATTTGTATTCGTTTCATTGGCCTTTGTACGAGGCAATTAATTTCCTTGTATCTTTGTCATATTTAGGTCAAAGGAAAACACCACACTTTGAATATGAATTTTCTATTAAAAGTTAATTACGCCGTTTGAAAACCGTCTCTTTCGTGAATCTGAGATCGAGTCGTTTAGATGGTTAGTCAAATCTTGTCAGCAAAGCTTTGCTTAGTTGGTATAAGTTATGTTGAAAACCTTCAGTTGGTTTTAAGAATTAGTCAGATAAATATTCACTTTTCACTCAATTTCCTTTTTAATGTAAGTATACAATATTTCGATACTTTTTTTTAGCTAAAGAATTGATCAAAGCGGGTGTCCCTTTAGATAGTGTATACGGTTGACTGGCCAATTTAACGTTGAGGTTCTCTTCAGAATACTAACCGCAGATTGTTCACTAACCCAGAACACTTTGGATCTATAAGTGGTGACTTTTTACATCAACGACCCTAAAAAGACAAACAAGTGATTAACAGTTTAAAAAACCAACCTAAACATTCTTAATTGTCTTTGCAACAGATCACAATGTAGCATTGTGCCTTTCCTTTGTTGGATTGTATTTGTTTTTTGTGTTTTTTTTCCTTTCTTTCCTTTTCTTAGTATCTTAAATTTACAAAATTTGGAATTTCATGTAGAACACAAACTACACAAACTTGCAGCAGTGGATTTAATGCTATATTTCAGTCCTTTTTTTATTATTTAGGGTACATATGTCACTTCCATGGTCAGCTGGACTATCCATGTATGATCACTTTAATCCCTTTAATCTCTGGGGTCACTGAAAAATCTTTAGCGACTGCAGCAATTTTATGGAGACAACTCTTCAACCAACCATTGCAGCCATCCGTACAAGAACAATCACCAAGATAAACTTAAGATCTATGTTTACATACACCTGCTCATATAATTCACATGGCTGGACTTTTTTGAGATTGCTGTAGTGAGTGAAGCAGTCATATTGAACCAATTCTTGAAATGACAAATGGTAACTTTGGTGATTTATCCTCACTGATCTCTAAATTTTTGGTAACAGTGTGTTGCTAAAATGTTTTTAAAAATGAGAACGTCATTGTACTATTCCTGATGGAAGATGACATTGTCGAATCCCTACTGAATTGCACCAAATGGCATTAATTAACAAACAATAATCGTATTTAATAATATTCTTATCAGATCTAGCCTTTCCTCCAGTGGTAGTTTAAGTGATTCTTGGTCTTTTGTTTTAAGCTATTTTGAGCTATCAGAATGGCACATTGTTCCAGTATAGAATTCCTTACAATAAAATCATGTTCAAGTATATAACTATTTTTCCTTCTTAATTAATATAATTTTTTTTATTAGACAGTTTTAAAAATGATGAATGGATGAATAAATAGACAAATAAATAAATTTCACTTTAATTTAAAATCTTAAAATCCAAACAATTGACACTGATGTGAAAGCAGGGGAAAATAGTGTTGGTGTAGCCCTGTGGTTAGAACCTATTTTTGTGGTCCAATTTCTTGAGGACATCTTATGATTAAGAGGAATCTCAAATTTTGTACAGGTCAAATTCTTAAGATTCACTTGTTCATAATATTTGTGATTTCTTAGGAATACAATGGAGGGTTGCTCCATAAGGAGGAAGTTATGTTAAGAAAGGCATTGTATGCGTCACTGGTTGATTCCAAGAAGCCTTCACCAAACAAGCTTTCTTGCAGCAGTCATTCAGTTTGTGAGACAGTGGGCGATAATGGCTCTCAAGACGTCACCAGTGTAACTTGCAGTGGAGACAAAAAGAGTAACAAACAGTGTAGCACTTTTGAGGAGTGCGACAACTGGAATGATACCAGTGAATCTGGGCAATTTATCACGGAAAAGATCATTGACTCTGAGATGCAAAAGAAGATCAAGGAACCAAGCAAACTTCTTAATTATGTTATCAAGAAGAAAAAGGAGAAACGAACCAATCCAAAAACGTTATTTAGGACTGTGTCATCAACAAAACTTGCAGGAAGAGGGGAAGGAAGTTTATCATCTCAGAATGGTAGAGCAAAAAAGAGAAGGAGACAGAGAGGAGCACTTGCAGTATTTGTTGCAATGAATAAGTCTGCTGGCCGAAAAATGAGTAGGGAGCATTTTTTGGAGGCAGATAAAGACCTTTCCAAAAGTAAAAGGAAGAGAAGACGAAAGCGGAGGGAGGTTAAAACTCAAATCTTTAATGAAGGAGATACTGAAAGTGAGGAGTTGCCATTAAAGAAATCTAAGAGTGAAGAGAACAAGTAGGTGTATTGTATTATGGATTTATAATCATGGACTGCAGTAAATATGCAAAGTTACACAGTGTGTCTTACAATATACACAGGAACTTGACAAAAAAATCCATGTGATGTACATGCAATGACATGTTTCTTTTGGCAACACTTTGAAAAAAGAGTGGCTGGAAGAGTGTTGTGTGTTGTTTTGGCTGGGAGTAAGCTATAAATCCCGGGGGCGGGGGTACTCCCATAATGGTCTATAGAGGGAGGCAACAGGCAAAAGGGGTACTTTTTCAGGCTTCATGTATATGAAAAGGTAGGGATTTTACTAGTTGAAGTACATGTATGTGAAAGGGTAGGCAGGGTGCAAAGAAAGTCAGTTTTACAGTCTGCCATTTGGGCAAGCTGTAGCTAGCATGTACTAGCCCACAAGTTATTTCAGCTAGCCCCAAAACCCTTTTTGATGAGCAGGATTTATTACAATCATTCTGTAATTTGAATTTCCCCCCCAAAAAGACAGCACTTGCTGTTCGGGCAAGTTAAGAACAAAAATCGCTAGCCCAATAGCAAAATACACTAGCCTCGGGCTATCAGACATGACTTTCTTTGCACACTAGTAGGGAAATCTGTCATTGCGGTCTGTGATAGGACCTAAAGCTACTAACAGGCACATTGGAAAACTCTCTGGTTTAGTGATTTATTCATATTTACATTCGTAAAAGACGGTGTATTTACAGAAGTTAAAAGGGATGTGGCTTTCTAAGTCAACTAGTACAGTGTGTGAAAGGGGCACCATTTGTCAATAAAACGTAAACGAAAGGGGTACACCTAAAACATTGTTTAGTTCCCCCTCCCCCTAATTATGATTGGGACCTACATATATAACTTTCGTTTACATGTGACTGACATTTTATTTATTTATTTTTTAAATTGTAGAGCAGCCTGCAGAGTAGTTCAAGCACAGCGGAAATTTGCAAAGTCACATCCAATGAGTCCAACTAGGTAGGAAGTGTTTTTTATCACTTTGTGTTCAGATTAATATTAATCTTATTCTTTGCCATAATAACTACAGTTTTGAAATCTCATACCAAGATTTTACGTGCATGGAAAACAAATTGCTGCAAATGCAGTAGTTTCTCTTGATGCCTGTATAATTTTTAACCTACTGAAATTCCAAAGAAGGTGGTATACAATTTACCTGGACTAAAATGGTAAAATGGCAGCAGGGCAGAACAAAGGAAGGAGAGCTTGCAACTAGGTCTCTGGAATTTGAACTCCACCTCCAATTCCCCTGTGGCTCCCTGTCAACTGAGCTATCAGATTTCCGCCAATCAGCGCAAAGCAAGAACGAGCAAGAATGTAAACAGACATTGAAAAACACGTGCCAAGGGTAATGACATCATTACTTATGTCATCTCTGCCAATCAACATTTTGCATTGACTTTTTTGATGCAGATATTGAAATTCCAGAGAGCTAGTTGCAAGCTCTCCTTCCTTTACTGCCACACCGCCAGGGGGCCCTGGAGAGCTTACTCACAGGTTATGGTAAATGCATTGTTTATAGTTTAAGTGCACTTAGCTGCTCTATTTACAATCATGGACAAAAATCTTGGGAAATTTGTATTTTATTTGGTATCGTTACGTGTAATCCACAGATGCCCAACCCTTTAGCCACCTCACATACACTGTTGATCAGTGTATCCACCATTTTTCCTGAGTTTCTATCCTGTACTGAGGGTGGGGGAGGGAGAACTGCAAGGCATTTGTAAACAGATAGCACTGCTACATGACGGTATGTGAAAATAATTTCACAAATTACCTCACTGTCACAAGGTCTTCTGTTCCTGATGGGACAGATTACAGACACTTCATTCAATTTTAATTTGTAACTTGTAATGAAAATATAACAGGTTAAACCCTTTAAGTTCCCAGGTTGATTGTCAACATCAACTTTCTCCTAACAATGTCATTACATAATCAAAAGAAAAGGTTATAAGAATTGATAAAATGATCACGAAAGGGAAGTGGATTTTTCTTTGATCAGTTGTCCTAAGTAATTCTTTGAAGAAATGTATGGAGATCTGTCTGGAGAGTGTAGGCTGATTCAGCAACAGAATTGGAACATCATTTGATGACAGGAAAGCAAGCAGAAAGGACTAAAATCGACCTCCGGTGCCCAATTTGCCTCTCTGGCATTGGTCAAGCCTGTTGTTTGATTTGCGCACGCTGTCGTCAACTGATGTTCCTGTTCTGTTGCTAAATCAGCCTTGTATGTGGATATTGGGGCTTAATGAGTTAAAACCAGAACTGGCAGGAGGTGACAAGTTTTCTATCTACAAGCATGCCATGGAATTGAACTGGGGACCACAGAAAAACAAATCCTACCTGGCTACCTAGTGGTCATGCAGAGCAGGACTCTGAAACTGTACTGATAGTAACTCCATACTTTGGTCACTTACTTGGTAATTAAAATGATTTGCATGTATTTTGTTTTTGACCAGCACTAGATCACATGAAAAGCGAAATATGCTCTCAAGCACTTGTACAACACGAGCCAAGACTGAAGATTTCTTGACCTTTCTTTGCTTAAGAAGTGAGTAAATTTGTGCATCTAGGATTTTGCCTATGACTGTCAATATCAGGAAACTGTGAACACCTAAAAAATATGACTGGAATGCTGACTGTGTATTGCACTGATAAATCACAACAAAGGACGTCAGGACATGAGTAGGACACAAAAATGCAAGCTAATCACAGTCGTTGCTTGCAAATTAGTTTTCTCATGCCTGATTAGCTTTGACCTTAAAATAATTATTATAACATTCCAGAAATATTTGTAGTGTTCTCTGTTTTGTTAGTTTCACAGTAATCATTGACCATTATTTTGTAATATTATTTATAGTAATCATCAGTAATGTACGATATGCTTTCAATTCACTTGCCTTACTCATTACAAATTGTTGCAGAAGGGAAATGTGAATGGTTACTGTAAGTTTTGAATAGTTGATGGGGGAATTGCTTTTACATGTATGAATGCCACATTTCCTCTATTAGTATTGCCAGGAATATGAGTCCCACTAGCTCAGCTCATGCACTATTTCCTCATAAAATGTTTGTTGTTTCTATGAGGGGCATGGGCTGACCCACTTGCCAAGATCTTGATTCAATTTTTTTTGGAAAGGAGTGGTGTGGTGTACTATGTTGAAAGTGCTGAGCAAGCACTTGATGTATTGTTTGGGGGGAAGGAAAGGTAAAATCAGGGAACTCACTATGCTATACATCAATTAATTTTCAAAACGTGGATGTAAGAGAGAGCGGACGTTCATCCTGATTTTTTCTTACTGTCCCTTCACTGATTTTGAGCTACCAAAAATGCAAATATAGTACACAGGTCAATCCTAATCCCTTTGTGGCTCATTAAATTAAATCTCTTCAAAAATTACCCTTTAGAGCTGACATTCTATTGCTAAATTAAAAATGCACAGGTCAAGCAAAGATATCACAGTGCAATTTGAAGTCCCTTTTCCCCAAAACAATCACAATAGGGGCTTGTTTACATTCTTTAAATTTCAGGCTATTGATCACGTTTTTCTTAAGTGAGCTACTAGAACCCCATCATGAAAAAAAAGTTGGCCATGCCCCTGAACATTCCTTTTTTAACTTGTTGCAGATCATCCTGTCTTACCCAAGGAGCTGGAGAGGTTCAACAATCCTTGTCTGCCAATGTCCCCATTATCTGATGAAGAAGAGAACAATAATTCCTTACCACCCTCCCCTACTCACTCTCAATCATCAATGTCAAATTCATCAAATCTGTCAAGCACCATGCACAAGTCATTTTCTGACTCACCTGTCCCATCGGTGGATAGCCCGGCCACTGGTGAGGGACCCTCATGGGAGAGTGGTGTGGTGAGAATGTATGCTGATGGTCCCAAGGGGCTGGCTGGAAAGGGAAAGGAGTCAAAGAAATATGACGAGCTTCTGCCTAGTGATGACCCTGATGTAAGTGATTGGTTTTTCTTGATGTGTGAGTATTAGATGCAGAACAATGGAATCTAAGCTCCTTCGGGTCGACCATTCGCGTTAGTTTTTATTGGTAAATTTCACTGAACAGTTTTTTTGTTCCTCTATGGCATGGAGACAAATAGCCTGTTTCAGACCCTCTGTAGTAGGGATGAGTGGAAAGAAAAGCAAGCACATGAAAAAAAAAAAACAGACAAGAACTGATTTTCACCTGTCCTGACTAACAGAGTGTCTGGAATCTGCTAGAAGAGCAGGTACACTGTGTTGTGATCGGTGCAAACTTCATATTATACCTTGCGTTCATCAGTATTATTTATTTTCAAAGCTCACAGTCATTTTCACTTACAGTCATGTCCTGCCAGACATGAACTATACTTTTAGTATGCATATGCATGAGGCACCATTGTACTATATATACTTAATTTGCAATATTGTGGTCTATGCATCAATTTGCAATCTTCTTGTTGGTTTTCAACTCCTTAAGTGACAAGTTGAGATGAACACTTTTTGAGTTTGTGTCTCAATTTGTTTGGCTGTTGTTCACTTCAGAACATTTCTTTTTTTTGCCTATTAAATGCCTACAGGCTACTGCAAGGATACATATTTGCTGTTATTAGGTTGCCAGGAAACACTGTAAAATATTATGAGCCTGCACAATAAAATTGTATGACATAATGTCTGAGCTTTCAACCTGACTTTTTAAAAACAAGGAACTGTTACATCCTACAAGGCATTTAGGACATACCATGCAAAATATAAATTGAGAGTTATCTATTTAAATGATCTGAAAAACCTGAGCATGCCTAATACAATAATTTTTGTGCCTGATTAGCAAACTTAATAAAATACCCCAATTCACTTTAAACTTTTTTGCTCGGACCATGGATAATAGAAGGACTGGTCTTTTCCATGCTCAGACAAGAATGAAGCCTTACTTTTCTGGCTTATTACTCAAGGCACAAATACAAATAACTGTGTTCAGGTGCGCAGAAGGCCCCTCACCTTTTAGCTTCTTTTAGTAATGTGTTGTTAGCTTCAAAATTCAAATTACGAGAAAAGTTTAAAGGTGCACGATGATGCTGACAAAACCTAACACATGTATAGAGATTTCAGCAAGTTTAGAACTTTAAGTTTAGGTTAGAATTGGCGAGTAATTCTACATATACGCTTACTTGGCTTGTTTATCATTTATTTATTGCCCTCTTATCCCGCCTACGCTTACTATTTCCTTTGTAACTATAAGTCTGATAATAGTATCATGATGCAGTAGCATAGACCACAATGATAACAGTTGTAAGAAATGCTGAGATGCTGGAGATTGCTCCTTTGTTCAACTACTTGACTATTAAAATGTATGTTTCTAGGTATAGCATTCGTCAGCGTCAGTAGCTTGACACATTCGCCTAAAACAACGTCATTATGCTTCCATTGGTTTTTATATTTATGCTCTCCCTTGTTCATGAAATTAAGGAGTCCTCTATCAGTAGCTTCTACTGTCGGTTACTGTTCGTTTATTTAAAGGTTTTCCAGTTGCTGTACATTTATTTAAAACATTGTGAATTGCAGGCTCATTAAACAGGTCTATATTATTTTATAGCCTATGTTATCTCAGTTAAATCTACTAAAGCCTAATACTGAACTTGTATGTGAAGAGAGACGAAGTGCTCAGTATTGTGATCATGCTTTACGTATTCTACATTCGTCTGTCAACGTCTTAAGAAAGCTGGTTTACTAGCTTTAGAACAAACGCCACTGAATCGTAGTCAACAGTTACCGGCACCACACAAACGACTTAGTGACGGACTCAAGCAAAACTGACGACGATAGAATGACTGGACAACCGACGAAAAAGAAAAAAAGATTTTAAAACTATTTTTGAAATGTTTTTAAACTTTTTAATCTGTGGCAAAATACGGGTCATAATACACCAATGGCAATTAGAGTCTTCATTGTCAATAAAATCACGACTTCACTGACAGACGACCAATAACATCGCAACTTAATTGGCCAATCAGGTCAATAGCCAGAGTTAAATACCATCAACTGACGTTGCCTGCGATCGTGCCCTCCCTATACCTCTATTGTGTCTTTCTTGGAGAGGAGAAGGAGGGAAGTTCTTTTTTTCCCTGTCTTCAAAAAAACAACAACAACTACAACAACGCCTGATCGCAGGTTACAACTGACGTGATACAACTCACTTTGACTCTGAAGATGACCACCGCACGGTTTGTTAAAACGTCAGTCAATGTCAACAACCTTGAAGATTATATTCCACCCACTTATGATTCTGATTATTGTGCGTTTTTCAAGGCGAGTCCTGGTGCTCATCCTTTCTCATGAAAAATCAGTTCTGAAACATTTCAGCCATGTGAAAATGGTGAATAATATGAATAATGAAATGGCTGTACAGTTTTTCGCTTAATTTAATTTCGAGACCTACAATAGCGACCCCATTCTTTCGTAAAATGGCCATAAAACCATGGAGACTGCGGTCATTTCTGCTTGAATAATTCTTGTGTTAATAAGCATGTTTGAAATACGAGAAAGTATGTGTCCCCTTCAAAAATTTTGGTTACGCGTTCCTGTGATTTGTAGTGGTTTTCCTGGGCAGCCGTTATTGGGGTCGTCATGCAACGCTGCTTCCCAAGAGAAGCCTTGTGTGATGATTCAAACGGCGGTTTGCTAATTTTGCTAATTCCCATGGGATTCGTTTTCCTTTATAGACCGCCCAATCTTAATCTAAGACCCTGTTTACATGGAGTCGGTCTAGTGGGGTAGATTTCTTTTGTTTTGTGTCTTCCAGAGCGTGAAAACAAAAGAAACCAACCCCACTAGACCGGGGTCCCCCACTCCATGTAAACAGGCCCTTAGTTCCTACCTAAATTTAAATTAAGTTACAAAACGTTCGAAGAGTGTGCTCTTTTGCATGCCACTGTGTTCTATTAGATTTCAATGTGAAATGTGTTTTTTGTATTTAGACAGTATTCAGCATGCTGAAACGTCCTCTGTTTTATAAACTAGTTGTTCATTTTGGCAGCTTTTGCATTTTTTAAGCAATTCGTGTCATTCCTAATTGCTGTTGTTATCTTTATAGGACCCGAGAGAATTCACCAAGTCTGTGACACCTCCGCTTTCTTTTCGAGTATCCTCTCGCCCAACAAACTGCTCGGTTTACAAGACAGGGAACAAGCAGCTACCGAGGCCTATCCCAAAGCCATTCGCAGTCAAGCCTTCAATTACTAGTCTTTCAATGAGTAAAACTGCATTGTACCCCACGGATACCAAGAGTACAGGGGATGCCGGTAGTTCTTCTTCCCCGTTGTCGCATCTCTCGGAATCGGCTAATTCGCCGCCTCCACCTCCTTTGTTGTACATCCCCGCTGCTGCACAGAGGGTAACTCATCTCCACGAACCTCCTATTTTGCAGCGTTTTCCCTCAACTTCCCCTTCGCGCGAGCAAGAAAGCGACGGAGGATCAGAACTTCGTCGGTTGTCAGTCGATCGGAATGATGGACCGCCACCTTTAAAGCGGTTTCCTCCTGTTGTTTTAGAGCATGAAAATTCAGAGAAAGATTTTGAAGCTGTAAAAAGTAGTACGGATATGCCCTTTTTAACGCAAAAAGGTTCTTCAGATTTTCGTCCAGTTTTGTCAAGGTCCCTGAATGGGCACGAATTACAGGCCATTTCTTCGGCTGCACTGACAACAAGTGGAAAATCAAGCAGCTCACTTTGCGATTTGACCAAAATCTCGCAGATGGAAAAAGAGGTAGACGGGACTACTTCGCGTTGGAGAAACAGAGAGATGCCCCTTTTGAGGAGGCATTCTTCCGCGACTGAGGGCACCGTCTGCTTTGAAGAGCTGGTGAAATTTCCCGGAACTTCGCGGACGATCAACTCTAGTAGCAGCCCACCTCAGCTTCAACGCGTGCCCGCGATGAAAGACGCTGGCAAACATACACGTCTTAGTCCCCTTGAAACTGCAGACGTCGATGGTCTACCTGGAACTTCCGCCGGTAGTTTCGATTCGTCCAGTACTAGTCATGAATCTTCCAGTCGGGTTATTGGAACTTCGGGTAGTCGACTAGACAGTTCCGATGGTCGACTTGGATCTTCTGGAAGTCCTCTTCCAGCTTCCATTGGTCTTCTTGAAACCTCCCATAGGCGACCTGAAGTTTTTCACCCTGAAAATTCCGCTTCTCGACTAGTTGGTTTCGATGGTCTTCTCTCGTCTAACTTGTCATCTCATCCTCCTAGACTTGTAAGGCACCCAACATCCAGACCAAGCTTTCTTGAAACAAACCTCAATGTAACATCACTTCAAAACGATACAGTATCTCCCGGTATTGCTAATCAAAGGCAGGCTTCACCACTTGCGTTTCCTACTAACAGAAGAAGTGCGCAGTCATTTCAAGAAAGTCATTACTCAAGATCCATTCCAATCGCTGAAACGCTTCCCGTCACTGCGAGACAGTCTCCTGTATTCGCTTCTGGTAAAGACAGGTATAAAAGTACTTACGTCTTTGCCACCCGGCAAACGTTTCTACAGCCTGAAAATGAACCGAGCCCTGTAAAAGTGAGTTCTTTATTTTTGCCAGGCAAGAACTATGTTGGTTTGACGCCCGTCCACGGCAGCGTGCATTCGATGCGACACCTTCAATCAATTAGTGACTTGAACCAGTCGGATGAAAGGCGATTTTCACCACGCTCGATACAGAATCACTATTCAGGGCCCCGTAGTCATCAATCGCACGTGAACTTAAACAACACCAATGCGGGTTTGTCGTCGGCAAATAAGCATTTTAACACTTCTGAAGGATCAACGAGAATACCCTCTCCAAGATCGGACTTGCTTAGCAGATTATCGCATGAACCGTTGAACGGTTCGTGTGTGTCTCGCGTTAATGACCTCTCTTCGGAGTCCTCGTCCTTCCGAAATCGACCGATGGCTATTCGATCGAATATTCCGCACCTCCTTAACACGCCCGAATGCTTCCCTCCTGCATGGTCACACTTAGAATCACCTTACTCTCTTCCGTCTGTTGCCTCTAGAAATACTCCCCCTAAACCGTACACTTTGTCCGTGAACTTACCTTCTCCTTTCTCTTCTGATCACACCGACGCACAATCTGCTGAGTCACGATCGAATTCGAACACGCCAGTTTTAGAAGGTTATTCCCTGGCTCAAGTTCGAACAAGCGATCAACAACAAGTTCGTGTTATCGAGCGCACAGAGCGCTATTCAGGCGCAGCTGAAAATTACAGAAACTATGACTTGCCCAATGCATTCCAAAACGCGAACGTCCCGCATAGCGTGAGGGCAAACAATATCTTCAATGAATCCGGGTGCTCTGACACTTCAGTCAGTGATCGGTCAGTCTCTCGACCATATCTTAACGATCAAAGAACAGGCGATGCGAACATGGAAAACTCATGCCCCTTACTCCAACGCGTCGAAATTCCAGCAAAAGCTACATTTTCGAAATCAAACAATCTTAGCAGGGGTACTCCAAGCCCAGTAGCTCGTCAAACTGAGCTTCAAGCACACACACCGTCTTCGAAATCACCAAACTTTAAAGGAAAGAAAAACAGCCTTATTACTGACTCTAACAAGCCTTGCAAATCTCCAAAGACAACAGGCACGGATATTCCAGGTTCCAAACAAAAGACAGCAATTTGTCCATCGCTGGGCAAGGCTAGGGATTCGCCCACATTTTATCCCACTGAGGAAGAATTCAAAGATCCCGCCGCCTACATTAAGATAATACGTCACGAAGCTGAGAAGTTCGGTGTATGCGTCATTGTTCCACCAGAGTCATGGAAGGTTTGTTGTTGTTGTTGTCGTTTTTTTTATTCTTGTTTACATTAGACAGCAGTAAATTTAAGAGACTTGAAGCAAACAACTAAGGAGTAAACCATTTGAGGGAGTTGGCGGCTGGGTGACTTGGCTTGCCCAGTAATTTTTCCTAGCCTGCGTGGTGGGCTCAAAAATGGAAGGGGGAGGTGGAGAGGGAGAAAAACTCGAAAGCCTTCTCTCCCCAATCTCCCTCCCTTTTTCCTTTCCACCCAGTCCCCTGACCCTTTCGACGCCCGCTACGCAGGCTAATTTTTTTTTTGCCCCGAAATATACCGACGCGCGCGAGAAAAAACCTCTGGTACCAATGGTAGCCAGTCTTCGAAAACTGGACCAATTTTTGTCAAACGTCCAAAAACATACTAGCACCGCAAACTGATTAATTTTTAGCACAGTACTGGGCGCTGCGCAAAAAAAGTTTTTAATGAAGTCGCTTAGTTTTGGCGCGAATTTTCTTCATCTGTTTATTGTGTTCTTTATTGACATGCACAGCTGAAAACATGGGCGAACTCCATTTTTTTGTTATAGCACCTGGATATTTATACCGCACCTTTCTTCTTTGTTTTTTAACTTTAGCCTGAGTTTCAGATTTCTGACAATTTGAGGTTTGTTAGCGAGTGTCAACTGATTCACAGACTTCAGGAGAGGTGAGTTCAAATTATCACCTTTATCTGATAAAAGTTGTCAATGCTCTGAGAAGTACCTATATCACGTGTTGTTTTTAGTTCAAATGATGTGAGCAGAATTTTAGGGTCTTGTTCTGTTGGGAGCATCGGGTACTGTATTTGCAAAAGGCAAAAAGAGAAAAGAGAGAACGACTGTACATTCAATTTGTTGTTCTGTAGAGCTTACAAAATATTCCATTTCTCACATCAAAGTAAATGAATTTATCATTAGTGCGGCTATATATCATCCCCTTATCTAGAATCCTTCCCTGACTTTCAGCACAGTTTGCGGGGCTTTTCTCAACATGTAATTCGCTGTGTCTTTGTCAAGACGGAATCCAGTAGGAAATTGAGTAATTTTAATTTTCAGTGGACAAAAACCTTGTACCAGAATATTTTAAGCCATGTCGCAATCTATTTTTACATTTTTTAAGGGCAATAGATGTAATTAAGTATCTGTAATAACACCAAAGACAATTTCTTATGGTAGCCCGGGAAACTGATTTCAAATTTCACAGGAGTTGAAACAAAGGTAAAATAGTCATGTGTAAATTGGAAGCTTTTGAAGTATATTTTCTCGGGCTCCCATAAGAACCTTTCCTTTGGAGTTATTTCATATAACTTATTAGATAAGCGTAAAAAAGAATGCAATATGCTTGAAATTACTCTGGTACAAGGGTTTTGCCCACTGAAAGTTGAAATTGCTCAATTTCCTAATGGATCCCATCTTAATATTAATCTTAAGACTCAGTGAACGTACACGTCCTTTACCTCGCCTGGCCGGCTTAGCCCTGGCCTGAACCTTTTTCGTGGCAAAAATCCTAGTCCGCCTAGAGAAGAGGGGCGCCCTAGGCAAGTAGATTGGCAGTCCAGAACCTTTAGTCTGTCCACCATGTAAACCTATCAATTCGTTGGCTCTGCTAGGGTAGTGCGATTACCTAGGGGGGCACCAACCCCCCCCCCCCCCCCCCCCCCCCCCCTTTTTTTTTTTTTCTCTTTTTTTTTCTTCTCCCCCCCGGGGGCCCGGGGGGGGGGAGAGGGGGGGGGTAGGGGAAACATCCCCCCCCCCCCCCATCCTCTTTTTAACACACGCCCCCCCGAAACACCCCAAGCCCACAGAGCACCACCCCCCCCCATCCCGACCCCAAGGCGGCGACGCTCCCACACACAACAGAAGAGCGGACAGCGGAGCAAAAGAGGGGGCCCCCAGCCAGGAAGTTGGGAAGCCCACACCCTTATCTCTTACCCCCATATAAACCTTCCAATCCTTTGGCCTTCTTGGGGGAGTGGGTTTACTGTGGGGGGCCCCACCCCCCCCCCCCCCCCCCCATCTCTTCCTTTTTTATTTTCCACTGTTTGTTTCAAATCGCCAGATGGGGTCCCGTGGAAGAGGAAATGGCGTGTATCAGGAAACATCTCGACCAGCAATCTATCTCTTTAGAACCCATGCCTCAGGTAATGACCTCAAGGCCTAGTAGACATCATGTCCGACACTGCGATGCCAAGGTTGCAAGCCTAGCACAAGCAGAAGGATAGCTGACTTATGTTTGCGCTTATGCTTGCGTCTCTGCGTCGTTCAGTTGACTCCCAATAACTCGAACCTCCCGCTAACTCGAAGAAATTTTTGCTTCCCCTCAGGTCATTCCGGACCTATATAATTATACCCTCGATACCTCGAACCATGTTTTGAACGCTTAAAAAGTCGGGGTAAAACTGTGCACTGTCGTTCGAAACATTGGATTTTGAAGTCCCATTGACATACAGTTTACTAGTGGAGGCTGATGTTGTGTGTCACAAATCTAACATGAAGCAGCTTTACTTTTTAAAACAGTAAAACGCGTGCTCTATGTGGGCTATGTTTTGTTCCGTTGCGGTCTCGGATTTTTGACTGATCTAAAAGTATCTTTCAATTTTCACTTAACATTTCCAGAATAAATGTGATTTAAATGCTCACCTTACAGTAAAAACTGTTTTTTTACCTTACTTTAAGCTATTTTCTTCGAGCTCCCGATAACTCGAACTTTTTTCGATTTCCCTTGAAGGTTAGAGTTATCGGGAGTGGACTGTACTTCCAACCAGCCTTTGGAGAATTTAACAAAAACTATTTAAACCAGGACTTGCCGCCTTTACGGTCGGATTCTCAAATCATCCATCGCAGTTATAATCGTAATTCAGGCAACTGCAAATTAAACCCCGAAAAAATAACTTTTCAGGGCTGCAGTGCTCTACCAACTGAGCTATGAGGACCCATATATTGAGGGCAGGCCAATTTGTTGAGTTCAATGAAACATAGAATGATTATTTTATGTAGGTTAAGATATGGCCATCGCAGTTGTAATCACAATTTAAGCAGTTGCAAATTAAGCCAAATAAAACTCTGATTGGATGGTTGAATAGTATGGCCGGTAGTCGTTAATTCTCCTACAAAGCGCCGGATTCCTGAACTCATAAATGAAGTCTTTTGACTCTTTGTCTTGTCTCACAGATAGGAGGATTGGAACTAGATCTTCCTCATTTCTCCAGAGTGGTGAAACAATTCGGAGGACTCCAAAAGGTAGAATTAATATTCTTTATCTGCCTAATTAAAGACTGCTTCCTCAAAGCACATGCAAGTAGTGAAGTTGCTGTCTTCTTCTTCTTTTGTAGGTTATCGATAGTAGAAAGTGGGCAAGAGTTACAGAAATATTGAAAATACCTCGAGCGGTAAGTCCTTCCTTTGACTTTGATGTGTTTGAGGTGGGGGTTCGTTAAAACATTGCACTTATGAGATCTGAAGGGCCTTGGATTTGAGCCTCCGTCGTGCCAGCGTTTTGTTTCCTTAGACAAGAAACTTGTTTCATATTAGGGCCATTTATACGAGGAAAAATAAGACGCGTCTTACTACATAAGACGCGTCTTAAATAAGACGCGAACTTTCCGTATAAACGGCACATTTTGTCTAAAATAAGACGCGACTTAGCTAAGACGCGTCTTATTTTTCCTCATATAAATGGCCCTATTGTCTCTCTATATCTGAGTATACGGCCATAGTCAAAATTTGTCAAAGTTTGTAAATGCCGAAAAACAAATAGCACCATGTGAAAGTAATGGCAAAAAGGCTTCATTAGAATGGTCACACCATAGGATTTCATCCACAGACTCAAAAGTTAGAACTATATACTAAATAAATAGTACCATGTGAAAGTACTGTTGAAGAGGTTTCATTTGAATGGTAACACCGTTGGATTTCAACTACTGACTCAAAAGTTAGAACTACGTACTAAACAAATAGCACCATGTGAAAGTACCGCTGAAGAGGTTTCATTAGAGTGGTCACAACGCAAAATTTCGTCCACAGTCGCAAAAGCTAGAACCTCCGTGAAGACTCCATCTTGACCACATTATCGATTTTCTTTTAGCGGAGGTGTTTGGTTGTGTTTCTTTCAGGCTCAAGACCGAATTGGGAAGCTTCAGGATATCTACTGCAAATATTTGCTCTCGTACGATCTCCTACCACAGGTAAAATCGTTTTCAAGGAATAGAATAATGATATTGATCTTCACAGGACAAACTTCTCTTGTTAATATCATAGGTGATGAATTACTCCTTAATTTTGGCGCGAAATTTCAGCGTTAATTTGTAATTTCACATGTGAAATTACAAAATTGCCATGGCAACCTAACGTACGTCTCAGTGTCAAGAAAAGAAAAAGACGCTTTAGAAAACCTGAACACACGAAAGAGCACATCAAGAAGGATTCTAACAGGTATTTTGTCGAAAAACTCTGAACTTAAGCCAAATTTAAGCTCTAAGCGTTCGAGAGAGTGCAGGAGCTCTCGATCCATACGATCCAGGATAAACATGTCAGAAATCCAAGATAGCTAAAGTAATTCGTCACCCATGATATTAATAGGTAATCAAATGGTATACTCGTGAAATTAGGGAATAATTTCACTTGCGTTTTGTCCAAATGCTAATAAGGATTTGGACAAAAAACGCGTGAAATTATTCCCTAATTTCATTCGTCACCATTTGATTACACATACTAATTATTGAGTGGTCAAGTGGTAACTTACTGTCTCTTTCCTTAGGATGACAAAGCTGAACTGCTGCGACAGGTTCATCTAGAAAGGGAACGAAAGGTTGACTGTGGTATGTCAGTTTCACACTTTGGCGTAAATTTCTGTGGTCAGTAAGAATATGAAACATGGAAAATTGTTCTCGATTTGCTGTACCCAAGAAGGTCATCACAGCATTGGTCTTAGTCCACAGTCCAAGCGGTGGAACTGCTTGGCGTTGCTGTTAATAGATTCGGGGGGGGTGGGGGATAAGTGAAAGAAACGCCTGTCAGCAAATGAGGGTTGAGTGGGTGGAGGTCATCATATGAATTAGAGAAAAATGTCGCTTTTGGGCGGAGCCGCAGGGAAGGGATATCTAGAGACGAAACTGTTAACTTGAGCGTGAACTCGGGCTTGAAGAGTAGGAATTTGGCGAAAACAAATCGGATCGGATTTAGCGCTAAATGTGCGCTTTAAGACTAACATTTGATTGTAAAGCCAGTTTTCCATTTTGGAAGTCGAGTGAATCGAGATCTCTGTGTCGCCTTGGGCCTTTTTGACTCTCTTGGCCCCCATCGCGTCTAAAGGCCAGTCCATTATTTTGTGTGTGTGTTTGGTAAATAAAAGGAAGGTAAAAATTTTAAACAGTGAAAAATACATCGAGTGCATTTTAAATTATACCGGAGTTATGGGGACATTAGAAACTTCGTTTGTTGGTGCATACTCGTTACTGAATCCCTATCACCATATAATTGTTGTAAGAAAGGATCAATTTCTTTTACATTTTAAAAGCTCGTTTTCAATCTGATACTTGAGTTACGGCCTTCTTATATTCTTTTTGTTCTTGCAGAACAAGGCACGGACACGTGGTCTGTCAAGGTACACATTAATTATCTTACTTTTTGTTTGAATTAAGCATCGTTTAAACACATGGCTATCCTTTTAAAGCCTTAAAACTCATTGTCTTCGGTGACAAATCAGGCCAAAATTGACGACTTTCATATTTTTTATTAATATCTCTGCAGGTATTTACAGCAATGTTTTAAGCAATATCCCATTTGAAAGAGGGATAAATTGGCTCTATAAAAAACATAAATTGTTCTCCATACATTCAGTAAAGTTTTTTTAAAAAAAATGCAAATGTGAAAAATGTGCATAATTTATGCAAAAAATCCAAGATGGACGCCATTTAGTCCAAAGTAAAGTGTCTTTTGCTGGGTATGTTAAAAAAGGAATCTGTTGCTTTATTTCCAGGCCAACTGAAAGCCAAATTTCCCTGAAAAGAAGCAAATACACATTTTTTTACATTTTTTTTTTTAACATGTACTCATATTGAAAAAAAAAATGAAAAAAATTTTTTTTCAAAAAAAAATTGGGGGGGGGGGGGGGGGGGATAGAGTTAAAAGAAAAAGAAGCTAAAAGCCCCGCCAAACCCCTAAACAGCCCTAGAGAAACTCTTTTCCTAAATTGTGGACCAATTTTTTTAGGCCGCAATTTTTCCTTTGTAACGTCTTAAAAACATTGTCCAAATGTGCCAAGACAATTACTCAAGAATTCACAAAAATTTTTTTTCAAAAAAAAATTGGGGGGGGGGGTGGGGGGGTAGGAGTTACATGAAAATGATGCTAAATGCCCCTCTAAACCCCTAACAAGCCATAGTGAAACTCTTTCACTAAGTGTTGTACGATTTTTTTAGGGCCGCAATTTCTCCTTGGTACCGTTTCAAAGACTTGCTCGAAATGTGCAAGGACATTTCTTCAAGAATTCCCCATCTGCGAACGACGTAGAGGTAAATGATGTTTTTCTGCACAAAATCAAAGAAATAAACCAAATATCATAGGAGCAAACAGACCACGAAAACGAACTTCCAACTGTCAACAGTCTAACCTACTCGCCTCTCTGTACTTCAAACAATCCCTTCCTCTGTTATACGAACACCTCTGTAATGCGGGAAGTTGAGTCTCTCCCGCCATCCTTTAGTGTCCGTATTTAGGAGGTTGAACGGTATGTTCTCATAAGACAAGCTTCATGGTTAAATAGAAAAAATCAGTGGCACACCGCTCCAGAAGGAAACTCTAGCTTTTTTCTTGTTGTTTACTACAGAAAGAATTCTGGAAGGTTGTCAATGACCGTGAAACATACGTCTCTGTTCACCGAGGAACTCTGGATACAAATCAGGAACACAGCTGTTTTCCAACTGACAAAGGAGATCCGTATTCGAAGTAAGCAACACTTCTATTGGAAATAGACATTTTGTAAAAGCATCTGTAATTCCAAGAACATCTCTTTTTCTTTCTTTTTTTTTCAGAATTGGCTGGAATTTAAACGTTCTTCCTCATTTACCTTGTTCAGTATTGAAGCATGTGGGACTTCTTCAAGGTAAGAAAATAATTGAGGGCAGGCTACAAAAAAGTATAATTGGTTACCTTTTAAAGCATGTTATTTTACATCAACGGTACAGTTTGTTTGTGCAAAAATTGTTGCCCGTGACCCAGTTTACTCAGGGCCAGACAAATTTTTGAACGGCAAACAGTACTTTAATCTTTAACATTATTTGTAAGGTTTCGTGTAAACGGGGTGTGTAAATAAAAAATCATATCATTTCTGTGACAACGACTGAAGCCTTTCGTATGTTTTTTTTTTTTTTGCTTGTTGCAAATCCGTCTTTTGATGTTACACAGGTAAAGCAATCGTTTTGAACAAAAATTTTGATTGATTTAGATGGAAACTTTTGGCCTTCCCTTATAAAATCTTTTCTTTTCTATCATTTCGTTTCTTTATGGTTTTACTTTTATGGGTCCTCTGTATAGTTATTGCTTTAGGATCAATGAGGTGCACAAGTGGTTTCTGCAGATAGCTCTAAACAAATGTTCGTGTTTATTTCAGATGTAACGATACCCTGGCTTCAGTTTGATATGTTGTTCTCTGTAAAGCCGTGGCAGACGCATCCTCTTGCACTCTACACAGTAGACTATCTCCACAGTGGCGCTGAGAAAATCTGGTGAGGAAACCAAAGCCTTTTTTCTTCAGTCAGTACTAGAAATACAGTATATTTCTGTTAAATTTAAAAATTTTTGCCCCAGTTCGCCTTAAAGATGAAAACAATGGTTTTTCTTTTTTTGCAAGGCGGGGCCTAAATCACCTGAATGTGCAATTACCGTAAGCGGCCACTTATTAGCCCTAGGCTTGTACTTCTTCGTAAGGGGGTTTAGGAGGGCTTATAAACAGAGGGGCTTCCATCTGAGGGGGGCTTATATTAACCGGAATAGAAAACGCGATTCCAAACAAGTTACAGCTGTGCTGATAAAAATACGTTTTGCTAGTATATCAAACTCATTTCAATACATTTGGAGGGGACTTATATTCAGTGGAGCTTATAACTGGCAATTTGCGGTATTATTCTGTGAAGAAATGTGTCCAAACTGATTGCCTGTTGTTTAATTGTATCTTAGGTACAGCATTCCTGTAGGGGAAAGAAAGAACCTCGCCTCTTTTTACGGACACGATGTTGAATCTGCGGGAACATCACTTGCGGATAAGATGGTAAGTATTACTTGCCCCCCAACTGAGATTAGCCTCTCCTTACAGAATGTTTTCCCTCATCTTAACAGTTGCGACAGGCTACTTAAGGAGCTATGTCACACTATTTCTCTTCTTTTTGAAAAGCTAAAGCTGTTCCTTGCATCAATTGAATTCCAAAAATAACGGCCCAGTCTTATTGTTTAAGACTATATTTCGGCATTGAAACTGTTTCATGAAGGCTCTAGCCTGCGAGCAAGCTCTCCATTCGGGGGATATCGTGAAAAGTAGACGCGCGAGAGGCACGCAGCATGTTTGGAGAGCATGGTATAATGGCTCATATATCACGATGGCAAAGCCAATCAGAGCTCTAGAATTGCATTATCCAATGATTCAGTTTTAAATGAAATATGTTATCATGATATACCATGTATCATATCATATAATATGTTACATCAGGCTTTCAACCAGCATTGTAAACTGGGCATTCAGGAGGCATGTTTTGTCATAAAATTGTGGGAGATTAAACGAATTTTTCTCGAGTATCTTCTAAAAGTTGGCGTCCACAAAGGCCTTGACTTCCTCCTAGCTAAAACCTTGCTGTCCTTTTAGCTGTAGAATGTTCTGTGAATTCTATGCTCTCGTTATGATTAAATATTTACTCTGGTGTTCGTCAGGTCTCTCCCAGCAGCCTAAGTGACGGTGGTGTTGCGGTTACTAGAGTGGTGCAGAAAGTAGGACACTTCGTGATCGTCTTTCCTGAAGTAAGCACTAAGCCTGTCTTTACATATATGCACCGCCCACCCCCTGTTGATCTCTTTTTATAGTCGTTTCAGTCTTCCTCTGTTTTAACTTCGTTCCAAGGCTCTATCTTCTTCCTCTGTCTCTCTCTCACTCGCTCCAGGGGAGGGAAGGGAAGAAACGAGAGCCTGGGAACGAGATTGCCTCTGCTTTCAAAATGAAAGTTGGAGGCACCACATCCAGGAAGCTAATATCTTGCGCTCGTCTTTTGGACGATTGTGTCCACACGGCAGACTAAATACATCCTTAGTATATAACGTAAGATCTCCTCAGTCATGTTTGCTAGAGCATAAGTTAGGTTTGGAAAATTACGCCGCAGTATCTCGAGTTTATTTGCGAGTAATCTTGTGCAACGTTAGGTGCCTGGGGCTCGTTTCTCTTTAGTCTTGGTAATTCCCGAATGCCGAAAGCTGTTTTGTTTTCATTTTAGATCGAGGTTTCAATAATGGTCACTATAATTATGCTACAAGTATCGGTTAACAAAACAAAAATTGACTGGTTTGTTAGGTAGCGCCCGCGCTTTTAATCTTTAGATTATGATTGTGAAATATGGCTTTGGGCCCGAAAAGTTACCGCTTCTTTTGAGAAACTGGGCCCTGATTCGGTTTCTGTCCAGGGGAATTGATCTAATTTGCCAGACCTCAAACGGACAGCTATGAATCGTCGTGTGCATTAATAGCGTAATGAATGTTTGCAGGCATATTACAGCAGCGTTAGTTGTGGGTATTCTGTTTCTGAAGCTGTGGCTTTTGCTCCTTCTGACTGGTTGCTGTTTGGTTGTAAAAGATACAAGGTAAGAGCGTTTCTCCTCTTTTTTTTTATTTTCCTTTTTCAGTATTGGCCATTTTAAAGTCACGCGTGTAACTGGGTTGGTTTTGTGTCGAACTGCACTATGGGACCATTTTGGGAAGGGTCTCTCTTCTTTCATTTGTTTTTCGAGGTTGCACAGGAAAAGGGGTCAAAATCGGCCTTACAGCACACAACACAGACCCAGTCTCAAAGTGGCCAATACGAATCCTTGCCTTGTCGTTACTGCTTAAGCTACTTGGCAAGCAACTTTTAAGGCCTACGAAGTGTTCATTCATTCATTTTAGCTCTTATGATTTTGAAATGGTTGCGTCGTTTACTTCTGTCTTAAACTGTCACGCTTAAACCGGCGTCAAGGGTATGTCTTAGAGAGGTGTCCGCTTCATAGAAAGTTTGGGTAAACTGACTAAAGTAATCATAATATCTATAGAGCATTTAGAGATGAGATCTCCGATGATGTTTGTCGCGTGTTTTTGAAAATCACAGCTATGTGGCAACAGGTACCACTTAGCCATCTTTTTGCCGTAGCTAGCTCACGGAATGTTACTCCTGATATGCGTCCCTTACGCGGGAAGTGATGTAAACGAAATCTGAAGATCGTGTGAAAAGGTACCGCGTTTTAGAAGAAGTCTTTTCTTTTTTGAAGGATTTGCGGGAGTCATCTTGGTGGAGCGATTTTAATTATGACGGATTGTTACTTGGCATGGCTGAAGAGGTAAGCAGATAACAAGTCACGGCTTTAGATATTCACACTATAAGTAAGATATGGGTTATAGGCTCAAAGGTGAGTTAGAACCAGCTTTTATATATACCTCACAATAACAAGTTATGTATGAAAGTACTGCTAAAAAGATTTCATTAGAACGACCACACCTTAGATTTTGGTCTGCAGAGTCAAAGGCTAAAACTTGTTATAACCAGTGCGAGCGAGATCGATGCGTCAGAACGCTCGTGCTCCAGCGCTGTACTTTGTGGTAGAAGGTCAGCACGCGCGTGATCAGATTACGAGTGATAGAAGGTCCAAACAAGCGTGATTAGATTGCGTTCTATAAATTCCAATCGTTCTTAGTGGAAATCCGTACTAAAGCTGGCTGAAATATGTGCCGCGCATGTGTAATAGCAACTTGGAAATTAGTATTGCGGTCTCCTCTAGTCGCCTGCACTCAGCGTATGTAGCCTAATAAACAATGCCTAGTGAAAATACTCAAACCATAGGCTTTAGTCCACAAACAAAAGTTTTAGTTTTATAGTACTCTGTGAGGGAAGGTTTGATTTACAAACATTTTGTGTTGTTGCTTGGGAACTTTTTAACCATGAGGATTATTATTTATCGCAGCATGGTCAACACGCGGGATGGATAGTGACATTCCGACATGTTTTGCTATAGCGATAGACATATTCTTCAAACTTCTTCATATGTAGTTCACTTTTGTCGGTTTTGACTTTTCGGGCAGCCAGTGTTTAGCCTGGGACTAGGCTCCGTAGTGGGGGGAAGCAAAACACGGCGTTAAACGGCAAAGCGAAGCGAGTCGAACCGCTCGGCTCGCCTCGCTGCCCGATTTTTTTTCGCCTTGGGAGCCTGGTCCCAGGCTACCTAGAGTTCGTGTTGGCCATTTTTCAGTACTTATTTCCCATCCCAAAGGAGCTGGCCTTATAAAGAATTGACTGTATGTCATTCTCTGAACAGTTATTGTCATATCTTCTTTTGCTAGCTAAATGATGAGACACAAGAGGTTGTTCAGTGTTTACTGGCAGAGCTTAAAAAAATTCGGTAATTTTGTACTTTTTTACTTTTTGTTATGATTTTTTTCTGTTTTTTTTATATTTATATTTATATTTTTATTATATTTTTATTTTTGCAACTTGGGTAATCTTTAATGGCGTGTGTTGGCTCATTTTACATTTTTTTTTTTCTTACTGAAAATTGTCGTTGTATTTCTCCAAAGGGACGAAGAGAAATTCTATATGACCCGGCTTCTTGAACTGGGTTTGGTGGAAACAGTTGACAAGAAAATCATAACCTCCGGATCACCTTCAGGTAAATCTTACTGTCTCTCTTCCCCTTTTCCTCACTCCCTGGGGAGGTGGAACGCGTCTGGTTTAAACAAGCTGCACCGTGGCTGGATAGTTTGTCACTTGCTCATCCTGTTGTCAAGCGGTGACTGTACTTATAGGTGGATGTGCAACTAAAGCTTCTCCCCTCCCGTAAGTTTCCTGTACCCCCAACCAGTAAGGTTCGTCACTGGTGAACATGTGAAATGGTTATCCGGTTCTTTCTGTTTCAGGAAAGAAGGGCAAAAAATCTCTAACAAGCTGGACTCAGGCTGACTCAAGTTGTGTACTTTACTGTGAAGAATGTGATCGAGTTTGTTATCTGTCAGCGGTGAGTTTGTACTTCCCACCCACCCACCCACCCACCCGCCTTCTACGACAGTCAAACCTCTGAATTGTTTTCGTTTTATGTAGTGCGATTTTAGTAATTTACTTCTACATGGAAAAATGGGGAGAAATGTCTTCGACAATTAAGAGGCTGTCCGCGTAAGAACCGATAAGGCAAATTTTGGTCTATCACGGATTGCCCTGATTTTTTCAGTGGAAGATAACTATCCTATCCCATGAAGAAATATCACATTTATTTGGACCAACCCAATTTTTTCTCTATTTTACAGAGAGATTTTCTAGGTCACCTAAAACTAGCCAGTTTGTAGTCGGAAATGGTGCGATTTTGGTGAAACTTTAGGGCTCTTGAAAACCTACCTTACAGAGCCGAATAAGCTGATTATTTTACACACAAAAGTTTTAACTCTGGTTAATAGTTTCAAGGTTTAATGGTTGCATTCTGTGGAAATTGAGCTGAGATATGATTTTTTTAAAATGACCTTTAATTTGCTTATCGGGAAAATTAATTTGCATAACTAGAGCTGAACGGTAATTTCGCAAAAGTGGCACCTGACCCAGACTCAGGTCTATGATAAAACAGAAGTACTAAGACCAGTCTACTTCTTAGTGCAATAAAATTTGTGGGCACTCTTCTTTGCGTGCTGTACAAAGTTCCGTTAATGTTCCAAAATTCGCCATTTTGACAGAAAAGCTGGAATTGTAACGGTCTGCATCTGGTCGACTAATTTCCACAGCTTTAACGTTTCTAGTTATCACTAACTGTCATTAGACCCTTTAAATGTTGGACTTTCGAAAACATGTGGAGAAAACTTAGTAATTGCTTTTTGTTGGGTTTTTTTCTTGTCGACGATGAACGTGACTTCACTTTCCGTATGCAAATTAGCCTTAGATGCGTCGTTTCAACAACTTGACATGAAAGATAATCCTTACATTTCACATTTCTAAGGGGAAAAATAACTCTCCTTTCCACAGAAAAACACGAACCATCACTTAGAATCCCCTTAAGGTTTTTTTTTTTGTTTGTTTGTTTTTTTTTTAACGAGGAAGAAGCAGCTGAATAATATATCATGATCGATAAATGTTTGCGTGGCTTAAAATAATTCAATTACTGTGGCCTGTCACGCATTCCTAAAGAGGGGCGGTCGATTAGAAAACAATAGCGTTGTATCGATCAATTTTATTATATTATCATCTTTTTTAAAATTATAGTTATTGATAATAATAAAAGATAAGAGTTAACATGGTTAACTTGCAAGGTAAGTCCTCTTGTCAGCACAATAAAATTTGTGGGCACTCTTTTTTGCTTATAAGATCTTTGTACACGGCACTATGATAAAAACAAAATGCCCACACTTTTTCTATCTTAAAAAGTTTTTTTTTAAGAGAAAATCCATGTATAGCTTTGCAAAAGGCAAATTAGCTGTAAATTTCAGATTCATTCAAAGATCTTTAAAGCGTTTATCGGTAGCAGAATGAAACGAGAAAAATAGTTTCTTTTTTCAGTGAATATACGCAAAAGGGATTATGTCAGTTTTTAGTTTTTGTTGCGGTATAACATCCGTATTCCCAAGATGATCTTGTTTTGGTTTCAATCTAATTGAATTATAATGCAACAGGTGCCAGTTTCAAATATAATTATGTCAATGAAATCGCCGAAGAGATCAATTGTGAAAAATGGCTTATTCGTCTATTTCATATGATCAAGCTGTTCTTTCCGTGTGGTCCCATTAGGGGTGTGGAGGGAAATGTGTTGGTCGCAGAGTGCATGAATGATATTACGTCTCACTTAGCCAGCTGTCACTTGTCTAAGTGTAGCAAAGTCAAAGACTGAATGAATTCACTTTAGCGAGAGTAGAGGTTTGGTAGGTATTCGGAACTGAAATTGTACAGACCCCCCTCCCCTTAGGAAAAATCGGAGAAGGGGCCCCTTCTCCGAAGGGGTGGGGGGGCGGTGTGTACACAGGCTAACACTAAAATGACAATCGGTCCAAGGCACAGACACCTACTTGGCAGGTTTTTTGCGAGCGCCAAGGTCTTGGTAGGCTCAATTGTAGGCCGCTGTGCTGGAAAATGAGCCCCCAAGGGACCTGGAGACGGCGGAAATCGAGCCTAAGGTCTTGTCAATACCCCGGTCAAACTCTGGATCATACTGGCGAAAAAAACTACTGTGGAAATAATAACTACTGAGCGAAATAATTCAAAGTTTTGCTGCATCATGTAAGTATCATTCTTTTTTCTTCTTCATGCAAAAAAATTTGCAAAGGTACAGAGATATTCTAATTTCTCAATTTAACATTTTATCTTGCGATTTTTTCTGATGTTCGTTTCCAGTTTACTTGAGCTTGCAAAGATAGTTTATTTATTTCTATTTTTTGACAGCCGTGTATCTTGCCCTAATCAATTCTTACCTTTAAAATACTCTACATAAAGGTTAATCGTGTGTTGTAAAAGATAGTTTTCTGGTGATTGTTTGAAGAGCATTATAAATGGGAAAAAAAGAAAGAACTTTCTACACGGAGTCAGGATTCAACCTCATCCTCAGGGCTTTCCCGCCCCTGCCATTTTCTAAGAGGAATGTCCTGGGGACGTGTATAAAAAGTGTTTCATTCTTGCAATATATTTTTTTTTTTTTAACTGAAGGCCATCCCAATTTAATGCTTCGTTTTCCCATCGCCCGACCGACCCATTTGTTTGGAAAAGTAAAAAAAAAACCAAATTCCAGAATCACTTGTAAAGAAGCAAGTACTTTAATGTACAAGGGCACGATCTTGTCTTATTAACACCAATTATCTGAAATTATCATCGATACTTCTCTTTTGTAGCCTTTTAGACATTAGATAGTCCTGTTAATATACATCTTTTACCATCTGATTTTATCTTGCAGACTAAACGTGAGATTTAATATGCAATCATGTGTTCATTCTTTTTTTTGTTTCCTTTTTTTTTTGCCCGGCCGACCGACCCACCTTCACGAGAGGGAGGGCGATGGGAAACGAAACATTTTATTGGGATCGCCTAATAAACAGTGTTTAAAACATGTCTCTGGTTTTGTAACAGTTAGTGAGACTTAAAAGTACCAGAATGTTCAGTTCAACTTTATATAGCCGATTTGCTCCTCCTGTCGCAAGAAACGTGAAAAAACTTGACGCCAAAGGGTCGAGAAGAGTACGATTGAGCAGTCAGTAACCATGTCCACACCTTTGCCGGAGAGGTTTATTGGACAAGATTTTTCTGTTTTTCTTGTTTTGATAACGTTTTTATTAAGTCTTCAAAAATGCCTCCAGATTGCTGGGTTTTTTTTGTATTTATACCCTCTTGAACAATGTGCTCCATCAAAGTGCTCCTCCCATCTCTCCATTTTTAACCTACTTTACCATCCACCCTCTCTCCCCCCGGTTCCACCTGTACTTTTACAAGCATTTATACTTAAAGGGGTGAAATTTCTCCTGTGTATATTAATTTCTGAAAAATTACGTCCTTCTACTTTTTCCTTAAATTCTTAAACTTTGTTCCTTTTTCTTTAAGAACCGCCAAAGATGCTGCTAAGGCTGCAATAAGCGCACTCGCCCTTTCATATACTTCATCTAGTGAAATGCCTACCCTTTCATATACCTGAAGCCTGAAAAAGATACTCCTTTCGGGCGAAGCCTCCCCGTTTAGGTCTATTTTTCGGAGACATATCTCATGAAAAGTGCTGAAAATAGCATTTCGGAGCCTCCAAATTTGAAAATTTTGGGGGGGAGGATAACCCCAGACTCACCTACAAGGCTCGTGCCTTCGGCACTCGCGATAATGCCCCCCGTTACAAAAACCCTAGCACCCAGTAAAGAATCGGAATAAACAGTGATTAAATTGTATGATTATCAATAACTATCACTTCAAAAAAGATATAATAAGATATAAGAACTGATCGATATACGGTCACTCTGGGGGAATGCGTGACGGGCCACAGAAATTAAATTATTTTAATTCGCGTAAACATATCTTCTTCTGCTGCTTCTTCCTCGTAAAAGAAACAGACCTAAGGGGATTCTAAGTCATATATCGTTCGTGTTTTTCCGTGAAAAGAAGAAATACTTTTCCCTTAAAAATACAAAATACAAGTATTATGTTTCCTGTCAATTTGTAGAAACGACGCATCTAAGGCTAATTTGCATACGGAGAATGAAGTCAAGTTCATCGTTGACAAGAAAAAAAACGAAGAAAAAGCGATTACCAAGTTTTCTTTACATGTTTTCGAAAGTTCAACACATTTAAAGGGTCTAATGACATTTGGTGATAACTAGAAACGTTAAAGCTGTGGAAATTAGTCGATCCGATGCAGACCGTTACAATTCCAGCTTTGCTGTCAAAATGGCGAATTTTGGAACATTAACGGAACTTTGTACAGCACACAAAGAAGAGTGCCCACAAATTTTATTGCACTAAGAAGTAGACTGGTCTTAGTACTTCTGTTTTATCATAGACTTGAATCTGGGTCAGGTGCCACTTTTGCGAAATTACGGTTCAACTCTAGTTATGCAAATTACTTTTCCTTCTGAGCAAATTAAAGGTCATTTTAAAAAAATCATATCTCAGCCAACTTTTCACAGAATGCAACCATTAAACCTTGAAACTATTAACCAGAGTTAAAACTTTTGTGTGTAAAATAATCAGGTTATTCGGCTTTGTAAGGTAGGTTTGACAGAGCCCTAAAGTTTCACCAAAATCGCACCAATTCCGAAGGCAAACTGGCCAGTTTTAGGTGACCGAGAAAATCTTCTTGTAATATAGAGAAAAAATTGAGTTGGTCCAAATAAATGTGATATTTCTTCATGGGATAGGATAGTTATCTTCCACTGAAAAAATCAGGGCAATCCGTGATAGACCGAAATTTGCCTTATCGGTTCTTACGCGGACAGCCTCTTAATTATTGTCACTATCTTTTCGTTAGTTTTTTCTCTTATTTTAATGACCTTTTTGTCTTTGCAAATGCTTCGCGCCTAACAAAGCGTATGTTAACAGTCACATCAACAGTCACACAGTTTCAGTTTTCAAACACTTAGACAATAAACGAAACGACCTGAAATCAGCCAACGGGAAAACTCGGACCTCTAAGGGGCATTCTCTCTAGGGAGCTATATAAGTTGATTAAAACCGTTGCGGTCTCCACAGGAATACTCCTTTTTCGTACTTTAAGTTACCGCTGAATACATACACCAATGGCGCATTGGTCACCGGTCATGGCAATCTCGAAAATGTTCTTTAGAGGCGTAAAATAAGACCCACGTTATATGTTTCAGTTCTTTGATCTGGGTCTCTAGAGAACAGTCTCTGGTCTCTGTGTTTACCTTGAACTTCACAATCTCTTATGAAATAATTCCATGAATTTTCTTGGAATTGAATCTTGAAAAATAAATTCTCGTCTCAAAAGGTCTCTAATTTTTAGTATTGTAGCTTTCGACTGAATCCCATGGTCTCCATCAGCAATGAACTCTCAGTGTTGTCTCGTGAACTAGTCATGTAATGTAAGTCGTTAAAAATCCCCGGAAGTTCATAACCCCCATCTCTTTTTAGGACTGGGCGCGGGCGTCTGTTATGGATGGCCTCCTTGATTTTTCTTATAATGTCCACCGTCTCCTGGTCAAGGATCTTGGCCCCCCACTCCCCTCCCATAGCTTTTGACTGGTATTGTCATCCTCTTCTCTCTCCATGAGAGTTTAAATAATTAGATTTTTTTTCTTGCTTTTGTACAACTTATAGCAAAACAATAAACTGAACTGAACTGAACTGAGCCCTAGCTGTCTCTCCTAAAATCTCAGACTGGAATTTATATTTCAGATGGTATGAAAGACTTTTGAATTGAACATTTTCACTCGGTTCTTGTTCTACAGGTAATAGGTGAGGATGAACCGCAGGTGCTGTGTCTCAAACACGCTGTTCAATATATAACAGACAACGCCTCGCCAAAAGGCTTCAAAATAATGAGCAGATATGATACAGTAAGTGGCTGATGACTGAAAATAAATTAAATATATAAAAAAAACAGAAGACGCATCTGGGCTGTTTCCTCTAAGTTCCTGTCTAAAATATCCGATGTATCTGTGCCTTTCCTCGGTCAAGAGCTAACACCTCTGTCATCTGCTAAGGACCTAGGCGTCATACTTGACTCAAACTTGACTTTTAATGAGCACGTTTCTTCACCTCACTTCTCCCTTTTATCTACCTTATATCAAATAAAAAGAGTCCGGTATTTTTTTTTCTAGAGATGTATTGTACATAATCCTAACTTACTAGTCTTCAGTAAACTATTCATTTGCTCAACGGTATGGTCCGGGACTTCAAACGAGAATATTCACAAACTACAGCTGTTGCAAAATTTTGCTGTCCGTATTTTAACGAATACTAAGAAATTTGATCATATTTCACATGTTCTGAATGAACTCGGTTGGCTCACCATTGATTAGCCTGCGTAGCAAGGGTTTCCAATCGCGTTATTGCGCGAAAGTTAGAGCGAGAGCAAAAAAAATGGAAGGAGTAAGGGGAGGGGAGAAGAGGAACTTCATTCTCTCCCTTCCCACTCCCCCGTCATTCCTTTTTTTTTTTGTCTCGCCCCAACTTTCCCGATGAACTCGCGCGGAAACGCTCGCTACGTAGGCTAACCATTAACGAACTTCTGGACTTGCGTGACGTAACTATGATTTATAAATTCATTAACAGTCTAGCTCTAACCTTTGTTAGTGCTAGTCTTTTCAAACGTTCTGACACCGATTCATATAACACTAGAAACAAAGACCTCCTCAGTTTTCCCATGTGTAGGACATCAGCATCACACCGTGGCTTCTATTATAGAGCACTTAATAATCTCTCTGTTGCTATTAGGAACTCGCAATCAGTTTCACAGTTCAAAAAGAGCTTGAAAAGAGAAATGTTGCGAACAAAACATGAAGTTTGGCTGGATTTAGTGATGATTTTTAGTTATACTTACCTTAATGTGAACAAGTTATTGTAATATGTATTTTAATAAGAATAGGATTAGATATATTTCAAATTATATACATATATTTTTTTTTGCACTCGATGTAAATTAATTCTCAAAAGCCCCATTGGGAGAATTATTAAATTGTATTGTATTGTAAGTTGGTTTGTTCTGGTGAACAATGATTTATTTTGTTGTTGTGATTATAATTGTTATTATTATCATCATTGTTATTATTATTATGTCACAGTATGAAACTTTGGAATGCTGTCCACATTATGAGTAGTATAGGGCGCGTAGCGTAACCTACACCACTTGAGAAGCTATACTTAGAACTAAAAAAAGGTCGATACGAGACCTAATACAATCCTAAAATACATAATGATATGAATCTCTCTACTTAAAAAGCCAATTTAGAATATTATTATTATTATTATTATTATTATTATTGTTATTATTATTGTTATTATTATTATTATTATCTATTATTATTATTATTATTATTATTATTATTATTATTATTTATTTATTTCGTTATTTTCTTTCAGGATCAACTAGATGAACTCGTTAATAAGGTCGAGGACAAGCTAAAGAACCTTGAACACTGATCCCAAGGTCAAGTTTTGAGTTCTGTGGTGGAGGAGAGAATCGGATAGCGACGTATTGGGTATCAGATCCTGCTGTTTCTTGTAAGGGTTGCCCAAACGAATCCGCGGGATTATATTTGTTAACCTTGTTGTGTTTGTCTTCCCGTCCCTCACATGGACAGTCTTTCGCTTCGCCGTTATTTACCAAGAAGAAAGTTATTGTCCCCTTTGTTTTGATGGCGTCTACGCGAGAAATGGAAAGTCTTGTGAAATTGTTGCCAATCTCGAGAAGATATGCGCGTCCCTTTCTTTCTTTCTTTCTTTCTTTCCGTTTCCGTCCTTTTTTTCTTTGAATTCATGCGCCAACGCGGACTGTACGATTTTGTTCTGTCCCCGGAGATGCTTCCCAAAAAGATAACAACAACAAAATGAATCTAAAAAAACGGTCTTCGCAATTCTCTTTTTCATCTCTGGACAAATTGTACAGTTTAGCCTGGGAAAAAGTGAGGAAATAAACAGCATATGTCTCTCGTTTGTGTGCGGTGAAACCGGGGAAGATCTTGCTCTTCCACAGCTTTCTCCTGATTTTCTATTCCGTGCGCATTTTTTTCACATCCTGCCCTTTTGAGTTGTTTAGTGGTCTTGTTCACAGTTCAGTTGGTAAGGAATACGCTTCTACAGTTTTTGGTTGGTGTTTTTGTTCTATGTAGAGGGAGGTACACACATACGATGAAAATAAGAATTTTTATCCGTATCTATTACTTTGGATCCTTGGCGATCGTATTGTACTTCATTTAACAGAGATACACGCTTACAATGTAAGATAAAAGAACATACACATTGGGTAATACCTTTTATGTACTATTTAAAAAACGAGCAGGAGTGTATGATCAGGTTTAAAAACTCGTGGCGAAGCCGTGAGTTTTTCACCTGATAACACAAGACTGCGAGCTTTTTGAACGGCTTCAAAATCTCTGATATAGATGAACTCATTCTTGCACTAATATTTAGATGTTTTGGTCTAAAAATTTGGACGTAAAGTTTAGCCGTGTCTTCATCAGATGTAACGACACTCATGAAACATTAATTTCTTTTGTTTTTCTGTATGAATTATTAATGCATTTTGAACTGACAGTAAAAACGAAGTATTATGGATAGCTTATAAATTTATAAATTGACAGTAAAATACATTATATATATATATATATATATATATAAACATGTAGGTAAAAAAGACAATTAAATAAATTGTTATATTTTTGGCAATTGCCTTACTTTCCTGATGGAATCACTCAAAGCTGGAAGTAATTACTGGTTTCTCTAAATATGAAACTTTCACCGCAATGAGTGCCACAAATTTTAATTGAAGAGCAAAAATCGAATTTTTTTATTTATCATGCAGCTTCTGATGACGAGTTTCCATCGCGTCGTTGGGTCCTTGGCTGCACATAGGTAGAGACACCGAATAAACATAGTGAACGTGTGAAACATTTTAACATCTCATTTTGACAAAACGGGTTTTTTTTCTGAAGTGGTTGGATTGAGGTATTTGAAAAGACGCTTACAGGCTCTGCCCTTCGCTCTTCCCGCCTTTTTTTTGCTTTTCCACCGCTCGCCCGCCTTTTTGGCTGGTCTGCATTGACCGAGAGCCTGGTACAGGGTATTTGCAGGAAAGTTTCTCCATCCGACTGAGAGGGAAGGCGTTTGGGTTGAAAATGTCATTGAATAGCGCGTGTTTAATGCCAAAATGGTTACGATAGCGAAAAAACTGGCCGTGTCCTGTTAGCCGATAATGTGACCTACGAACCTCGTCTTTATAAGAACTCGTGAATCTGATGAGGAATTCGAAGCCAAACATTTTATTTGTATCCAAAAAGCGTGCCTAGAGCCTCTCTAGCATGATGCGTAACGTTCAAAATGAAGAGGCGAAAATCAGGTTTTTCAAATCAAGTACCTGAGTACAGTGCCTACAGTCATGTCTCAGTTACGGACAGCCGGCCCTAAAGGTTGATTTCCACTGACGTGTTTTTGGCTACGCACGTTAATTTTAATCACGTAAATAAAATAGAAGCAGGATACAAGGTGTTGAAATTAAACGTGAAGTTGAGCGAGGTTCTACTTTTAGGCTTACGTGCGACCTTTCATACATTGCCTCTATTTATTTGCGAACGTAAATTTTACGCACGTAAAAATTACGCGAGACTGGAAATCAACCCTTAGTGAAGAGATAGCAAAAGTTATTTACTTAACCACGAACACATGACGAATCTCATAGTCATGTGTCGGAATCTGACGGAAAGACTAATTCATGTAAATATAGTCGATACTTCGTGTGGGAAGATGACTGTTTCTGTAACATGCCACAGAACACTGTGCTTTGACGGAAAGACGGTGCGTGATATGTGATTACTCCTCCACCGTCAGTATTGACCAAACTTTGGGATTTGAGTCGGTGTGACCCAATGACAAGCCATGTAATTCTAATTTCCAAACATCTTCCCTTTTAAAGGGGCTAGTGTCACAAGGATATTGCTGTTTTAATTAGGTCAATTCTGTGCTAAAGTCAATACTTTTGCCTTTACCCCAGACACAAAATGCTCCTGGAGAGGTATGGACAGGATACCAAACAAATTTCATTAGGAAGCAATAACCATAAAGTTTTGATTAGCCTGCGTAGCAAGCGTTAAAAGGACAAGGGAAAGGGGAAATTTGGGCGCGCGAGAGCTCGCGCGTGGCCAGCGCCCTAATTCCCTTCCCCTTCCCTTTCGAACGCCTGCCACGCAGGCTGTCTTTTGAGGAATTTTGCAGGCATAGCATGGAAACTTGAAAAAGTTAACCCAACTTTTTCAAGTTTCAATCCACCTCTATTCTTGCCATCCGTTGGAACAGACGACAGGAAACAATTTCAATGTAATATAGTCTTAAACTAGTAATAACCAAAGGTTAAGGAGTGCGGGCGACAACGATCGGAGGTCCAAACGCTTCACGTGAAAAGTCAAAAACACGCGTGATCAGATTACGAGGGGTAGAAGGTCGAAACGCGCGTGACCAAATTGCGTTTTGTGCAGTCCATTCATTCTTAGTGGAAGTCCAATGGAGTGCTGGCTACCTACATGCGACGCATGCGTAATAACAACCTGGAGATTTCTTGTCGCCCGCAAAAACAAAACTGGCTCACTATTTTTGGAATTCAACTGATGCGAAAAACGTTTTAGGTCAGTTTGAAAACGATAGTAAATAGCGTGACATAACTCCTTGAAAATGAAGCCAAAGACCAGACTGGATCATTAGTATCAAAAACTACGCACTTAGCCTCTCCGTGAAAAAAAGGCAATATGTAACTTTGGAAATGGCTTACTACGTTATCGTACAAAAACCTGCCACGTATCACCCAACGACAGGCTACCAGCGTCCCCATCGCGGTCATACTCGGCGGCGGCATCACCAGCAAACCAAACACGTATTGTGTTTCTCCATACGGCAGGCTTGTCAAAAAGGCGAAGGTCACTAAGGTGTGATGTGTGACCCCATGTATTATAATTGGGGAAGCCCCATCTGTCGCATCTCTCCGCTAAGGTAGAGTTGTCGTCAGCAAGCCGCGTAAAAGAGCCACAAGCTGCAGGCTGGTTATCAGAGGAAGTAAAAAACGTGAGAACGTCACTTCCTTTAGCATCGTTGTTAGTCATAATGTGAAACACTCGACCTGTTGTCTTCTTGAAACAATAAAACCGTATCTGAGTAAAACCCGTATCTTGCTTCATCTGACTGAAGCCATTCGTGAACAAGAATTGTTTGTTAGAATTAAAATTGGGGAGGATTGTTCTGTAAGAATTTGACTCGACTCTGCTATCAAGAAACGAATCATGTGTTTTCATAACAAAACGGGATACGAGAAGCCATCCACCTGAAATATTAACAAAAAATGGGGAAAAATTAGCTAACAACTCTCTTGTAGAAACGTATCAATCAATTGATATCCCAGCCCCCGATTCCTGTGTTAGAACACACTTAAAGGAAGCTTAAGCAACGATAACGGCGACGGCAACAAGAACGGCAAAAAACCGATAGGTTTAGATTAGCAAAAGAACAACTTTATGCGTGCATCACGCTTTTTATTGTACAATTCTTAGCCGTCGTTACACGACTACGGCGTGAAAGTGCCTAATTTCACGTTATGTCGAGTACGGGAACACAAGACAACAACTTAACTTGACGAATTAAACGAGATGGAACAATCGTGAATTCGCTTTTTAAGTGACGTTTTCGAAGCCGTCGCCCTTGTTGTTGCTTAAGCTCCCTTGATGAAGTTTAAGTTTCGTCTAGCTACGGCCTATGAGTACTGATCAGTACTTGAGCACAGCAGCAACTTTATTTATGCAACAACTTTATTTGTACCACATACAAGAAAAAAAAACAAAGGAGAAGGGGGGCAACACTACATAAGTAAAGCATAAAGTCACCTAGAATATAACCAAAAAGTTAATCTAGCGAGAAGGCCTGGTAAAAATATTTTTCAAAACAATGAAAGTTTTTGTTAATGGTATATGAAATAAATCATATATGAACTGCGGAAATGAAATGAAAATGAAGAAATGATCGTCGCAGTGAACGCAATTTATGCAATTGCGTAAAGAAGCCTGAAAAAAATTCAGGACTTCAACGGGGTTTGAACCAGTGACCTCGCGATACCGGTGCGATGCTCTACCAACTGAGCTATGAAGCCACTGACGTTGGGAGCAGGTCAATTGTGGGTCCATATGTTCCCGTGAAAGAAATGAGTGTTAATGATATATGGAATAAATCATAGATGAACTGCGGAAATGAAATGAAAGTGAAGAAATGATCAGGCTTCTTTACGCAATTGCATATAAATTGCGTTCACTGCGACGATCAATTCTTCATATTCAATGAAAGTATTTGTTAGATGGAGGCACGATTATAAATGTTTGTGAAAAAAAAAGCGCACACGCACACGTTCACATTTATAATTTAAGTCATTATCCAAAGATCAGCTCTTACCTCCGGCAGTAGTCATGTCACAAAAGACCATGAAGGGGTCCCCTGAGATTGCAGGGTCAATCCAGTACTTTCCATCCCCCTGAGCGTCACCGCTTATCAGAATATCTTTGCAGGAAGAGCCTGGCGTCGAGGATGTTGAACCTTTCTTAGCTAAGGAAATCCATCAAAAAAAATTTATAATAATAATAATAATAATAATAATGAAGGATTGACGGTCACAGAAAAGTCAAATATCACTTTCTCTTTAATTCTCTTTAAATCAGTAACCTAGTTTAAGCTGGAAGAGTGATTTTACTAAACCCGTGAAACAAATACTAACAGCTACTGCAAAATAGCTACTAGCAAACAAAAGAAGACGATAGAATAATTGCATAATAGTGCGTAGTATTCTACTACCTATTTCACTCTATAATTTACATTACCTCGGAAATCGTTTTCTATATAAGTAGCAGATGGATTTTTCACGAAGTCTGCTGGCCTTGAGGCCTTTGTCTCTCTGTTCATTTTGCACTCCTTAGTGTTCCAGAAGAACGTCGCGCTTTGGCACCTTTCGTCAGTGCTACACAAGAAAAAACAGCGACCAACATTGTCAGCGTAAGAACTTTTGTAGTCATGCCCAACTAAGGTGAAACCAAACTCATCCCTGTTTCCTTTGCAAAGCTCATTACGATGCTGGTCTGAAGATACTGCTGTGGCATGGACCATGAAAATTAAGATAGATTCCCATAACATTGGCATTGCCTTCGTCGTAGCCTGAAACACCCTGGAAAGATGCCACATGATAATAGCGTTAATCCTACTTAGCAAGAAGTAAATGAATATAGACGTGTTTGGCCTGACCGGCCTACAAACTTGAAGACGATTGTGAGTAATACAACAAATTGCTTCCCCAAAATGGCTGCCAAAATGTCAGATTCACAGAAAAAGTCTTGGAGTGAAGCGAGATTGTTAATTATAATATAAAAAAAGCTTCCGGCGTTGTTTTTAGGGTGTCATTTCATTTGTTTATATTTTAACCGTAAAGATGACAACCTTATATTTTGTTAACATGCCTGGTGCGAGCGTGCGAGATGTATGCGTCTAACATTAACATAATCGGGTTCACAAACTCCGCCAAGTTTTTCTAAGGCAAAGAACGAAAACACGCGAAAACAAGAGTAGGTGGTGAGCAATCCAACCCGGCAAAATTTAGAGGCGCCTGTTTTTCAAAATTAACATCCCATCTCTGCCAAACTTGAAAATCTGCATTTACTGAAGGGTGTGCTGCACCTGCGATACCTTGAAATGACGACACAACAGACACCCACAGCATATGAAAATATTAGTGATTCGCAAACACTAACTAACTAACCTCTAAAGTAAGTGAAATCCATTCGTGAATGAAGAAAACAATTATTTCTTTAATCGTCATGAAAACCGATTTCTAATCATTAGCAATGGAGAGATTAAAAATTTATAACTTCTGTATTGATTTCTCTCCATGCGGACATGGGAAAATACATCCTATTAGCGTCGAAGGGTTAGATGTAATTAACCAACATAATAAAAGACAGGCGAGTTTATTTATGTTGCAAATTATTATTAGTTTCTTTCAGATTCAGTTTACTTTTTCTCAGTTGTTTTAATTGCTGTAAGATAAATTTTGTGGGGGCGGGGAAGTTAAGTAAACTTCTAAATAGCGTTATAAAAGGCCGAAAATATTCAACCCCTGTACAAGACGACAACAGACTGTTTTTTGTTTTCTTAAGTACGGGTAAATCTGCAAGTAAGTCCGTCAATGAATGATGCCGTAGGGTTCCATGTTTACAGAGAGAATGGGTGGTAATCACACATCGCTGTATTGTTTTAGATTTTTTTAATCTTATTTTTTCGACACATTGTTACAATAAGTCACGTGACGAGGAATTGGTCAGGATTCATACTCATTTCCAAGGCGAACTTGGTCGATTACTGAAAACAACGTTTCAAGAAAGAAAAACCAAATGTAATTTTCTAATGGAAATACGTTACGTTCACCGTAGTTGTCAAATGTATTTACCAATAGGATATATCTTTCAACAGGTTATTCAATTAGTTACATACATTTTGTCAAAATAAAGTTTAAAAAATCGGAAATCGAAAAATCATATTGGTCATGAAGGCACGCTAATCAACTACCCCAAAAATATGTGTGTCTAAGATGTTCCTGGACTATACTTACTGTAGCTGACGGTCAAAATATTTATTTGGTTGGTGGTGGAACTTTGGGACACGGGAATCAGCAGCTGGAAAATGGTTCTAAATCTCTTTCGTAGTTGACAGAAAACAATGGGGAAAACATTCAGAGTCAACTCCCCCGCCCTCTTAACATCAAGCACAGTTCATTAAACTGCCTCCCCTGATTTTAGCTTTATTTTGGTCCCACGAGAGGCAAATCGGATCGTTGTCCTGCACAATAGTCTGCATTTCACCATCTCTCTTGCTTGGGTTCCAACGGTAGTCTTTACTTTCCAGGAACGAAACCGACGCCTCAGCCAGCTACCTAAGCTATGCCCGGGGGTACTTCCTAGTAATAGCTAGGCTAATGAAGATGTGCCGCTTGATCGATGGGGGTCGCATTTTCACTTCGACTGGATTGACTAGAATCATGGGGCTGTATTTTCATTAGAGTTACTAGAATGGGATCGCAAATTTTCGGGATTTGGGAGATCAGAAAATTCAGGTAGGCAGGGATTTAAAATGGGAAGATTTTTACTTCAGGAAAGTTAACCAATGAGTCAAGTCATTTCAGGATGACCTAGTTAAAGGGCTTTATAAGTAAGATGCATAAAAAGAAAGTTAGTTGTTGGATCGCGAAAATTATATCTTCCCAAAAGTGACTAACTGATGGGGTCTGTATTTGGCCGCAGGATAGACTATAATAGGGTAGGGGTCTGAGACAGCAGCGGCACATATACCCAGCAAAAATTAACCCAAGTAATCACCCCCGGATACTAAACCATTTCTTTATAGAGAGTTAGATTACAGAACAGCACAATAATTTCTACGACTCTGTTGATGAAACAGTATCCTCAAACATTAATTACTGTCTTGAGCTTTCAAACTGGAGGTATTCAGGTGGATCACAGCTTCCAACAGGTTGAGTCGTGAACTTAATTACTTTTATGAAATAACTAAGATAGTACTCGCGCTCTGATTGGCCGAGAGGAGTGTTTGCATGAGAGTATGTAAACATGGTTGTGGCGTCAAGATGTTTTGCTTTTCGCGCGCTAATCACGCAAGCACAAATTTGAAAAAGTTTTCAAGTACAAAACTCGACAAGTTTAATTTATTTACCCATTCCTTCGTCAACTGAAACTTGGAAAATCGTTATAAAGAAGGTGTGTCAATCTTTTTTTGCTTAAGCTGACATTTTAAGCGAGAAAAATTCGTATTTTGGAAAGCATCTTTTTGCAAAACAAGAACTGATTACGCGTGCAAGACTTCGTGTATAAGACTTTGCGACTGGTAAAAATATCTCTTCTAATCAGGACCGTAACAAAGAGTTTGCGTTTTTTCTCGGCAGAGTTATTTTATAAAAGCAATAAAAACCTTTTTTTCCTGTGTTTGCATAGCCTGATATAAACGCTAGCTCGAGGGACTGGGAGAATTCTCGACAGTTATGCAAACCCTCGACTTCGTCTCGGGTTTGCATAACTGTCTCGGATTCTCCCAACCCCTCTCGTGTTTATATCAGGCTATGCAAACTCGGAAAACGTTTTCTATTGCTTAAATATAACAGGTACTCGTTACGAGAACGTCTATTGTCAAAAACATTGACCAGGACAGACCAGAATATCTCAACGAACCTATGAATACAGAGAGAAAAGTAGTGGATATTCATTGGTTCAATGGGCATATCTGGCTACTACTTATGTAGAAATAAGAAAAAACTCTTAAAATAAGAATGTCAGAGAATTACGCTTATAACAACAACTGGCACGTGCAAGGTTTTTGACGTTCAGATTAGGTTAACGCAAAGAAAAAAGAGAGAACAGTCTCTCACTCGATCCACTTTCTGTTTTCCATGGGTGCTACAGACTGTTCTCATATTCCAACAGCCTGTTCGATGTTTGCCTTTTCTTGATAAAGCCATCAGGTCTTCTATTAGATGAAACTGAGCAACCTTAACGTGAACATTAGAATTGCCTTTTTTCTTCGGCTTTCAAACCTGCTTCATGCTGAATTTAGTAAATTCTGCAATTAGGTATGGGAAATGGCCAATTTCAAATAATTTTTTAACGCCCCTTAAACACTATGAACATTCAAAACTGTACAAAGGTGGATCACAGCTTCTAACAGGTTGAGTCACAGCCTCATCGACATATTACACAGTTACGAGCTTCCAGAACAGTTAACGCCTCAACAGTTAACCGTAAACAAATTGAGTGGCTCACTGAATTCCTCAAGGCTAAGACTACGTTGGCATTAAGAAATTTATTAGCGAACGCAAATTAAAGTAACTATAACAAACTCCTCTCGTCACACCAGTGGAAAAGTTACGGCGTGTTTTATTTATGTTTGTGGAAATTAATTCACATTAACTAATGTACTGGCAACGAATACCCGCGTACTGGTGGCCAGTGGGATAGGTAGATGTGGGGAAGGGAGGGGAGGGCTAAAATCAGTTTGCTTAGAGCAAATGGGGGGAGTCCTGCAGTGCTTTTTGACTGGCTTAAATTTCCCGGATAATCCTTTACAGCTCCATGGCTAGCTAGAACAGCTCGAGTTGGCCGAATTAGGAAGGTGCTTGCCAATATCAATACAATAGACGGGTATGAAACTGATAACGAACAAAAAAGTCGGAACTCTTTACTAAGGAAGCAGCGGAGCCAATGGTTTCACCTAATCTGCACGCCTTTTAAAATCCGGAAGAGGTTTTTCCAGCTGAGAACTTTCACAAGCGGAAGCCAAAACTCTTTAATTTTATCTGCCAAAATTCCATAACTTAAAATGATAACTGAATAGCTTCAGTTCTTTGTAGCCACCAATTTTTAAAACTGTGTAATTCCTCCACGTTAACTTAAAAGTTTCATGGTCATCGTGCGTGAATAGGCAAAGTAAGATAATTGAAATCATCCGATTCATTATACCTTGCCCCGAACGCAAACGGCCTGTTCTTTTTCTTTTTCTTTTTTCTGTCAAATCTAGGAATTAATGCGAAACGCGGTTCAGAAATTTATCAATTATATTTTTTCAAAAACATTTTTGACAAAGGTTCTTCAATTAAGAACATTGCAAAATTTCCTTCAAGCTTGTTTAATTTATCTACTGCAGACCGAAGAAGTTCGAATCAAATATAGATATTCCTGTTCATGTATTTTCGTTTCCTTTTTTTCCAAGTTTGTGGTATATACGACTGGTTTTCGCCTTTTATTCCTAGCTTTTTCGTAACCAAATAACAGTAAGAAATAAAAACTCTTTTTATAGATGATTTCTTTTAATCTGTGGCTTATTCGGCGTAGTGACGCCGGTGATTTTAGCTTGCGGCTTTTGTAAATACAATCAGTCGGAAACAGTACTGAGTTAACTCAGCCAGTTAGTAAGGCCGGAAAGAAGAATTAGAGATAAACAAATGTGATCATAAGAGACGTGAGTTAACTCAACTCGTGACTTTGTGCTTCATCACATATGTCTGCTTCGGTGGTAAATTTACGTTTTTTGTGTTTCCGCATTTCACTACAGAAAAGAAATAAAAATAGGTTATATTAGTTTGATTA